CCACTTCGGTGAAACCCATGAGCACGGGTATGGTGCTGACAAACCTACAAACATAATTTGGGCGAACCGGGATTCGAACCCACAATCATAGGTTTCTGGCGTGCCCAAGGGACGCAACTCTTCACAGCGAATCGAGTGCCATAAACCTGAGGGAGAACGCCACACACTCAGAGAGTCCACAAATGGTGAAAATATTTAAAACTGCATCTGCATAGAAAAACACGATGGATAAAAGATAAGGTAAGAGATGTAAGGTAGTAGAATAACCTGCATAGAAATACAGCGCGAGATTCTTTGGGTATAATCCGAGTTGACCAGGGCCCCGTTGCACAAAGCGCTAATGTCGTCTCCATACTGGAACATATTAGCCCTGAGATCGCTTTGTGGAACGGGTCCAGTGAGTTGTCACTAGGTCAGTTACACAGAACCTCTGTGTTGTAGAAACCGACCTGGACGCTGGTATGCCCCACACGAGGACGCTAATAGTGTCAGTATCCTGACGGTGATGTAAGAAGTGAGCATCATTGCGAGTGCATCAACTCCCTGACCACCATCAGGGGTACATGATCATGGGCAGCGTTCTGTGGCTGCTGGTGTTTATCTGCCCCGTGTCAGTGGCGACAGATCCCCAGGGGTGTGTCACGAGGAGGGAGTACACAAACTAGAGCAGAGGGTGCACGCCATAGAGAACAAGAGAGTCGACACAGGTAGGATGGCGTGAGACACGTGTGATGCGGGATGGATGGCGTGAGACACGTGTGATGCAGGATAGATGGCGTGAGAAACGTGTGATGCAGGATAGTGGCGTGAGACATGTGTGATGCTGGATAGATGGCGTGAGAAACGTGTGATGCAGGATAGATGGCGTGAGACACGTGTGATGCAGGATAGGTGGCGTGAGACACTTGTGATGAAGGATAGATGGCGTGAGACACTTGTGATGAAGGATAGATGGCGTGAGACACGTGTGATGCAGGATAGGTGGCGTGAGACACGTGTGATGCAGGATAGATGGCGTGAGAAACGTGTGATGCGGGATAGTGGCGTGAGACATGTGTGATGCTGGATAGATGGCGTGAGAAACGTATGATGCCGGATAGAGACGTGGGACACGTGTGATGCAGGATAGATGACGTGAGACACGTGTGATGCAGGATAGTTGGTGTGGGACACGTTTGATGCGGGATAGTGGCGTGAGACACCTGTGATGGAGGATATATAGCGTGCGGTGCAGAATAGATGGCGTGAGACACGTGTGATGGAGGATAGATGGCGTGAGACATGTGTAATGGAGGATAGATGGCGTGAGACACGTGTGATGGGGGATAGATGGCGTGAGGTGCAGAATTGATGGCGTGAGACACGTGTGATTGAGGATAGATGACGTGAGACACGTGTGATGGAGGATAGATAGCGTGAGGTGCAGAATAGATGGCGTGAGACATGTGTGACGGAGGATAGATGGCGTGAGACACGTGTGATTGAGGATAGATGACGTGAGACACTTGTAATGGAGGATAGATGGCGTGAGACACGTGTGATGGAGGATAGATGGCGTGAGACATGTGTAATGGTGGATAGATGGAGTGAGATACGAGTAATGCAGGATATATGACGTGAGACACGTGTGATGGAGGATAGATGGCGTGAGACTCGTGTGATGGAGGATAGATGGCGTGAGACACGTGTGATGGAGGATAGAAGGCGTGAGACAAGTGTGATGAAGGATAGATGGCGTGAGACACGTGTGATGGAGGAAAGATGGCGTGAGACACGTGTGATAGGGGATAGATGGCGTGAGACACGTGTGATGGAGGAAAGATGGCGTGAGTCACGTGTGATAGGGGGTGGAAGGCGTGAGACACGTGTGATGGAGGATAGAAGGCGTGAGACACGTGTGATGGAGGATAGAAGGCGTGAGACTCGTGTGATGGAGTATATAAGGGGTGAGACACGTGTGATGGAGGATAGAAGGCGTGAGACACGTGTGATGGAGGATAGATGACGTGAGACACGTGTGATGGAGGATAGAAGGCGTGAGACACGTGTGATGGAGGATAGAAGGCGTGAGACTCGTGTGATGGAGGATAGAAGGCGTGAGACACGTGTGATGGAGGATAGAAGGCGTGAGACACGTGTGATGGAGGATAGATGGCGTGAGACACGTGTGGTGGAGGATAGAAGGCGTGGAGACACGTGTAATGGGGGATAGATGGCGTGGGAAACGTGTGATGGAGGATAGAAGGCGTGAGACACGTGTGATGGAGGAAAGAAGGCGTGAGACTCGTGTGATAGGGGATAGATGGCGTGAGACACGTGTGATGGAGGATAGAAGGCGTGAGACGCGTGTGATGGAGGATAAAAGGCGTGGAGACACGTGTGATGGAGGATAGAAGGCGTGGAGACACGTGTGATGGAGGATAGATGGCGTGGAGACTCGTGTGATGGAGGATAGATGACGTGAGACTCGTGTGATGAAGGATAATAGGCGTGAGACACGTGTGATGGAGGATAGAAGGCGTGAGACACGTGTGATTGAGGATAGAAGGCGTGAGACACGTGTGATGGAGGATAGAAGGCGTGAGACACGTGTGATAGGGGATAGATGTCGTGAGACACGTGTGATGGAGGATAGAAGGCGTGGAGACCCGTGTGATGCGGGATATATGGCGTGAGACATGTGTGATGGAGGATAGATGGCGTGAGACACGTGTGATGGAGGATAGATGGCGTGAGACATGTGTAATGGAGGATAGATGGCGTGAGATACGAGTAATGCAGGATATATGACGTGAGACACGTGTGATGGAGGATAGAAGGCGTGGAGACACGTGTGATGGAGGATAGAAGGCGTGGAGACATGAGAGATGCAGGATAGATGGCGTTGAAGTGGTTGTTATACAGGTAGGATGACGTGGGACACTTGTGATGCAGGAAAGATGGCGTGGAGACATGAGAGATGCAGGATAGATGGCGTTGAAGTGGTTGTTATACAGGTAGGGTGACGTTTAGACACGTGTGATGCAGGGTAGATGGCGTCGGACACGTTTGGTGCACGATAGATGGCGTGGCAGTATTTTTAATAGAAATAGGATGGCGAAGAAATAGCTGATACCGAAAGATGATGTTATAGATTTATATATTACAAGACAATGTTTGTGGAATTTGTATTCAGTAGGGGTGGCGTGGAAATACACTGGCTGATTTGCGGAAGTATCAGCTAAAGGGGCATATTTCGTCTCTTTAGAGGAAAGGATCTAATTCTTTGGGGTTTTCAAAAACTAGACTCCAACTTCGGATTAAACTGTGAAACATAAACATTTGTCACATAAAGATGTATGTTAAGCAGAGCTTTGAAACTCTATTTTGATAAGTTTGTTAGAAACGAGGACGTTTGATATCAGTTTTCAACCCAGCTTGTGTCTCCAACATTTTAACTGCTCCTTGTTGACAATCACCTGCAGGTCGTGTTCTCCTCAGGTGTAGCAGGTGGAGTGTCCTTCGCTGCCACCCTGACAACATCCGGTCAACTAACGGGAAACGCCACCATCGTTTTCGACAACGTCCTTCTCAACACCGCAGGGGCCTACAACTCCTCCAACGGCGTCTTCACGGCGCTCTTCTACGGCATCCACTACTTCAGCGCAACAATCAGAGCAGATTCAAACACAGCGCTCACGACAGGCGTTGTGAAAAACGGCCTCGTGGTCTCCCGAATTGCGTCCCTGGCCACTTCCGGTGATGGACAGGGGTCAGTAAGCATTACTCTAAATCTCGACCCCGGGGACCGAGTGTGGGTTCGGGCAGACCAGAATGCATCTGGGCAGCTCAGGACAGAGTCGGGGTGGAACGTCTTCACCGGGTTTCAACTAAACTCAGTCATATAAACGTGTGCTGTCTTGTGGAACATTACAGGGCGGATTACATTGAATTCCTGGCTTAACAATAAATTGGTGTTACACATACGAGAACGTAGTGTTTAATTGCATCATTTCTGTTCTGAAACCACTCAGTCAAAATACCGGACGGACACTGACGTATTTGTCTGAATATTTATTACGATCAAAACAATATCCTGTTTAACTCAGTACCAGATCACCAACCATGTTGCTTTATAAGGTGTTGTGCACGTGCAATGACGTCATTACTGTAGTCGCTGCCAGTTGTTCCGACGTCGAGGTGTGCCCATGTAGCAACGTTGCCAACCCCAGCGTTATAGGCCGACACACCTCCTACAGATGAAACGCACAAATGTATAGTTGCTACTGTTTCAAGGCATCGGCTTGAAATGTCACGATTTATCAGATTAAACAAAATGCGTCCATTTGTTTTTCATTATTAGAAGAGGTATTCCATGTCTACGATTCAAATAATAATGACACGTACAGCGCTTTGAAAACAATCTAAGATCTGTGTAATCAAACCCACAGCCGAATGGCTGTTACTTCGCGTTACCCTGGTTACCATAACGCCCTGCGGAACTTGACTCCCGTGGATTATGCTGATGTGAACACCCTTGACTTTTGAGTGTCCAGGGATGGTATAACACAGAATGTGATACTGAAACTGCAGCCTCATGACACCACGGTTAAATGAGTGAGTGTGTTAGTATGGGTTTACGCCTCTTGAGCAATATTCCAGCAATAATACGGCGGAGGACAACAGAAATGTCACACATTGTACCCATGTCGGGAATCGAACCCGGGTCTTCGGCGTGACGAGCGAACGCTTTAACCACTAGGCTACCCAACCGCCCCCCGCGGTTAAACAACCAATAGAGTATACCTTGCATTTGTTGTTCGGGTGACCATGTCGGGTGCTTGGCCTTCACCTGCTTGATGTAGGGCACAAGGATGACACGGGTCATCTGGTCGATATGGTCACAGCTATCCCACGCGTACTTCTGGCACGTGGAGCCCAGACCGGAAGCAAACACATCACACTGGAAATGGGGAAATGGGAGACAACTGTCATACATCTGTTTATGTAACCTTAGTAACCTTCATTGACTCCAAAACATATTATGTCAATGAAGTTTTAATTAAGTTTGTTTTATCATTGCGGTTTGCTGTCCAAGAGTGAACATCTAGGTTGCCGCGGAAGGTTTCACACTCATATTGCAAGGTCACGCCAGATCGAGACAGGCTTCCACACATGTTTATGCATTTTCCATATTTATAACGTGACGTGACGCCCTACCCCCTACAGCACACCCTACCCACCTGCAAGAAGACCCACCCCTACAGCACGCCCTACCCCCCTACATGAAGCCCCAACCATATAGCACGCCCTATCTTAGCAATAGGACCAATAGCACACCCCACCAACCTGTATCATGCCCCACCCCCTATAGCTGGCCCCTCACACCTAAATTGATGCCCCACCCGCTATAGCACGTCCTACCCACCTAAATGATGCTCCTACCCCTATAGCACGCCCTACCCACCTAAATTATGCCCCTACCCCTATAGCAAGGCTTACCCACCTAAATGATGCTCCACCCCCTACAGCACGCCCTATATTAGGCCCCACTCCCTATAGCACGCCCTACCCACCTGCCTGCTGCCCCGCCCCCTTCTCCATACCCTACCCACCTGCATGATGCCCCGCCCCCTATAGCACGTCGTACCCACCTGCCTGCTGCCCCGCCCCTTTCTCCATACCCTACCCACCTGCATGATGCCCCGCCCCCTATAGCACGCCCTACCAACCTGCCTGCTGCCCCGCCCCCTACTCCATACCATACCCACCTGCATGATGCCCCGCCCCCTATAGCACGTCGTACCCACCTGCCTGCTGCCCCGCCCCCTTCTCCATACCCTACCCACCTGCATGATGCCCCGCCCCCTATAGCACGCCCTACCAACCTACCTGCTGCCCCGCCCCGTACTCCATACCCTACCCACCTGCATGATGCCCCGCCCCCTATAGCACGTCGTACCCACCTGCCTGCTGCCCCGCCCCCTTCTCCATACCCTACCCACCTGCATGATGCCCCAGGCGTGGTGATGGTCGCCCCATCCCCCTGTGCTGTACAGCAGCTTTCCGCCCCGTGTTTCCCGACTAGCGACGCCGGCAACTACGGCTGGGTGGATGCCTGGAGCCAGAGAGATAGTAGATGTCACAAACTCTGCAAGAACACTTCCACAGTAGTCATTTAAGAACGCTTCTTATTTACTGGTGAATTTCGTGTACCAGCATCAGTAATGCTGATCCACTTCAACGTAAATTAAGACGAAACGATTTCACGGTGTAAGCATAACTTATCATGGAAGCTCAGTATATTTTTGTTCCTTGGACGCCGATGTGGAAACTTTCTTTTGTCTTCCTTGATTGATTTGTAAATGTCGATGCTGGATTGACGGCTCTGAACGTACAGTTGTTAGCTCCGGCTCGGACGTAGCAGGACTTCCGCTTGCTGAGTTCCGCATAGTCCTGGTCCACCATGTGATTGGACGCCTGCACACCTGGAAAGTAAGCTGGCAGACTTAGTTCTTACATACCCGCAGTCTGGTCTAGACACCTAGACACACCTAGACACACCAAGACGCACCAAGACACACCAAGACACACCAAGGACTTCTATACCCAGAATCAACTTCAGAGTATTGCATATTATGTACATAGTACATAGTACATCTACCCTTACCTCTCCTTCCTACCCAAATTCCCGAACTGAAATAAATGTTTACACATATACATTGACCCGAACCAGAATAGGCTTCACACCTTGACATTACTGCCTACTTGAGTAGCCAAGACACCCACCATACCGACCCGAATAGTACCATAACCCACCTGACACACACCCCCATCCTACTTACCTGCGTGGCTAACACACACCAACCTATCCTACTTACCTGCGTGGCTAACATACACCCACCCATCCTACTTACCTGCGTGGCTAACACACAACCGCCCATCCTACTTACCTGCGTGGCTAACACACAACCGCCCATCCTACTTACCTGCGTGACTAACACACAACCGCCCATCATACTTACCTGCGTGGCTAACACACAACCGCCCATCCTACTTACCTGCGTGGCTAACACACACCCGCCCATCCTACTTACCTCCGTGGCTAACAGACACCCGCCCATCATACTTACCTGCGTGGCTAACATACACCCACCCATCCTACTTACCTGCGTGGCTAACACACACCCACCCATCCTACTTACCTCCGTGGCTAACAGACACCCGCTCATCCTACTTACCTGCGTGGCTAACACACACCCACCCATCCTACTTACCTGCGTGGCTAACACACACCCACCCATCCTACTTACCTGCGTGGCTAACACACACCCACCCATCCTACTTACCTGCGTGGCTAACACACACCCACCCATCCTACTTACCTGCGTGGCTAACATACACCCACCCATCCTACTTACCTGCGTGGCTAACACACACCCACCCATCCTACTTACCTGCGTGGCTAACACACACCCACCCATCCTACTTACTTGCGTGGCTAACAGACACCCACCCATCCTACTTACCTGCGTGGCTAACACACACCCACCCATCCTACTTACCTGCGTGGCTAACATACACCCACCCATCCTACTTACCTGCGTAGCTAACACACACTCACCCATCCTACATCCCTAGCCAACATACCCCTATCCACCCTACCAATCACAGTAGCCAACACATCACTATCCACCCTAACAATCACAGTAGCCAACATACCCCTATCCACCCTACCATTCACAGTAGCCAACGTACCCCTATCCACCCTATCAATCACAGTAGCCAACACATCACTATCCACCCTACCAATCACAGTAGCCAACATACCCCTATCCACCCTACCAATCACAGTAGCCAACACATCACTATCCACCCTACCAATCACAGTAGCCAACACATCACTATCCACCCTACCAATCACAGTAGCCAACATACCCCTATCCACCCTATCAATCACAGCACCAAACACATCACTATCCACCCTACCAATCACAGTAGCCAACACATCACTATCCACCCTATCAATCACAGTAGCCAACACATCACTATCCACCCTACGAATCACAGTAGCCAACACATCACTATCCACCCTATCAATCACAGTAGCCAACACATCAATATCCACCCTACCAATCACCGTAGCCAACATACCCCTATCCACCCTACCAATCACAGTAGCCAACGTACCCCTATCCACCCTATCAATCACAGCACCCAACACATCACTATCCACCCTACCAATCACAGTAGCAAACATACCCCTATCCACCCTACCAATCACAGTAGCCAACGTACCCCTATCCACCCTACCAATCACAGTAGCCAACACATCACTATCCACCCTACCAATCACAGTAGCCAACACATCAATATCCACCCTACCAATCACATCACTATCCACCCTACCTACCCGAGTACCCTAAGCCCGAGGATGTTCTGGCGCTGGCTCCAGCGGGGCGTAACTTCATCACGTCGCCGTAGCAGTTGTAGTTGCCGCCGCTTGAAGCTGAAAATGTTACCAATAATTAGTTATATCGCCGCTGAAGTTTGTTTGTTGTTTAACGCTGCCCTCAGTAATATTCTAGCAATATGACTGTGGTCTGAAATAATCGAGTGTCGAGCAGACAATCGAGTGGTTGATATCACGAGCATATCGATCCACGCAATTTGGATACAATGACAAGCATCAACCAAGTCAGCCAGCCTGACCACCCGATTCCGTCAGTCGCCTTTTACGACAAGCTTGGGTTACTGAAGACCAATTCTAACCTACATCTCACGGTAGAAGTGAAGGGTCAGACACCTACACAATACCTACAGCTTCAGGTGACACGGTAGAAGTGAAGGGTCAGACACCTACACAATACCTACATCTGCAGGTGACACGGTAGAAGTGAAGGGTCAGACACCTGCACAATACCTACATCTTCGGGTGACACGGTAGAAGTGAAGTGTCAGACACCTGCACAATACCTACATCTGCAGGTGACACGGTAGAAGTGAAGGGTCAGACACCTACACAATACCTACATCTGCAGGTGACACGGTAGAAGTGAAGGGTCAGATACCTGCACAATACCTACATCTGCAGGTGACACGGTAGAAGTGAAGGGTCAGACACCTGCACAATACCTACATCTGCAGGTGACACGGTAGAAGTGAAGGGTCAGACACCTGCACAATACCTACATTTGCAGGTGACACGGTAGAAGTGAAGGGTCAGACACCTACACAATACCTACATCTTCAGGTGACATGGGAGAAGTGAAAGGTCAGACACCTACACAATACCTACATCTTCGGGTGACACGGTAGAAGTGAAAGGTCAGACACCTACACAATACCTACATCTTCAGGTGACACGGTAGAAGTGAAAGGTCAGACACCTGCACAATGCCTACATCTGCAGGTGACATGGGAGAAGTGAAAGGTCAGACACCTACACAATACCTACATCTTCAGGTGACACGGTAGAAGTGAAGGGTCAGACACCTGCACAATACCTACATATTCAGGTGACACGGTAGAAGTGAAAGGTCAGACACCTGCACAATACCTACATATTCAGGTGACACGGTAGAAGTGAAAGGTCAGACACCTGCACAATACCTACATCTTCAGGTGACACGGTAGAAGTGAAAGGTCAGACACCTGCACAATACCTACATATTCAGGTGACACGGTAGAAGTGAAGGGTCAGACACCTGCACAATACCTACATCTTCAGGTGACACGGTAGAAGTGAAAGGTCAGACACCTGCACAATACCTACATCTTCAGGTGACACGGTAGAAGTGAAGGGTCAGACACCTGCACAATACCTACATTTGCAGGTGACACGGTAGAAGTGAAGGGTCAGACACCTGCACAATACCTACATCTTCAGGTGACACGGTAGAAGTGAAAGGTCAGACACCTACACAATACCTACATCTTCAGGTGACACGGTAGAAGTGAAGGGTCAGACACCTACACAAAACCTACACCACCTAAGGTGTCATAGTTGAACAGAAGGTCAGACAGACACACACACACACGCACGCACGCATGGACGCACGGACACACACACACACACACACACACACACACACACAATACCTACATCCACAAGTGTCATGGCTGAAACAGCAGACGTCACTTCCCGAGCAGAGACTGGCCAACTTGAAGTTGTCCGCACAACAGCTCGCCTTCATGCATCCAACTCCATGAGTTCCCGCGTGCGTTCCTGTCAGCACGTGCGATGTACACGCATCACCTTCCAAAGAAAATAGTTTCTGTTTCATACTTTTCAAGCGCGGTTACAGAATTTGGAAAAGGAATAGAATTATTTTTAAAAAAGAATTTGGAAAAGGTGGGGTGCATTTTGTTATTTGTAACAGTTACAAGGGCGCAGTTACCATGTCTGGTGTCTGATGGGTGTGTGGGGGATTGTGTAACAATAATAACATAACATAAACCCGAAATACACAACACAGCGATCTGTACGAGTTATAATGACATACACATTCATGTGTAAGCGTCTGAAAAAAACCACGAAATATTTGTTCTTGGTTAAAAGCCATAAGTACTGGCAATAAATATCGAAATCTGGTATTCATATAATTACAAATTGACATATAAAAGTTTCCATGTCAATAACCATGAGTGTTATTTATCATATTAATAATAATAATAAATTCATTTATAGACAACATATATAACTTAAGGCTGGTGTTCCTCAGGGAAGCATATGAGTAGGTTATTCAAGTATAGTATTATTAAATCATGGCTAAAGCAAATGCATTTACTTTTCCAAGTTTACTAGAGTCTCAAACAGTAGGTTCTCCATTAAGTACTTCATAGATATTGAGTTTCAGGAAGCTAATCCCTTCAATCTCTTAGTTCCAGGAAGGCGTCATGTACAAGTAAATACGTTTAGAAGTGACTTACTTCTTGACGTAAAGCCTTTGAGCACACACCTCTAATTTTCAAAGTTGAGTGGAAAAACAAGTACAGGTTAAAGTTTACAATACGTCTTAGCAGTGCACCAACATGCCAAGTAACCCGTGAAGACCCGGGGTCGAATAGGTCTTCAGCAACCCATGCTTGCCGTAAAAGGCGGCTATGCTTGTCGTAAGAGGCGACTTACCGGGCTCGCTGACTTGGTTGATACATGCCATCGTATCCCAAACGTGTGGATCGATGTTCATAATGTCAATCACTGGATTGTCTGGCCCAAACTCGATTATATACATACCGCCGTTATACGAGGGGCGATTGATAAATTGTGAGCCTACCTCTGAAGGAGTGTGGTACGGAAGATTCCTTTGTGATGGTGATAGACTGATCAAGTACAGTGACATGCACAGGAGGATTGTTGTATTAGACACATTATTTAGTTTAGTATAAGCTATTGACTGCAAGGGGGGTTATGAGATGACTTAAAATGGAGAAACAGGAAAAGCGAGCTGTTATCAAATACCTTTACAAGAAAGGCTTAACACCCAATGCCATATATGAGGATATGTTATCCACACTAGGGGAAGATGCCCCGTCATATGCAATAGTGAAATAGTGGGTGGCAGAGTTTAAACGTGGGCGATCGAGCACTGATGATGAACCCCGTCCTGGTCCACCTGTTGTGTCCTCAACACCTGAAATGGCGCAGCGAATCCTGGACAAAGTCATGGACGACCGACGAGTGACACAGCGACAGATAGCCAACTTAGTGGACATCTCTCAGGAGCGAGTGCATTTCATTCTGACAGATATTCTAGGAACGCACAAGGTTTCTGCTCGATGGGTCCCCAAACTGTTGAAAGCTGATCAGAAACGTCAAAGAGAGAATCTCTCAAGGGAGAACCTCAAGCTTTTTTAAGGTGATCCAGATAATAACTTTCTCAAACGATTTGTTACAATGGACGAAACATGGTTCCACCACTTTGAACCTGAATCAAAACAACAGTCTAAACAGTGGAAACATGTCACATCTCCTACTCCAAAGAGGACAGAGTCTGTGCCTTCAGCTGGGAAGTCATGGCATCCGTGTTTTGAGATTCTGAAGGTGTGATCATGGTGGACTGGCTTCCTTAAAGGCCGTACTGTTACAGGGGCTTACTATGTGGAACTTCTGAGATAGTTAAGAGAGAAAATCAAAGTTACGCGACGTGGAAAGTTGACGAAAGGTGTGCTTTATCATCACGACAATGCTCCAGCACACACATCACTGATAGCAATGGCCAAATCCATGAGTGTGGCTTTGAACTTCTCCAACATCCACCTTATTCACCTGATTTGGCTCCGTCGGACTATCATCTGTTCCCACAGTTGAAAAGGCATTTAGCTGGAACTTATTTCCAGTCAGATGATGACGTCATTACAGCGGTCAACAACTTTTTGAGTGACCAAGAAGTTGGCTTCTACAAAAGTGGCGTAATGGCATTGCAACATCGCTGGCAGAGGTGTGTTGACCTTAAAGGGGACTATGTCGAAAAATAAATAGCTTTGGTATCAAACTGACTTTGTTTTCTTTGTTAGGCTTAGAACTTATCAATCGCCCCTCGTATAGCTGGAATATTGCTGAGTGCGGCGTTAAACAACAAACAAACAAGCATGCCAAGTTTACAATCACATCTGACTCACAGGAGTATTGTCACAGTAATCACGAGAATCACCATCCGCAACACCGACCAGCAGCCACACATTCAGAGTGAGTGCAGTGTGCCATGTGGGCGGTAGTATAGCGATGAACGATTAGGACGAACAAACGTTTAATACATGTTTTGACGCTGAATCGAGTCAGCAGGACACGAAAGGACAGTACATGTATGTCTGTCTTGGTGTGATAGTACCGTTTGGTATTACGGGTTCAGGGCCTCTGCCACAAAAAAGACACATCCACTGCGACAAATATACTTGTGTCATTCAAATTTGTTCCATGAACTTCATGAAGGCAGTGGTTTAGTGGATAGAACGGAAGAGCGGAAGGTCGGTTGTTCGATCCCCTGGTAATTTTAAGATAAAACAACGGCTGGTCGACTCGGAGTCAGTGTACCGTGTCTAGGTGGGGTATCCATCTTAAGCTGCGACATAGTATCTAATTGGGCTAGCACTATAAAACCGGCGGAAGTACTAACCAGTACATGCAGCCACACACAGCGCTATGATACAAGAGCAATATTCTTTAACGCGACGTCAAACACCATGTCACTTAACCTCACCTCATTTCGGGGGCGGTGGGGTAGCCTAGTGGTTAAAGCGTTCGCTCGTCACGCCAAAGACCCGGGTTTGATTCCCCACATGGGTACATTGTGTGAAGCCCATTTCTGGTGTCTCCCGCCGTGATATTGATGGAATAGTGCTTAAAGCGGCGTAAAAACATACTAACTCACTCCTCAGACTGAATTATATAGACCACCAGAAACACGTGGCGCATGGATGTAAGGTCACTATCAGGGATGGTGATTAAATAGCACACATGACCCGTCTCTGCTTGGAGAAACCACTTGGTATGTTGACCAGGCAACTGTAACTACACGTGTATACCGCGTCAGTTCTAGTGGTACGTACCATTAACGGCAGCGACGGCTGCGGTCAAGACAAGGAAAATGTGCATGGCTTGAACTGATGTCGCCGAGGAAACAGCTCTTCACCTAAAGGACTATGTCCACGGTCTTTTAGAAACAGGTGCGGCCTCTAATCTCACAGACTGATAACACAAAGCCATAACATACACATGGAAAGCACAGCTTAGTGTTTATTTCCATATCTACGATAGTCGTAGCGCTAAGAATACTTTGTGGATCGTGGTCATGAATTAATGTGCCGATCCTCGTCTCGTTTTGAGATCCCTGCACTTATATAGCACACGTGCATACACGTGCGTGCGTGCGTGCGTGCGCGCGCCCTCGTTTTAACCCTTTAATGCCGAGCGCCAGACAGGGTAACAACAAGTACCATCTTTTAACATCTTTTGGTATGACGCGGCTGGGGAATAATGTGCCGATGAAACATCTGTGTTTGATTACTAAACTGCCAGACAAAAGAACGTATACATCAGTATTTGTTGGTGGCGAAACATTAACCAAACAAGAAATGGTTATCCGATGGTGGTGTATTTGATATGGGTATCACAGTTGTGTTCTTTTTCAGACCCGGGCTGATTCCCATATGGGTACAATGTGTGAAGCCCACATCTTGTGTCCCCCGCCGTGATATTGCTGGAACATTGCTAAATGCGGCGTAAAGCAATACTCACTCACTGTGTTTTTGGACATTAAGGTTGGGTGTTTAAGCGACTGTTTTCAGCCTAGTAACGTTTTGTTAACGTTTTATTTATTTTTTGCTCAAATCAAATTTTCAAGTGTGTACGTTCTTTTACGCTGTGACGCAATTTTATTAAACACAGAGGACGATACCTCACTTCATGTTTTGTAACTGTTCCATGGCCAGTTGCCTCCTCTATGTGTGCATCATGTGATAAGACGGTCTGGAGGAACATACAGCACCGTTCTTCAGCGGGTATGGGTGGAATCTAACAAAACAAAAACAGCTGTCGTGTAGAGATTTCCAACCGATCCACGAAACCTTTAACTTTGCCTACAGAGAATCAAGAATTTGATTTAGATTTTTCTTTTTTATTGTAATGTATTGTATTTTGATATATTCTTTTCCAAATTGATTTGTGGCGTTTTGACATTGATAGCCCTGGGGATGTTGCAGGACTTTATCCATGTGTATAAATATCAAGGGTGCCATGCCGTGGTTGAAATATCTAAGATTAATTAAACGTTAGAAAGTGACAGTAGTCCCACAGTATGGCTAACGTATCCAAAGGATTTGTAGAAATGTGTTTTCTTGTATATAGACCCGTAGTCTGTAGTTACTTAACTATACAAAATGACGAACAATCCTGTGTACTATAAATAAATCACATTAAAATAAAATTGTCATGGACTTTTCGGGATCTTGCACTTGTCATGATTACCCATGATGACCCAGAAATTGCACGTGCCATCCTGTCATTGTATATGTAGCAGGGCGTGGAGTCATCCAACAGATGACATCTTTCCCTTGCCAGGTTTGCCCTAAAAGGCGACTATGCTTGTCGTAAAAGGCAACTAACGGGATCGGGTGGTCAGGCTCGCTGACTTGGATGATGCATGTCGTCGTATCCCAATTGCGTGGATCGATGCTCATGATGTCAATCACTGGATTGTCTGGTCCAGACTCGATTATTTGCAGACCGCCGTCATAAAGCTGGAATATTGCTGAGTTCGGCGTTAAACAACAAATAAACAAAAAAAACCTTGCAGTGTTTTAACTGTGAAAAACTTTGTTGACGACCGAACCTCGTAAACGTTAAACCACAGCTAGCTGAAATAGAGCGGTTGCGTGACATTTTCAGTGCTTGAAACCGGGATTACACGCAAAGTTTGCTTATCGCAAAACCGTACAGTTACCATGGCAACATCATGAGCGTTCAGGGCGCCCACGAGTATGTGACGTTTGCAAGATAATCCTATCCGTCTGGTACATATTCTGGGTCGTACCATGAATCTCTGTGTCGCAAATCACTACCACGGCGAAGGCAGTAATTAAAGGACCGAGCCACTCCATAATGTCGCTTAAGATCCTGTGTTTGTGCCTAAGCTGGACACCCACTGACAATATGTTGGACAGTCTCAATGAAGTCATGGCATAATCTACATTTCTAATTTACATTCTGATGGAAAATCACACATTGACGGATTCGAGTGGGAAGTGACTGGTCCTGAGCAGCCTTGTGATTCACTTTTCTGGCCAGCCAACTTCATCCAACCGGATGACTCTTTAGGGTTGCTGATCTTCTCAACGCACTGAGGGGCGGTCGGGTAGCCTGGTGGTTAAAGCGTTCACTCGTCACGCCGAAGACCCGGGTTCGATTTCCGACATGGGTACAATGTGTGAAGCCCATTTCTGGTGTCCCCCGCCGTGATATTGCTGGAATATTGCTAAAAGCGGCGTAAAACCATACAGAGTCTGTCAGTCTCAACGCACTGTACACGACCTCGATGAAGTGGTCGTTCAGATAGCCTCTCCTTGAAAACCTTAGCTTAGTTGACATTCATTTCTGTACCTGAACCACCAACAAAATGGACATTAACACTGAGATTATGTCCCACATCCTAGGCTTGTTGAAGAAAACTGTGGAATACCTTGTTTTCATGTGTTTTGACATGCTTCACAAAAGGATCATCAGACAAATAAATGTGTGCAAAAGCACAATAAAGTTCTAAAGAGCCTCCACGTTAGTCAATCCACGCCCTCTCATTATAACTGGTAAATACAAGCGATTGGGGGAAGAGCGAGGGTGGTGGGATCTATTGTTTGACATGATTCTTCGTGTGAGGGCGTCATTCCCGTGAATTTCCTGTTTCGTCCAATCAACAACACCAAAAGTATACGAGAGGACTGGTACAGCAAAAGTATTTGTGGCTTTGACTTTGTAACTCCAGATTATTTAAGTCTACATTTGTACTATGCCCGAAGAGTTTCCTTGATATAGGCAAGATGGAGTTTGTCCCTAATCTGCATCCCCAAGTACGTATAGGCCTGACCTTCCACGAGATGGTCCAACCCACCAAACATATTGCATGCGGACGCGCGTGCGTGTGTGTCCTTGTTTTTGCCCCTTAATGCCGAGCGCCAGGCAGGGCAACAACAAGTACCATTTTTTAATGTCTTTTGGTATGACGCGGTCGGGGGTCGGACCCCGGGCCTTTCGCTCTCCGGGCGGACGCTCTACCACCACACCACGGAGGCGGCATTTGTAAGCAAGTGACAACAGCGGACGTCACAGGCGAAACTTCAACCCACAACGTTAACGCTGGAATATGCAGCTGTCCAACAAGAGATGTCCTCGAACCAGTATTGTAAAGAGAGCAGGTACCTTATCCAGGCGAGTGAGTCTTAAACGTTTACCACTTTGGTAAAACCCACAAGCACAGGTATGGTGCTGACAAACGTAATCAGGGTGAACCGAGACGCCCAAGGGACGCAACTCTGCACAGCAAACTGCGGCGCCAAACACGACTGGGCCAAATACCCCAAATATGCGAGTACGTATGCAATGTATCAGATCGTTATTATTACAGGGAGTCTTACACAGGTCATCAGAGGCCGGTGTGCTACGGGGTTCAGTGCTTGGACAGTCTTATTCCTTTGGTTATAACAGTTGACCATTGCATTGTACGACAAGACGTTTTGACCATCAATACGGCCAGCTTCCCGAGGCAAGAGAGTTAACTGACGATAAAAGTCCAGTTTCCACCCAGTATTATGGAGTTACATTTTGGCTGGACTAAAGAGTCTATGCATAGTCCAATCAAAATCTCGCAACGAAATCGAAATCCGGTTCGTAAACTGTCGTGCAGATTTCGGTCGATTGCAGGATTTGCAAAACATGTGCACCGCCAACTAGTTGTCAACAGATATTTTCCAAACTTTTTCATGTTTTTAATCAAGGTGCTCGCGTGATTTGATGCAGTTCGCGATGTAAGACTCGTTTTATCACAATATAGATTTTGATTATCGATCAGATCGTCTTGACTGGGCGCCACCATTTTGTTTGAAACAAATGCAAGTGATGGAATCGGATTGGTCCATAGGAGAGGCTCAGAAGGGATATAACTCATAATAACTACTGGTGGCGCTACGATCGAGCCCAGGAATTCCAGCTAAGTTCGACTTATTAAAGTCAGTTAACTCTCTTGCCTCGGGAAGATGCAATACGGCTGTCACTCAAAAACAACTAGTTGCTCGTATGAATCCTTAATGACAATCACGAGAACGTATTTCACTAGGTCAGTCTGACATCATATTATTAAATATCATGATATTCAACTCAAGAAATATTTAACTATAATAAAAACGGCGATAAACAATAAACATTTTCAAGTAAAGTTTTCATTTTGACAAATGGATTTGTCCTTTAACTGACGTCATCCAACAATGTTCAACCAGACTCACCTTCGATTGTTTCAATATAATGTGCCGATACTGCGTTCCTACACTAACCTTAGGACACAGTGGGCGTGTCCTCATATATGTTTGTATTTCAATCTTTCCTAAATAACTTTAATATTTTTTCGTCACGATATGGCTGGAATATTGCCGATGTGACGTAAAGCATTAACTCACTCACTAATATTTTTTCGTTATATCATCGACGAGCTGACGTCATTCATCATTGCGGTTGTTTTTTAAGAATAACTCTGTTTTTGTTTCGTCACAGCTAGTTATTGATTGCCTTTATCGATTAAACCATAATTATTTTGTTTTCATTCAAATAAGAATTGACTTCCACTTTGTGTGAGTTCATTGGAGTGTGAACCTCCACGGCGTGAAGGCCAAACTGTAATGATGTGGAAATATTCCGTATCCTTACATCAATTTATAAATCCTGTTTGTTCAAACACAATATAATGTTCCCCATTGACCAGTAGACTTAATCAGGTGTAAATTTCTTTGGGAAAAATACTTCCTGAAACGCGTAACATGCCCGATATATGAAGGATTATTCATACTTTCCTATGCGTGTAACGGAGAAATTACCCCCTCAGAAGATTCAGATGGACAGACACCTGGTGGCGATGCTGCCTTAAGCATATAAGTAACAATATCAATATCAATAGGTGATGCAGTTTTAAAGAACGCAAACGAGACAAAAAGCAATCGATGACTGCCATTTACATATTATCACTACATATATATATCACATCATTTACATTATTTAAAATCGTGAAATCAAAGTGGGTATTATTATATTCATATTGGACACGAAATATTTTACTCATCACTAGACAGCTACATGCAACATACAATGAATCCCTGGAAGGACTCGTTTTTAGATGATCTAACGATGCTAATGATGTCCATTTATATGGGAGTACACATTTTCCCACATCAGACAACACCAAAGCAGTACACCAACACTAACAGTATCAGACTATTTTAATATTGAATATTGTTTAATCATTTTCCTTTCTCGTAAACATGTTGCTTTTTGTGACCCTGTGTATCGTGAACAGAGAGGTTATATGGTAGTTTTCATATCATACCCCATGTCAACCCGAGACCCCCATATCAGCCAGAAGGCCGACAAAAACTTCCATATAATAACCTTTTTATCATAAGCCATAACACAAAATTGTAAAATATATCGATTTGCAAGTGAATGCAAAACATTATCACCTTGTTTGGAAAAGCAAGATGAGTAGACGACGCACAAAGGGACGTAACTCTAATTTCTTACCATCCGGGCTTGTATGGATCGCCCATTCAAAATGCATTAACAAGTCTGGTTAGTACACCCCAGTGATATGACCGTCTCCATCGCACATGTAAAAGGCCATATATAGGTATATGATATGATGGGGGTGGTGCGTGCGTGTGTGCGTTGCTGCGTGTACTACTCCGGACTAATGCCGATTTTATAGTGCTAGCCCACTCAGACACAGTATACCGACTAGAGACAACCAGTCTTTGTTTTAACCCATTAATGCCGAGAGTACTAACAAATAACATTTTTTACGTCTTCTGGTATGACGTGGCCACTAGACCACAGAGGCGGTCGAGTTAGCATGTGTAAAACTTGGTTACATTCAATTATAACTTGACATGGAATAACATCCATATCGGTTGTGTACTGTGACTAATGTGAACGTCATTCAATGTCACTTTAACTGGGTTTCTTTTTTGTCGTGACCTTGTCCTTTCACCTCGTGATATGGAAAATGGATTTTCCCGGTCCATTTGGAAAAAGCGGATGGACGGATGGATGTCCTCATTGTCAAAAATCGCCTTCGTATACCACGTTCGGACAACTTTAAAGCAGGCCCATTTCCCGAGTGCAGAGAGAATCTGGGAAAGGTCACCCCAAAAATATGATGGCTTCTTGGTGAGGGTCATAAAACTTAATAGACATATTTGGTGAAGGTCTTGGTAAAAAGGACATCTTAAAATATTTTGCAATTCTTTTCAGGGAGGGTCATGCAATAAATGACCAGTCACTTACAACAAATACAGTTTCAATATTCACTGACCTGAGATGATCATGTTTATTTACAATGACTTTACATAACACTCAACACAAGAATAGCATGACACACTGTTGACACATGTCAATCACTCACTAGACCATCCAACACTCTGTTCACAGGCAGGGGGAGTGGCCAACAACAGCCACACCCCCAGTTCACAGATCAAGCTTCAGCATTGTGAGATCAGGGTGGACGTCCAATACATCCACAAATATAACAGTGGACAGCAAGGAAAAGTAGTTTCAAATCTTATGAAAGAAAACCCAAAAAATAGATGTATTAAATGTATTTGATGTTAAATAATCAAAGTTTCAAAAGTATTAGAATTGTTTAATAAAGCTAGTTGCTACCTATAAGACTAATTACAATCACCCTTGAAGAAAAGACAGGTGTAGCCTGGTAACCATGGTCACCATGTTAGTGTACAAATATGTCCAAGGTAATAAATTAGGGAATTCATTATCCATACCATAACACCAATTAACAAAATAGGCGGGAAATCACCTAAACTAAAATACAAAATATATAAATCAGTTGTTTGTCATTGACCAGATAAGACAGAGGTGACATCAGCCTAAATTCAGATCTACTGAGAGGTGACATACCAGGACTCCAAATCACTGTGTGCTTACAGTAACCAGATACCTTCCTATCAGAAAACATTACAAACTGGTAAAAATATTTTAGAAGTTTCAAACCCAGGTTTGAACTAATTTTTGATGATTAACTAATGCTTGTGTGGTGGTCTGAAACTTTATTTGCAACAACTATGCAAAACATACACACTGTTTTAAAGCACAAAAACAACAGTTATGCCTCCAAACATTAATGAACCGAATGCTGCCTATAAAAAAAGCTAACCATTTGTCCGAGTCCCTTGGTAGGCTCAACCCGACAACATGTACCGATAGCCTCACACATACTGGAAAACAAACACAATCTTTCAGGGTAATAAAACATAAGCCAATTAATTCAGAATCTGCAAATTGATGTCTTACAAATTGAGAATCCTCAAATTAATGTCTTTCAAATCGAGAATCTGCAAATTAATGTCTTTCAAATGAAGAATCTGCAAATTGATGTCTTTCAAATTGAGAATCTGTAAATTAATGTCTTCAATGTCTTTCAAATTCAGAACCTGAAAGTGTTTCCATTGTTTTCAAGCATGAAAACCTCCTACTGTGAAGTTCCCTGCAGTCGGAGTACATCTTGCCAAATCCCCCCCACCCTTGGAATAAATAAACAGATGTGAAAACACAGAGATGAGGCCGAGCCGAGGAGGGGGGAGGGACTTGAGACAAGGCATAGCCAGCTTCCTCTGTCAGTGAAAACAAGCCAGCCAGCAGTCATCCTACTGATACCCCACCACAAGTGTTGAAGTAGCAACTTACGGTAGCAGTAGCTGCAAGATCACCAGGACTGGCTGGATCTGGGAAACAGGTACTTCATGTCAAAAAAACTAAAACGCAAAACGATATGATGCCAGCCGACTTAGAAGAACCGAGGCAGATAAGCTTATTAGTGAAAAATGTTAATGATTTCATTAATATTTACAGGAATTACAGCTATTGAAATCCAGCCCATCCAATAGCTAATGGGCTACAAATCCAAACACTATAAAACGCATATGAAATATTTGTTTTATTTTAAAATTTTGGCATCAAGTACCTGTGAGAGGTGGAATGGTTCAGGTACAACACTTTTCCAATGCTATATAACAATCCATTATGATCCAATTGTACAGCAAATCATTATATTTATAATCATTGCAATTAATTCTCAAGTGAAGCTAAATGACGCAGATGGGGCTGGTAAATGCGGCTTCCCTGCATAAGAAGCACTACCTACAACCTGACCAGGAAATATCTCATTAAGTGGTATAATACATGATAATGGACAAAAAATAACATGAAGATTGAAAGCATGATAATAAATGTAACGCTGTGACAGGAACCAATCTGCACCAACTTCACATGGATGTATACGAGGTATGAAAAATACTGAATGCTTCATATTCAACTTGAGGGAAGGACAAAATGCAAAGTTGATTTAAAAAATCCTTAAAAATTCTATAAAATGATTCAATGGAAGAGAACAATATTGGCAAATTTTGACAGAGTATGTCTATGAACACTTTGCAAGTTGATTGTGCTGGATGTTATATACAATGCTACACAATGGGAAATATACATGGCTGTACAGCTGGGTAGACACGGCCACTCACATAGCTGTACAGCAGGACAACTCCATGCCTTACGGTCACAGCGGCCCTATATACAATGGATTCCATATGTATACACAGGTATGGAATACACACACGCTGTTTCGGTACAAAAAGATCATTAATTCTCCTACATAAACAGCACATGATGATAGGCCTGCAGTACTGAGACATGCTTGGTTGACCGGGGACAAGACAAACTTCTGAATGATGAGCTAGTACTAAAAAATTATGAGTATCTACAATGAGATGGGTATGCGAGTAGAAGAGACTGTCATAATGGAGCATTATTTACAGTGACAGACCTTCTCAAACAGAAGTACATAGGAAACATCAGACATTAATACCTCATATCCGACTACATCAACAAAAGTGTAAAGGTTTATTTTCACGCTGCTGAGTGCAGCACTGGTTATTGCTCATGAACAGACTGAGATAGATAGTGCATGTCAGGCTCTGTTGCTCATCCTACTCCTTCACTCTAAATACATACATACATACATCACTTCCTATTCACAATGGTTTCACGCTTTCACTCTAGTTCCGCTCTGTACAACACGATACAGTGCTGTACCAGGTTTGTGTCGATGGACACAAGGTCGTTTCTGCTGGGGGGAGGTTTAACACTTTCACTCTACTTCCGCTCTGTACAACACAATACAGTGATGTACAAGGCTTGTGTCGAAGGACACACGTTCGTCTCTGTTGGGGGGAGGGTAAACGCTTTCACTCTACTTCCGTTCTGTACAACACGATACAGTCCTGTACCAGGCTTGTGTCGAAGGACACAAGTTCGTCTCTGCTGGGGGGAGGGTAAACCTCCTCACGCCACAGATTGTACACACACTTGTCTACATAACAGCAGCAGTAGTGGATGTGCATGTACAGGAAATTATCAAACAGTGTCAATGTAATCACTTTATGAAGACAGTGTCGTCACAAACGGTGTATGAAGACAGTGTCGTCACAAACAGTGTGTGTAGACAGTGTCGTCACGAACAGTGTGTGTAGACAGTGTCGTCACGAACAGTGTGTGTAGACAGTGTCGTCACAAACAGTGTGTGTAGACAGTGTCGTCACAAACAGTGTGTGTAGACAGTGTCGTCACGAACAGTGTTTTGACAGTGTGGTCACAAACAGTGCTTGCAGACAGTGTTACCACAAATGGATTTTATGAAGACAGTGTCGTCACAAACGGTGTATGCAGACAGTGTCGTCACATATGGTGTATGTAGTCAGAGTCATCACAAACAGTGTCATTAAACAAAGACATTGTTATCATCAAAAAACACATCTGAGTGCATGTGTACTATCAGTACAAGATGTTGTCTTCACAGTGATAATACAACACAATGCATCGTAACGTACCATGAAATACAACAACAACAATGTGACACAAGCACATCTTATTAAACTGTGCATGTTCCTTGAACATGAGAGATAATGCATCATGAAATAACTTAAGGACTATGGATTCTTGCACAATATATACAAACAGCGATCGTCTCCTCCAGCCAGCTAAAGTTAAAGCTCACTGCTAGCTGGTGCGCGAGGCTCTCACAGAATAGTCAATACCATTCCACTAATGATACATGTTGTATATCAAAGTATGTACATATCTTCACAGTTGATTATGTCAAAATGGTCATTTGGCATAGTTCAATAAGTAACAATTATGCACATTCTTTATTGTGCATATGATAAGATTCACTATGATAGTCTAAGTATATACACAACTGGGGCACTTCAATGCCCCCGTCACCTACATTTGTTCCAATGCTGCAATCGTCTACAGAAACCAAACTTTAAGTGAACACAAGCTTCCTTTTCTATGCTAACTAGCAATTAAGGCAATAAAAAACTACTTTCTTAACACCAATACTACATTAAAATGTTACACAAAAAAAAGACTCTTAAGAATCAGAGTAATAAATCATATCATTCATATATCCATCTAAAATCTGCATTCCAAAGTATGGCAAATCAACAAGAAAGACACAGTTTATCTGAGAATATCACAAACACAAACTAGAAAAATATACTGTAATCCTGTTTAACAGATATGCTATGTATATGACTAGTAATATCCAGGGGCATATATGACAACATGTTCATATAGCCCCGGACAAGCCTCGACAGCCTGTCCTTCCTCTTGCATATGTCATAACGATCTACTGCTACTATGCCAGTGTACTGGCAATAATGACAGATATATTAGTAACAAGATTGGTTCACGCCTTGGTCAGGCCACTACATGCCTATAAAAAACTATGGTAGATCAAGCATCCAGAATTTTAAACATTACTTATATCTCATTTGCTATAAAATTCATCTCAATGTCAATTCAATCCTTGTGTAACAATCTTTCCAGGTTGTCAATGGTCAGTTTAAGTAGAGAATCTCAATAAAGATTGGATGAAATGTGGCCATTCATGTGACCAACTGCTGGAGAGACAACAGCTAGTTCATCCACTTGCGACATCCATGGGCTCCACAATTACATGGTATTTTGTGCTGGTCATCTTCAAAGTCAAACTTGTAGTCGTACGTCAGCTGAAAAGGAAAGGATTACATAAAACTCAAGAATAGATGTGAAAAAGTTAGCTAAAGTGTTCAATACTCGTAAAAAGACCCTACTGTTTCACTTATACAGATACCGTATTCGACCCAATAAGCGCCCAGGGCGCTTAAAATAAAGACAGAAGGGGTGGGCACTTATTGGGACCAATTCAGAGTCAAATTGGCGTAAATTCATCAGTAAGCCTTAAGTCACAAATATCTAAAATAAACAGAATACAGTCATGCTCCCCTTATACGGACTTCAAATATCCGGAAACCTCGGTTCCTGGACAATTTTCATTTAAAACGAAATAATTACTATATAAATTGACGGAACCGGGGGGGGGGGCGCTTATTGGGTCGAATACGGTACATTATATCTGATGACTATACAAAGTTAGTGAGTGAGTGTGAGTGTGACTTGGGTTTAACACTGCTTTCAACAGTATTCCAGTTATATAACGGCCTGTCAGCTTAATGTGGGAGGAAAGTGATGCAGGTCTCCAACGTTTACCACAGGTGAAACCCACTAGCCCCTGTATGGTGCTGACAAACCTAGAAACATAACTGGGGCGAACCAGGGATTTGAAACCACAATTGCTATATTTCTTCTACAACAAAGGGGATTTAATCTTAAGGTTGGTTTATCCTAAGTATGCTGTTAAGCAGGTGCCCCTCACCTCCTCGCCCTTGGCAAGGCGACGGCTGGTGATGATGATGATCTTGCTCTCTTTTTCGAAGGGAACGACCTCAGCCACACAGTTGGGGGCGCAGGAATGGTTGATGTATCTGGCAGGGCCACCCGCCATCGTAGCGTCGATGACAATGTCACAATCAATGCGGAACATGTACACACCACGGTTCTGAAACATGGATGGACACAAGTCAGAACAAGATGTTTCTATACATATGTAATCAAACCTGAAGTCAAGTACAAAAAACATCATTCCACAGACATGTAATATTTTATCAATACTGTATCTTCGACATCTCTGCCAAGTCTGGCCTTCATCACTTAAGGAGTATCAGAGAAGATATCTAAGAGCATGATAAAAGTGGAAAAGTCTTTCAACTGCAGGGTCTGTCTTACTGGGGGTCACAGCGTTATGTACCGTTCAACTAACCCCTTTTTGACATGCTGTAGTTCCATAGTCTTTGCCTCAATGGCCGAAGCAATGGCTGTTTTGGCCTGGACCAGGCAAAGAGTAATGGACACACTAATCATACTGGCAATTGCAGGTCAGCCTTTTCGTGGATGGTTAGGGCCTACTTGAACCTATTTTTATATTTTCTCCTATATCCAAGGGTGTAGGATGGTGAAACTTTGCCAGAGCCATCCTTCTGATAACCTCATGTGCTGACACTCGAACAAGTCTTTTAGAAGTAAAGTCTGGTTTCCATTTGAAATATAAGCAAAAACCTATCAACTTATGCCAGTAAAATGATGAAACATAGTGGCAGGCTGATGTGTTCGCGTGGGGACTAAGAATTGGTTTTCCAATTTTGCACCTACTTCAAAATGTAATTACCCCCGACAGTATTTTCACTTGACACCACCTGTTATGCTGTAAAGGTTGAGTAATGGTCAAAATTTGTAATATTGCCCCACTAACAACACCCATGCCAAATTTTCATATATTTTGAAAAAAGATGGTCGATTAATACGATTAAAGGATTTCTAAAACTGGATCTGAATACCGCCAACAATAGCTGGGATTATTCATGCTGTGTCAGCTCCACAGTCACCTTTGATGTGAGATGGCAAAAAAGCAAAAGATGACAACAGATGGATGGACAACTTGACTTGCAGTCAGGTGATCTAACAATTTACTTGCTTTTCCTTCTGCGGACACCTACCTGATCTTCATACACCTTTTCCCGTCGGTTGGCTACCTCGTTCCGGATGAGGTCCCCGATGTATTCAATCACCATTGTGTGCTTCTCAAGGTCGCGGGCAGCAAACAGACCCAAACCCTGGAAACAAGTCGTAGTCAACACAGTGAGAAGAGAGTGAGAGGGGCACGGAGTAGTGAGGGAGGGACAAATGGAGAGGCACCGAGTAGGTGCGTTCAAGTAGAGTCTTAAGATACATTCAGAAATGTTCCACCTATTTGGCTCGAAGGAAGCCCGTTGTACCCACGTGGTGATACAGCTTGACCTTCCATGTGAGGAGTAAATCTTCAACCAGCAGGCGATCCCACCACCAGATTTATTATAGATGCAAAGTGACACAAACATCTCTTGCAATATCACAGTAACCCATAAAAAAATGGGTCTGAACCAGATAATCCACTGATCAATTTAAAGAGCAACCAACCATGATATCAAGTATGATGACACACAATCAACCAAGACACCGAGTCACAACATCCAATCCACTAAACCGCCTCTTCAGGCCGACCAATGAAAACATGATTTACTGTGTTTGGTTCCATTGATACCGTGGTGGGATTAAATCATTACATTATGCACACGTTATGAGGATTGTGTTTTGTTTGGAATTTATGAGGCTGTTTGTACTTAAAGTGTGTAAATATTCCATACTTTGATGGCTTTCTGCTGGTTTTCATTGGTAGGCCTACTCTTTCGGCAAGCATGGGTTGCTGATGACCAATTCTAACCCCAAATCCCCATGGGGTACAAGACAAGTGTGAGAAGACATGTGCATCAATGTAAGAGAAAGTAGGACAGTTGTATGTTAGTCCAACACAAGAGCTGAACTGTACCACTTCGCCGATGCATACAGTGTACGATCTTACTAAAGGATGATGTTGCTATTGTAGGCCACTAAATACCCAAAACCGCCAACTGTTTATTAAGTGACTAGCAGACATGTTCTTAATGAACTAAAGGACACAAGTATCTTATAAATTGTACCCCTCTGGTAAGCATTGTCCAAAAATGTCGAACCACTAGGTTCCCCAATGGCCAAGAAAAAAATGTTTTCATACAGAAAGAGCAGGTAGAACTGTGAACCTTTCAGTTCCAACTATCTCTTTCTGATCATTCTACAAGAGATGTAGTTACCTGAATTCCTGATCTGGCGAGGAAGACGTTGGTCTTCCATTCCGTCTTGAGTCGGCGATACTGCTGGGACTTGGAATGTACAAACTGCTTCATGTAGGGTGAATTGACGTCTCCCGTCACTCCTGTCACCGTGGTCGGGAGGGACCGGGAGTTGCTGGACTGGAGGGTGTGAGGGCGGCTACAAACACGAACGGTCAAAGTGTCAGTGAGGACTTTGTTAACAGTATTTTAATGGCATGTCACCATATTCTGGGAGGATAACGCAGAGGTAGTCATTGTTTGTTTGTTGTTTAACGCCGCACTGAGCAGATATTCCAGCTATATGACGACAGTCTGTAAATAATCAAGTCTGAATTTAGACAATCCAGTGATTGACATCATGAGCATCGATCCATGCAATTGGGATAGATGACATGCATCAACAAAGTCAGCGAGCCTGACCACCCGCCCGTTAGTCGCCTCTTACGACAAGCATAGTCGCCTTTTATGGCGAGCATGGGATGCTGAAGACCTATTCTACGCCGGATCTTCACAGGTCGACATCACATGAAGGGAAGGATTATTCTCCTACCGTTTGAAGTGTGTTCTAAGCTTGGGTTCAGTCCTGGCACATCCTGTTGGGTTGATGGCCAGCGGCATTTCGATGAGAGGTGAGCGGCCATAGCGGAAACAGTAGTTGCCAAGGAGATCTGTTCCTGGCAGCTGAAACAGGCAAACAAGCATATCAACACACTAATCAGGAATCACAGATGTGGGACGAGAGATCAAAGACTGCACTGCATCACCACCACAGCAGGGGACATAACACCTTCACAAACTACTTCCCATTCCGATATGGAAACGAACAGCATAGTGTTCTGTCCAAGATGTGTATGGTCTGCAATATTACAGCTACATCATGACAGCCGGTGATGAAATGCAGCATGCTCACTCTAACCACTAGTCAGTTGGGAGCAAACTCCACCTTTTGAGTAGGACAACACACTATCTGGTAGTGATGGTCTAGCCGCCTTCCACGACATGCATGTGGTACTGGTCTAGCCGCCTTCCACGACATGCATGTGGTACTGGTCTAGCTGCCTTCCACGACATGCATGTGGTACTGGTCTAGCCGCCTTCCACGACATGCACGTGGTACTGGTCTAGCCGCCTTCCACGACATGCATGTGGTACTGGTCTAGCCGCCTTCCACGACATGCATGTGGGTCTAGCTGCCTTCTTCGACATGCATGTGGTACTGGTCTAGCCGCCTTCTACAACATGCATGTGGTACTGGTCTAGCCGCCTTCCACGACATGCATGTGGGTCTAGCTGCCTTCTTCGACATGCATGTGGTACTGGTCTAGCCCCCTTCTACAACATGCATGTGGTACTGGGGATTTATTCTTCCATGCATGCCCCATCAAGTTCTCACTGACAATGATCTCTGACAACAAATCATGAACAACAGTTCATGATATACAGTGATCGCTCGCTATTGCGCTACCAATGGGGTCCAAATAATTGGTGGGCGTTATAGACGATGAGCCGTTTAACCGAGGCCGAGGCGGGGGAGCGCGCTCGGCAAATCTCAAATCATCAATAGGCCTATGTGTTTATCTCACGTCACGTCAAAATAGTATATATTTTTATGGACCTAGATCTACCTGTAATATCATTCATTTATTAAATCTGTCATATTTCACAATGTCTGAAATACGTATTCCATTCTAATTTATCATTTTTTATCAATAACTTAAAAAATTATTCACTATTTCCCGCGATGTTATTGAAAATAAAATTCTCGGACACACATTTCGACAACGGGTCCGCATCGAACATGTCAAAGAGCAAAATAAAGACTATTTTAAGCAAATCTTTAAATATATTATACAAAGTGATAAATAAAATCAACTAAAATATATCTAAAAGTAATCAAACTTACATCTAAGTTATTATTTCCATCGTTTCGTGCGATCGCGTGTAATGTAAGTCAAATGACATCTCGGCTTTCGTCGCCTTGAATTCTCGGCTCGGACACAACGTTTAATGCAAAAATATATGCATGAAAAATCTTTGTCACAGCTCGTAACCTAGCACGATACATTCGCGAAGTTCCATATTTTTAATATATATCGTGATTTCCTGCTTAAAACGTTCAGAATAACACGATTTAACAAAAAATCTTTCGCTAACTTCTGAAATTTATCAAACACGAGCTTGGTATCACAGCTTGATTTGGCTGCCTGAGGTCACGTGCTCAAAATTGACCAATCACGAAACTTGTAGCAGATTTCGGCAAGAAAGCGTCATTAGAAACAAATTTTAATCCAATGAAATCGCTTGTTATAACTATGGGGAAAAACAGGCGATGTTACGAAAGCGCGATTACGAAATGAATGACCGCCGTGTTGTGACAGCAACTACATGTGTGTGACAGTTTAGCCTTAAATTGGATTGCCCACTAATTAAGAATATAAACTTCGCTTGTGGTTCTCTTTTATTGCATGCATGCGCTTCTAAGATCAAAGGATGTATAGTGTGAAAAGTTAACTAGTTGAACAATCGTATTTCCGGGACTTGCCGCGGATGTTTTCAAACAGATTATTAGAACTCCATTCAGCGATAAACGGTTGATTATGCAATGAGAAGCGTTATGTGCAAATGAACAACGAACAACAATACAATTATGTCTGTGTAAAACTCTCAGTAATAAAAGTGTACATAAATTTTGGGAGCCATGCGTTATCGCGCGTAATAACCGAAGTAGCGCTTTATCGAAGAGCGCAATAGCGAGCGATCACTGTATCCTAAATCTGCAGCCAACTGTTACAGTGTCTTGTGTCCCAACTGTAACCTGCTACTTACCGATTCCAGCACTTTAAGTATATTAGGCTCGGTGAGACCGAATAGCTCCTCGCCGGTGATGAAGTTGGAGAACATCTTGACAAGGTCTGCACCGCGGCGGATATCTTCCAGCGGCTTGAGAATGTGCATCCATGCATCTGCAACAGAAACAACATAGATATAACAATGACACAGGACATCAAGCAGGACAACGAAGCAACTTGTGGGGAAACTAGAAAGGACTAGCATACTCTCTACATGTTAATAATAGCAAGTAGTGTGTATCATGTTAATAATAGCAAGTAGTGTGTATATGACTAAAATGCAATTGTCTTATGATGACACACCATCAACAAAGTGTCACATCCACTTGAGATCAGCCTATTCTGCCAGAGTAGGTTATGGATATGTTAATTTCAAGTAAACCGGTACATACGCACTGTAGCATAGGGCTAATAGATTATATTTTTGTTTCATGACTGAAAGTTAAAAGTCAGAAAGTATTTCTATGTTACAATACAAAGGTCACCCTGTGACCACGCCCACCTTTGGGAGAGCTCTCCTTGAAGAGTGTATCCGAGTAACCCTCCTCCTCTATCTTGATGGTGAACTCGGGGATGCCATCATTGTCAGAGATGCTGCAGGTGTACCGACACCGCTTGTACAGCTGCCGCATGCTCCAGTAGAAGCGACTTGTGCGGAAGCCAACCTGGAAATAGTCCGCAACATGCACAACTTTCACATTGATGGAAACCCAACAAATCTCAGGACACAGTGCTTCTGTGACATCATCATATGGCAATTATGTACCCCTTGGGCAATATATTCCCGTATAACATGGGGCCTCCTTATGCTAATTACATGGGGAATATTTGACAGTATAATGTGACAGTATTACTATGCTTACTACAAGCACTAGACAATTAGGATAGCGATGGAGGCAACTTAATAGAGGAAATGTGACAGAGGACAGTTTATCGAGGGCAGTTGCTGGAGGACATGTTACAGAGGACATTCAATGGAGGACAGTGGATGGAGGACATTTATTGAAGGACATAGAGGACATTTATTGGAGGACGATTGATGGAGGACATGGACAGAGGCCATTTAAATGAGGACATGCGAAAGAGCGAAATTTAATAAAGAAGGAAATGAGGCCAATTAAAATGGCGGAGAGTCTACGGAGGACATGTGACATGACATTTAATGATAGATTGTCGATGGAGGACATGTAATGGAGGACAGTTGACGGAGGAGGTGTGACAGAGGACATTTAATGGGGGACATTCAGTGGAGGATATGAGACATATAATGGTGGCCATACATATGACACGGCCATTGTAGAAGTGTCTCTACTTACAGGGTAGATGTAGTCCTTGGTGTGGAACCTGCCTGTCTGGATCTGGTGGGGCAGAAGCTGGCCGATGCTGTGGAGGGTGAGAGAGCCCACCCTCAGAGTGTGGCTTCCTTCATCCTGGTGGATCATGCTGCAAACACAGGTTGCACATTACATCATCTAAGGACATCAATTATCTAGAGACAGAAGTACAAATTAGCTGAAATGTCTGCAATGTCATTTACGTAAAAATTGCTGCAATATCTCTGGCATGGACATCAAGAATAGTATGCACATATTGTGAGTGAGTGAGTGAATGGTGTCAGCACCATTAGAGCTACATCAAGGCGGCCTTCAAAATAATCCAATCTAAGCCACACACCAGTGTATGACAGAATGTGATGACACACTGTTGTACCAATTACATACAGGGGCCAATCATGAACTGGAATTCACACAGGAACACATTGCACTCATGTTAACTTCTGTGAAATAGCACGACAGGACAAGGATCAAATTATGATCATTTTCCAGCCTAGCATGCAAATGTGGTGCATGCCAATGGACAACTTAAGGAATGCAAAGGCGGCATGCTGACCTGGCCACCTGCTTGTCCTCGTCCCGGTTGACGTAGACGCGGCGATGGACCACCAGGGTCTCCAGCTCATTCTCCACAGGAGACTTGGGGGCGTGGACAGGACACAGCAGAGTCTGTGAATAGAGACACACTGACAACATGGAGATACAATGGAAACCACACAACAGAACAATCTCTGATCTCTTCCACTGGCAAAGAGACCATCATGAGAGATGTAACCACTATTATCTCAGTTCATGTACCTCATGGCAATAAAACTTGATACAACAGCCTAAATATGAAGAACCATTATTTCCTTGTACTAGCTGTGGAGAATACAGCACTGGAATATATCACATCATCACTACATCAATGTAACTTAATAAGCTTGTCACAATGTGAATAAGTGATCTTTGTTTTTCCAGCTACATCTGAGTGGCCTGTAAACAATCGAGTCTGAACCAAGCAGGTTAACAGTAACTGAAAGAACAGTCCAATGTGGTGGGTGACACAATCAGCCAAGTTTGTCGCGGAGTCGGACCACCCAATCCATTTTGATAATTTGATAGTGTGAACACAATAGCAGGGAGAAACAACAGCTGAGCACATACCTTGTCCTGGAAGAACATGCAGGACACCCTCTTGGCACACGGGAGATGGTATGTGTGGGTACACCGGATCTTGAAGCAGCTGAGAGTGGCTCCCTGCTTCCCACAGACGATACACTCCAGGGACACTCCTCGTTTGAAGGCCACCTCCACGTTCATCAGAGCTCCGTTCAGGGTCTCGTACACCTCGTACGACCACAGGGCACAGTTCAGGTGCACCCATTTATCAACATCCAGGTTGAGAAGTCTGTAATGAAAACATTTATGTGTTATATTCATATTACATAGAATACTGAATTTACTGTACACCACACCCAGCCATAGATAGAAAGGAAGAACCCTTTCATGGCCACGCCTATAATAGATTATTACGATGATGATTAACTGTCATGCTTACAACTTACAGGTCAATGACCAATGACAGAGGCCAATCATCCTTCTATTTTTTAGCAAAAGATTCTCAATTTCCCCATATTCCAACAAAAAGGGCTTGTTTTTCACTATTACAGTGTCACTTGAATGGGGGTCCCGTGAAAATTCCAGGTTAGAATAGGTCTTTAGAACTAATGCTTGTCGTAAGAAGTGATTATCGGTATCGGGTGGACAGGCTCGCAGACTTGGTAGACGCATGTCATCATATCCCAAACGCATAGATTGATAATGCCAAGCGCAGGATTGTGTTGTCCAGATTCGATTATTTACAGACTGTCATCATACAGCTAGTGCGGCGTTAAACAACAAACAAACAAACAAAGTTGACTGGGGACCAAGAATCTGGGCAAAACTGGCTTCCAACAAGCAGATCCTGGTAGCAGGACACATGACTCTACACAAAGAAATATCTTGCCAAAGCCCATTGAAACAGTTAACCCATAGGTAAACACTTCACATCCTGAAACCAGATGTAGGCCCTGTTCCACAAAGCGATCTAAGCGCTAAGATGATTGTTAACATTAACATAGACTTACGACTATCGTAGCACTGAGATCGCTTTGTTGAACAGGGCGATGTTCCAACTGGCACTGAAACACTACTGTAACAAGTCTATATAAGGCAAGGAGAGAGTTACCTTGAGGAGCTGTCCGTGTCTCCATCCCCAGGCTCCTGGCAGAAGGTGCAGTTCCTCTTGTCCTCCTTCCCGATGCTGAAGTGCACCACCATGTCCATGCGGCTCCAGATCTGCAGCACACACCATCACATTGCAGGCACACGAAACACCAAGCAGGTAATACAGGTAGCATTTGGCAATAGTGACTCCAAAACTATTTATGCATGCTGTGGATATTTATTTGATCCATGGAGAAGCCTCCTGTTGTGACAACTTCTATTGTTGAACTAACCTGACATTACAACGTACTGATGTCATTTTTTTCCACTTGGGATGTATTTTATGATGTGATTGCATGAAATGGAAATCAATTCATTTGTGTCAATATTTTAACAATAATTCCTGTCTAGCCCAGCAAAGTCATGAAATACATATGAGCTCGACCGACGTCATACCGTATCCATCCCATAATCTGTTTTCATGAGAGATCTGGGTAAATAGTGAGGTCAGTACCTCAAGAATGGAGACGTGTTTTGGTAAGTAGTTTTATGGAGATGGGAGTATTCCTGCTACAGCAGCATGTATATAATCAAGTATGGACCAGGTAGGTTGGTGCTTGATACAGATACAATGACACCACATCAGTCGGGTTAGAGTCGGATATATGTATGTATTTGTGGTTCCACCGTCTGGTCATCCACCACCCGATGAGTGGATTGGTTTGAGTGCACAGGTTGTATGTACTGTACACTAGGGGTCGTGACAACACCTTGAAGCCTCTGACAATAAGTAGGTAGTACTGATGTATTGCCATCCTATTCTGACCATAGAATGAATGCCTATGGGGTTTCAAGTAATGATGACATATAGCATGAAGCAAGCTTCCATGGTAGTACCTGATCCAGTTCCTTCACGGGTGTAGTCGGGTACAGTCCCAGGCTGTCCTGCATCTTGAGGTCCCAGCGCTGCCACCGGATGTCCTTCCACTTCTTGACCATGGGCTGCAACATGGCAACTCAACATGTACACGGACACACACAACAGGGCTACTGGAGTGAGTGAGTGAGTGAGTGAGTGAGTGAGTGAGTGAGTGAGTGAGTGAGTGAGTGAGTGAGTGAGTGAGTGAGTGAGTGAGTGAGTGAGTGAGTGAGTGAGTGAGTGAGTGAGTGAGTGAGTGAGTGAGTGAGTGAGTGAGTGAGTGAGTGAGTGAGTGAGTGAGTGAGTGAGTGAGTGAGTGAGTGAGTGAGTGAGTGAGTGAGTGAGTGAGTGAGTGAGTGAGTGAGTGAGTGAGTGAGTGAGTGAGTGAGTGAGTGAGTGAGTGAGTGAGTGAGTGAGTGAGTGAGTGAGTGAGTGAGTGAGTGAGTGAGTGAGTGAGTGAGTGAGTGAGTGAGTGAGTGAGTGAGTGAGTGAGTGAGTAAGTGTGGTTTTACGCTGCTCTTAGCAATATTCCAGCAATATCACGCGTGGAACACCAGAAATGAGCTTCACACGTTGTACCCATGTTGGGAATTGAACCGAGGTCTTATGCGTGACAAGCGAAGCCCTTAACCACTAGGCTTCTCCACCATCCCAATAGGAAGTTAGGAAGGTGTTGGTTAACGCTTACAGGATTTCAGTCAAATTGTTAATGTGGGACTCAGACAAAAGGTTGCAGACATTACTGCCTTGGTTAAGCAACAGCATATATTTCTGAAACCAGGTAATCAGTTACCAGACACAGGAGTATTTAAATCAAATTGAGCATGGTTTTATGCCATTTTTAGCAATATTCCAGCAATATCATGGCTGCGGACACCAGAAATAGGCTTCACATATTGTACCCATGCTGGGAAACCAACCCGGGCATTTGGCATGACAAGCAAACACATTAACTACTAGGTACCCCAAAGCCCCTATTTAAATCAAAACACTGACTATGTATAATGAAGATGATAAAAATGACAACATGGATAAACATGGCTCAGAAATAACATGCTCCAAATGATTAGCATAGGACTCATAAAAGATATGAATATCAAATAACTCTAGCTGCAACACATTCTCGTAAGAGGTGACTAACGGGATCGGGTGGTCAGGCTCGCTGACTTGGTTGATGCACGTCATCTATCCCAATTGCGTGGATCGATGCTTGTGATATCAATCATTGGATTGTCTGGTCAGGACTCAATTATTTACAGACCGCTGTCATATAGCTGGAATATTGCTGAGTGCGGCTTTAAACAACATAAAAACCAACCAACCAACCAACATACTACTCAACTGTGGACAGGGATAGCAAGATATTTCATACTAGTGATGGTTGACTGATGTAAGGGAAAAAACAAGATGGGGTATACATGTGGTTGTCTGGAATGACAGTAAGTGAGCAAAGGATTGTATGGACTTGATCAGGTCGATTGTGTTGTAGTTAGATGTGTGGTCTTTAGGTGTTGCTGTAAGAAATGAATATGGAGCCATAGCCTGGGCAGTTAAGTTTCTTCTGTCTCTATTACCCTATTTATGTATACATATACTATAAGCACTATCAGTTTGGGGTATCACTGGAGAATAGGACTGTCCTATCAAAAGATGAGTAGCATCGTTCTCCCATGCTGAAAGAGACAGAAGCAGGTTAACAGTGTGAAGAAGTTGGGAGGTTACCTTGACTGGTTGCATCTGCGGCAGCTGAATGTCAGAAGCGGTGCTGCTGCTCCGTCGGTGTTTCTTCCCCGGCTTTTCCTCCTTCTTCACTGGCGGACTTGGCAATGCGGGCGACGGCATGGGCGACTTGGACACGGTGGATGAAGAGAGAGGGGTGGTGGGTGTTGCTGGCTGGTCCCTGGCCGACTGTGGGGTGATGGGTGGGGTGGTGGAGATGGACAGGGCCGAGGTGACAGGGACGTGGCGAGGAGATGTGGACGGTGTACATCCACTCTTGTGCTCCACTAGGTTTCCAGCTTCAGTCTCATGGGGCTGTGGCATCTGGTGCGTGATGGTGAACTGCATGTAACAGTTCATGCTGCAGAATGTCACCTCTTCATCCTCACAGTCCTGCAACACAACTTTCTTGTTTACAACGCGCGAGAAAGGTCACATTGACTGACTGAGTATGGTTTTACGCCGCTTTTGGCAATATTCTTGTAACATCAAGGCTGTTAAGAAATGTTGTTAAGAAATAAATGATTGAGACCTATTTCCTTCAAGAAATAAAAAATATTATTTACAAGTGGATATATGATAAAGAGTAGAAAGCAACACATACTCCACTCACCTGCTCATCCTTTGTAAGGAAAGGAAGCTCAGTTTTCTTCTTGCGGATCCCAGAGCTGAGCACTACTACGTCACAGTGGCGGCAGAACTTGGGTTTGGCCTTGATCAAAGACTGGATGTTGACAGCTTCTTCCTTGTCTGAAAACAGCAACATCAAGTTTACAGCCACACCTTACATAAATATGGTTAGTTATAGTTTTCAGCTGACAAATTCTAGACAATTCTATTTTGAGAGATATTCCATTTGACATGCCACCCATAACACAAAAATAAATACCAAATTAATTCATTATTGACTGAAAAACCTTCAAACTTCATAACTTGTTCACAAGTGGCCACCTTACATATCCATAAAAAATTTGCATTGTTGACACTAGCACAAACAGGATAGAAGGGAGCACATGCGCGTGAAGATACTATTACTTGCACAACTGATTACGGACAGTTGACAGTGAAGAGGACTTCTGTTAAAAAAATCTCAACATATTACATAGTGTGATCACAGTCAAAATACAGAATTTATGGCAATGAAGAAATAGAGGTTTTGCATTCGAAGGAATTATCATAGCCAAGAATTATGTAGCCAAGAGGAGTTACATGACACCTCGAGTCTAATGTTTCTGTTGTGTTACAGCTAGATGATGGTTATATTACTCACGTGTGAGATTCACTTTGTATGTATCTGGGGACGGGCTCCTCGTCATCTCGTATGTTGGTGGAACAGCAATTTTTAACAGATCAGCAATGGCAGATATCACTCCCCCAATATCTTCAGCAGCTGTAGCTGACAAGGTCAAGGTCACAGACACCTGCTGGTCCAAGCTGGGGTCAATGAAAGGGCGTGCAAGACTTGACGTCAAGGCTGGCATTTTGGCCGTCAGTGTGTCTTTACTACTCAGTAAACTGTCAATATTTCTTTCCTTCTTTTCTGAAAGCAACACATCGCCGTGTTCAGCTATTTTGGAGAGGTCTTCTTCCTTCAGCTCCTTCTTCTCGTCCTTGATCTCCGCCTTGATGGGAATCGGGTGCAGCAACGGCACCGCTGGGGATGCTCCTCGGTCATCGTCAGCTACGGCAGGCTCGATGGGACGAAGGGCAGGTAACTCTGTGTCCTGTTCTCCAAAGCCTATCTCAGGAGATGATGAGGATATAACTGTATCCGGAGTGTCTCTGCAAAGTTCAAGAGTGGTTGTAAGAATCACACTTCCATTAACTGCAACATTCACTTGACATTGGACATTAATTTCAAAGGCCTAAACTTCTAAACTTCCTGCTACTTTCCCCTATGTTTTCCACCCTGTCCTATCCTTGCCTTAGACTTAAATCAAGACAAATTACGTAAACATCAACAGTTATTGGTGCAACTCCTTTTAAGAAGACTACATATTCTATCTTAAAATTCCCATAGTAACACTGATGCATGATTCAAGGAGTCTAGAATCAATTTACTGATTATATATCATCGAAGGCTCTATTATTTACAGGTTGCATTACATAAGTGGAATATTGCCAAGATGGACGTTACACAACAAAGAAACAAACCTGTATACTATCATTCAATTAGACAAAGAAATCAATCTACTACAGGTGACCAGGTCAGGCAGCTGCTGCACTCACCTTGCGGACTGCTCCAGGTGGGGTTCGATCCTGGGCTGCGGGGGGATGACCGGCAGGAAGGGCCTGATCATGCCAGGCAGGAGGGGCATGCGTTGAGCCAGGGCCTGGGCATGAACTCCAGCCGACAGCAGATGGTAGCGCTGCTCGTCTGTAATAGGACCTAAGTTACAGTGGCATTATTAGACAAGTCTGCGTCATAGCCAGCATGCAGAACACATGCTTGCAGCTCAGCACACAGACGGGCAGACGGACCAAGCAGAAGAGAGATGCTGGGATGAAGGACGAAGCCAAGCAAAGGGTGACAACTCTCATGCACTCAAGTCACCTTCACTCCACTCCAAACAGAGGTCAGATTAATAATCACACCATAAGTCAATATCAAAAACACTTCCGATGTTGCAGGCAAAACCTTGAACCTACAATCGATGACATTACCGGGGTTAATTTTATTCATGGCTTAAGATTACAGGTGTTACCGTGGTACATTTTATTCACAGCTAAAGATTACAGGTGTTACCATGGTTACTCAGGATATACTGATGGTCAACGGTTACCCTAGTTTACTCTTCATTTTCTTTTTCTTTTTTTAAAAGTGTACCAGCATCCAGAATATTTTTCAAACCATATATATTGAAAAGGTATATCTGGACACAATACATATTCACTATTTTCAAATTACAAATTATGACAGAACATCCAGATGCCAGAGAACAAGGAGTTCTCCTTAATTTCCCGTTCCTCACTAGGGGCGGCTGTCAGGGTCAGATGGGATGACCAATACAGCATCTATGTACTTCTAGATAATTTGGTCACAGTGGTAAAGTACATAGAGCTGCCCTTTATGTTTGACCATCAGCATATTTTGATTAAGATAAACATGATTTAACAAATACTTTAGCAGTCTGTGCCAAAACCAGCGATAGAAATTAACCAAGAAAGTCTACTAGCCTGAACAGTGTACCACTAAACCCCAAAATGTTTGACATTCTACTTGCTTTGAGGATACCATTAAGAAACCTTTGAGTCGACCAGTCCGAATTTGTCTCTTAGCATCATTGTCAGTACATTTCAGTGTTATCATATGGTATTTTACTAGATGAATTTACAGGACCGAACAGAATTTTACTAGCTGAATTTACAGGACAGAACAGAATTTTACTAGCTGAATTTACAGGACAGAACAGAATTTTACTAGCTGAATTTACAGGACCGAACAGAATTTTACTAGCTGAATTTACAGGACAGAACAGAATTTTACTAGCTGAATTTACAGGGCCAAACAGAATTTTACCAGCTGAATTTACAGGACAGAACAGAATTTTACTAGCTGAATTTACAGGACCGAACAGAATTTTACAAGACTCAGGGACTAGTGGCTGAAGTTGCAGACTGCTACGGGGCTGTGATGATCAAGTTCCTGGCCATGATGGCACTGCACAGATTGACTGCCTGTATGAGGTCTATGCAAAAGCAAGTTTATCTTTCTAATACAGTTTTTCACTTAACAAAGCATGCATACTGTATTCATAAAACACCCTACTGAATGACAATAATCTCGAAGTTCTGGGAAATAGCTATTATTAATCTCATTTTTTGAATTATTCTTCATATCAGCATATTTTGATTAAGATAAACATGATTTAACAAATACTTTAGCAGTCTGTGCCAAAACCAGCGATAGAAATTAACCAAGAAAGTCTACTAGCCTGAACAGTGTACCACTAAACCCCAAAATGTTTGACATTCTACTTGCTTTGAGGATACCATTAAGAAACCTTTGAGTCGACCAGTCCGAATTTGTCTCTTAGCATCATTGTCAGTACATTTCAGTGTTATCATATGGTATTTTACTAGATGAATTTACAGGACCGAACAGAATTTTACTAGCTGAATTTACAGGACCGAACAGAATTTTACTAGCTGAATTTACAGGACAGAACAGAATTTTACTAGCTGAATTTACAGGACCGAACAGAATTTTACTAGCTGAATTTACAGGACAGAACAGAATTTTACTAGCTGAATTTACAGGGCCAAACAGAATTTTACCAGCTGAATTTACAGGACAGAACAGAATTTTACTAGCTGAATTTACAGGACCGAACAGAATTTTACAAGACTCAGGGACTAGTGGCTGAAGTTGCAGACTGCTACGGGGCTGTGATGATCAAGTTCCTGGCCATGATGGCACTGCACAGATTGACTGCCTGTATGAGGTCTATGCAAAAGCAAGTTTATCTTTCTAATACAGTTTTTCACTTAACAAAGCATGCATACTGTATTCATAAAACACCCTACTGAATGACAATAATCTCGAAGTTCTGGGAAATAGCTATTATTAATCTCATTTTTTGAATTATTCTTCATATCTGATTTTCATTATCACATTTTTGGAATCATTTCTTGTCAAAATTGATCCAAATTAATACATTTAACAACAATGGAATTTCTAGTAAACAGGAATAAGATATCAATGTTTACAAAATTTCAAATGATGCATTTCAAAATTGTTCTCGATATGTCCTTAAAATCTCTTTTACATTTTCACGTTGTTCATCGATCTATTTTCCTTTACTTTCAGGCCACATATTTACCTTCCAAACAGAAGCATCCAGTAGTGTTCACAACAATTAAGTGCATCAGATTGAACATAAATTATTTGTGCAATACCTGGACAATCTTAAAGTTGATAATGAAGCTCATCCTTATTCAATCTCATTAAAATCAGACCTCAGTTCTCGCTACCTCTAAACAAAGATCTGAGGACATCCAAAAAGGGGTCACGTCAGAACGACCTTTCATCCGACCAATCACTTACCAGATTATAAAAGTGACAGTCAGAATGTGATTTCTAACCATGCAACCTCGAAAACTTTAACTCCGAACGATAGTTATGGGTTTAATTACTGAATCCATAACAATCTAGACCATCTATTAGCCATTCCAGAATGTTCTTTTGTTCAGGTTTCAAATTTGTAATCGGGAATTTGTCAAAATATGTTTCGAAGCGTAGTCGCCAATTTGAAATTAGTGCCGAAAAGCACGAGAAAGCTGCATTCTGATTGGTCATTCCATTGGTCGGTCAAAGTTCTCGCAAGGTGGGTCTGACGTGACCCGTAATGGGATGTCCTCAGATCTTTGTTTAGCGGTAGCGAGAACTAAGATCTGATTTCAATGAGATTGGTCCTTATTACAGGTCATCACTATGATGAGGGGTCTATCTCATTAAAGCCATTATCATAAAGAGCTACGTATTTTCAAAACACAGCACAACAAAATATTTAAGTACAAGGCCTTCCAGTTGTTATTCATATAATATTACACCACATTTTCACAACCAGAGGTTGATTCGTTTGAAGATGATAGAGGATCTCATAATTTAGAATCCGAGTAAAGGAAAGTGTATATTGATATCTGCAGCTGAATTCAGCAAAGGCTGGATGAGCCATGTACGAATTAAATTGTCATCAGTCAATAAAGGGTCACCCCAAGCCTCAGCTACTGCAGTAGCTTATGTCATACAGACTACCATCAAAATGTCATACCGACTACAACCAATGTCATACCGACTACAACCAATATGTCATACCGACTACAACCAATATGTCATACCGACTACAACCAATGTCATACCGACTACAACCAATATGTCATACCGACTACAACCAATATGTCATACCGACTACAACCAATGTCATACCGACTACAACCAATGTCATACCGACTACAACCAATCCATCATACCCACTACCATCCCTATGTGATACCGACTATCATCAATAAGTCATACCGACTACCATCCTTGTCATACTGATTACCCTCCCTGTCATACCGACTACCATCCCTATGTCATACCGACAACCATCAATAAGTCATACCGACTACCATCCTTGTCAAACTGATTACCCTCCCTGTCATACCGACTATCATCAATATGTCATACCTTATACAATCCATATGTCATACCAACTACCATCCCTATGTCATGCCAACTACCATCAATATGTCATATCGACTACCATCCCTATGTCATACCGACTACCATCAAAATGTCATACCGACTACCATCAATATGTCATACTGACTATCATCAATATGTCATACTGACTACCATCCCTGTCATCCCAACTACCACAAATATGTCATACTGACTACTACCAATACGTCATTCTGACTTCCACCAATAAGTTATACCAACTACCATCCCTGTCATACCGACAACCATCCCTGTCATCCCAACTACCACAAATATGTCATACTGACTACTACCAATACGTCATTCTGACTTCCACCAATAAGTTATACCAACTACCATCCCTGTCATACCGACAACCATCCCTGTCATCCCAACTACCACCAATATGTCAAACTGACTACCACCAATAAGTCAAACCGACTACCACCAATATGTTATACCAACTACCTTCAAAATGTCATCACTCAATGGAGGGTCACCCTAAGTCTCAGCTCCAGCAGTAGTTGCAGTCATACGGACAACATCACTATGTCATACTGACTACCACCAATAAGTCATACCGACTACCACCAATAAGTCATACCGACTACCACCAATAAGTCATACCGACTACCACCAATAAGACATACCGACTACCACCAATAAGTCATACCGACTACCACCAATAAGTCATACCGACTACCACCAAGAAGTCATACCGACTACCACCACTTTGTCTTCGGTCAATGGAGGGTGAGTCCATGGTGCAGGAGTCGCAACTACCATGTGAAACAAACTATGGCCTACCTGTGAATGGTACAGTCTGTCCATCACTGAGGAAGCGTCTCCGTGCAGCGATGTCAGCACCAGGTTGTCGGATGCCCAGCGGGAAGTTGGGATGCTGAAGACTACCGTAGAAGTCAGGTAATCCTTCCATATAAGCTTTCCCATAACTGCCTTTCACCTGATTTTCAGCTGTAAAGAAAACCAAATATTGCTTGTATGACAGGAAATTTAAATCAATCTAACTAACATGGGGGAATGATCAACACTAGCCTATACCATAATCTCATAATACTATATCCTCCAGAGGGCATAATTTGCTGGGATCTGAGCAGAGATTGTGGAGTTTCAAGGAACAAAATTACATTCCATTTACAGGCTCTGCGCTGGTCCTAATACAGAGTGAGTTGAGTGAGTGAGTGAGTTGGGTTTAACACCGCTTTTACAGTATTCCAGTTATGTCGGGGCATGTTAGCTTCATGTGGGTGGGTGGTTGGGTGGTTTGTTGTTTAACGCCGCACTCAGCAATATTCCAGCTTTATGACGGCGGTCTGTAAGTAATTGAGTCTGGACCAGACAATCCAGTGATTGACAACATGAGCATCGATCCACGCAATTGGGATCGATGACATGCATCAACCAAGTCAGCGAGCCTGACCACCTGATCCCAGCTTCATGTGGAAGGAAAGCCCGAAGTGATGCAGGTCTCAGACGTTTACCACTTCGGTGAAACCCACAAGCATTGGTATGGTGCTGACAAACCTAGAAACATAATCGGGGCGAACCAGGATTCGAACCCACAATCATATTTTCTGGCATGCCCAAGGGACGCAACTCTGCACAGCTAATCGCGCCGCCTTAGACGACTTGGCCACCCGTGCCCCCCCTCATACAGAGTGTGCTATGGATAGCTTATCTTGAAGACAGATGACAGAGATCATATTACTAAGTAAAACACACTGAGTAACAAAGTAAAAAGGTACTATCTATTGATTTAAACTTGTAGAAACAAAAGTGCTGATAATGGCATCTCATGCCTGGTAATTTAAGGGTTGGATCTTGGTTCAAACAAAATGAACATCCATTCTCAAATGAGATAAGAAATTAAAATGTAGGGCATTTGTTTGTAATAAACAAAAGCTATAAAAGCCCATTTTATTTGAACTTACATTAGTTTAAAATGGTGCTAAACTTAATACATGAATAAACTTATGTCATTCAGAATGAGACATATAACAGAAGCAGTGAGAGGCAACCTTGGCCTGACCGACGATGTCAACAGGATGACACTGGAAGAAGTTATATGGTGAAGAGATTGTTACCACATGATGGAAACAGGAGGTAGAGATAGCAACCCACCGGTGACTGAGTTGGCCCCCATGACCGGGACAATGTTGTTGTTTATTCCGATGGGTGGTTCTTGAAGATTGATGGGAGGGAGTGCCCTCAGCTGCTGAAGGAACGACTCTGTTCTTGCTTCTAGTTCAGTTTCCTTTCCTTTAGGTTTTCGGATTCGTTTCTTTGGCACAGCATCTTTGTTTTCTCCTTTCTTCCGACGTTTCAACTTCGTCTCCGGTCCTTCAGGGACAGGGTTCTTCCTCTTGGCTTTCCTCAGCTCCTCATATTCCTTACGTTTGCGCTCATACTCCTGTCTTCTCATTTCTGCATGAAAAGGATAGAAAATACTGTAATGCAGCAATCAGATGTGCATCTACAAGGCAGGCATGTATGTGTGAGTGTGAGTGTGTGTGTGTGTGTGTGTGTGTGTGAAAGTGTGAAAGTGTGTGTGTGCGCGAGTGATTGAGTAATGTTCTTAATAATGCTGAAGTCAGCACTATTATACCTATATCAAGAATAACAATCTGTGTCCGACAATGCAAAATTCATGGCAGACAAACAATCTCCACATTGTAACCACTAGGGATGTCACATCTCACCAATTTATTTATGTGAGTTCAGCCCTACAGAAACAGGAGGTTCTTGGGACCTACTCTGCCAGCATCACCAAGGCGAACAAGTGTCATGTCATAAGATCATCACTGATATTCACAAGGCATGACAGAACAAAACGTTTCAAATGGGGACAATGACACACCTTTTATCATATCACTATTATACAGATCACTGATAACAGATCAATAAATAGCAAGAGGTTTTGATACTTAGTTTTATATTATTCATTGAATGTAATGTCAAATACAATGTAAAAATACCTCTGAATTTAAGAAATTAAGTACCTTTAAAAATTAAAATATGAATAAAAGTAATGATTTTTTTCCCCAATTTGGCTGCCAGGGGCACTTAGTTGAGCATCCTGGATCAATGCCTGCACCTGACAGCTGATACAAGAACACAGCACATTTCTCCCGATGGTTGCAAAGAAGCAGAGGAAGAGACACAATTTGCATTTCTATCTTGTAATGTACTATGTCACTTCATAAATAAAAACAAATATGTTTCATCAGAAAATTACAGTTAATAATACAAGGTATCACTTCAAAGGAGATGGAAATACTGTAAGCTTTTTCCAGGTATGTATGTGTGGAGTTTACAGTGAACTCTGTCTGTATACTTTAGCACTGCACTATGATGTGCTTAAAGTGAACCATGTTCACCTTAGCACTGCACTATGTTGTTCTTAAAGCGAACAATGTCTGTATACCTTAGCACTGCACTATGTTGTGCTTAAAGTGAACAATGTTTGTTTACCTTAGCACTGCACTATGTTGTGCTTAAAGTGAACAATGTTTGTTTACCTTAGCAGTGCACTATGTTGTGCTTAAAGTGAACAATGTTTGTTTACCTTAGCACTGCACTATGTTGTGCTTAAAGTGAAAAATGTTTGTTTACCTTAGCACTGCACTATGTTGTGCTTAAAGTGAACAATGTCTGTTTACCTTAGCAGTGCACTATGTTGTGCTTAAAGTGAACAATGTTTGTTTAACTTAGCACTGCACTATGTTGTGCTTAAAGTGAACAATGCTTGTTTACCGTGGCATTGCACTATGTTGTGTTTACTAGGAACTATGCTTGTTTAAATTAGCACTGCACTATGTTGTGCTTAAAGTGAACAATGCTTGTTTAACTTAGCACTGCACTATGTTGTGCTTAAAGTGAACAATGCTTGTTTACCGTGGCATGGCACTATGTTGTGTTTACAAAGAACGATGCTTGTTTCCCGATTTAATACACTATGTTGTGTTGAAGTGATCTGTAATCAATGTTTTACTTTCCATAAAACTCAAATGTGTTGATCATGACATTAACCAATGGTGCCTTTACCTGAACACCACATCATGGTGTGGTTACCATGAAACTGAACACAAACACTACAGTCTAACTACTTCTGGAGGGGATAAAGTGGTGCAGGTCCCCAGTACTAGCACCGACGTCTACAAGATCCCACTACTGCTGGTTGAACTATGAAATTTCTTTTTCGCCAGTTTTCATCCTATAGAAAAATTCTTAACATAGAGAAGACAAGATATTTGATGGATGACAACTTCTTATTCATAATGATGTGACGTAATAATAATGATGTTTAGATCCTTATATCGTTGTCAAGAGATCACAAAACAAAGAAGTTGCCATCCATAATATATCTTGTCTTTACTATTACTTGCAAACTTCTAAAAATGCAAAATAAACAGTTTTTATTTTTCTCTGGCGATTCAAATTCAACCATATATTTCAGCAACTCATCACGTAGCCCCACTAATTAATCATTGCCGAGCCGTCCCCCCTTCCTTCCCATATGCTATCAAGTCTCCCTGCCCACTCCTCCCACCACCCTCTGCAGACTGTCCAGCTGTTCGCCCTCCACTCCGTCCTCTGCTCTAATACTGTGAGTGAGTGAGTGAGTGAGTGAGTGAGTATGGTTTTACGTGGCTTTTAGCAATATTTCAGCAGTATCACATTGGGGGGACACAAGATATGGACTTCACACATTGTACCAATGTTGGGAATGAAACCCGGATTTTCGGCGTGATGAGTAACGCTCTACCCCCTAGGCTACCCACCACCCTGCTCTAATACCAAGGACCTGCAGCCACTGAGATGAAGAAACATGTACTCACCCAGCAGGTACTCACCGAGTATTTTCTCCCTTTCCTCGGGAGTTTTACTTTCCCACTCCTCAGAAGAAATCTCGGTTTCCCTGAATATGGGCATCTTGTCAATCATCTCCAGCTGCTGCTGCTGCTCCGGTGTCAGCTGTGGAATGTCTTCTCCCTCGCCCTGGAGAAGCAAGTACAGACAACCTTGTGGGAACTCAGAAACATTCACAGAGCTAGCAAGTAAGTCATATCCACAGTAATTCAGCCACTGTGACAGGAAATGTTCTTCTTTTTAGGGCTGGCTATCGTTAAAGATCTTGGAAATTGATAATTGTTAACTAAGTATCAATCAAATATTGATAAATATCGGGGAAGTTACTTTGAGCAAATATGAAAAGCTCAGAGACAAAACAGCGTATTTCACGTCACTGGTGAGTGGTCACACATGTATGCACGGATTACTTTGTGGACATTTAAGATACAACATATCAGTTGCTTCCCGTCTTTGGCAATGGGAAAAAAACAAGTCTGCTTCAGTGAATTAAAACTATATTTCATTACACCAAAGATATTATCAATGAGACCATTTTCATATCAATAATCATTAATATTTCTTCCCATCAACAATAATTCTGATTATCGATCTATTTAGCTAGCCCTTATACTTTTATATCCCATCAAAATACTGTGTCTTGACAAAGTGCATGTCGTCTTGATCCAAAGGCAAGGATCAGGTCGCATGTGTTCAGCCACTGTTCTGCCTGGTTCACTTTAGTTACTGGCTGCCATGATACAGCTGGAATATTGCTGACTGCGGCATTCAGCCTCTAGCTGTACCTCGGACCTACCTGAGGACTGTTCTGGGCACCTCTCTTGGCTCCGCTGTTGGCCAGCAGCTGCTTGAGGAGAGCGTTTTGGCTGGCTCGTAGGGCCTCTGCATCACCTGCATTAACACACCATACTCAGTGTCAGAAAACCTCAACACAAACAATATTTTCATTGCTGTTTTTTAAATACAGAAATTCTTAATAGCTTTCAGGTTTCAACAAAAATGTAGCATTTAACAAGAAATGTAAGGGGAGAGAACTCTGCAAATAAGTCATTGCTCTTTCTCAAAATTAGAATGAGTACTATACCAAAATGTTTCACAAGTCTCAAACAATCACACACAATATTGAATCCATTGGTAAACTATTAAATATAACATTGGGATTGCAACTCCCATAGCACTGTTTAGATGAATGTTTACTCGATAGGCTATCATTAACAATGGCATATTTGGCAAGTTTCCTGTAAACCTACTTGTGTCGAACTGGAGGAAGGCATCATCCGTGGGCTCTTGTTTGATCTTGACACTGTCAACAGGGCTTGGTGTGGCCAGAGCTGAGAGAGACCCTGCCGGTGAGGTTGTAGTGCTGGACATGGGTGTAGTCACAGGTGTGGTTGACTGGGGAGGAGTTGATATGCTGTGAGGTGGGGTTAGGTTTGGCGTTGAAGGGGAGGCCTTTAATCGACCTTGTGTCTGCTGTGGGGGTAGATTGAGGGGCGACAGCTGTGGCGGAGGTCCACCTAGAGCAATTCCAGGCATTCCCTGTCCAGGGATCTGTAGTGGCATTGGATGCATGGGCTTGGCCTGTGTTACACCATGAAGGTCGCCAATGGCTTGTGAAATCAGTTCTGGACTGGGAAGGGTTGGAGAATGTGACGGCATTCCAAGCAGAGTAGAACGAGGAGGCATGCTTTGTTGAGCAGAGTGAGGGGGCATTCCTGGCGCAGAGTAAGGTGGCATTCCTGGAGCCGACGAGTGAGGCGGCATTCCTGGAACTGAGTGAGCGAGCATTCCTGGAGCCGATGAGTGAGGCGGCATTCCTGGAGCCGACGAGTGAGGCGGCATTCCTGGAGCCGACGAGTGAGGCGGCATTCCCAGAGCCAACGAGTGAGGCGGCATTCCTGGAGCCGACGAGTGAGGCGGCATTCCTGGAGCCGACGAGTGAGGCGGCATTCCTGGAGCCACAAGGTGAGGCGGCATTCCTGGAGCCGCTTGGTGAGGCGACATTCCTGGAGCTGGTGAATGTGGCGGCATTCCTGGAGCCGACGAGTGAGGTGGCATTCCTGGAGCCGATGAGTGAGGTGGCATTCCTGGAGCCGATGAGTGAGGTGGCATTCCTGGAACTGGCGAATGTGGCGGCATTCCTGGAGCTGGTGAACGTGGAGGCATGCCATGTTGTTGGGGTGGCATTCCTTGAGCAACCTGGGGGGGATGACCAGCATGTGGTGGCATTCCCTGGGCAGTAGACTGAGGGGGCATTCCAGGAGGGGCAGAGTGAGGGGGCATCCCTGGTGGTAGGTGCTGCAGGCCATGGGGAGGCATCCTTTGTCCTGGCATCCTCTGGGGCATCCTCTGTATCAGGTGGGGGGGCATGCCATGTGGCAGCCTGTGCATCATACCTTGGGGGGGCATCCCTCTCTGGGCAAAATGGGGATGCATTCCTTGTGGATGAGGAGGCATGCCAGGGGCCACTGACTGAAGAGGAACTCCCTGAGCAACCGAACGTGGAGGCATACACTGAGCAACTGACTGAGGAGGCATCCCTGGTATACCATGAGGCCGGAATCCTTGACCCGGGGGTATTCCTTGAGGCAGGGAGTGGGGCGGTGCTTGAGGCATTGATCTTGGCACTCCTTCAGGGGACGTATGAGGCAGCATACCCTGAGCAGCTGAGTGAGGTACAGATTGTGGAGAGGAACGAGGTGGAATGCCTGGTGGTGTAGAGTGTGGAGGAATGCTCTGAGGTGTGGAATGAGGTGGAAGTCTTTGTCCCATAAGTTGTAGGCCTTGAGCATGTGGTAGCCTTTGAAGCATCCCTGAGGGATGCATATTCTGCATCCGTGCCATATGAGCTGCCACCTGTTGCTGCATCGCCGCCGGAGACATCGGCATCCTCATGCGAGGCTCAGTCATTTGTGGAGTCATCTGCCCCGGCATCTGTGGAGTGTTTGGCGAGGAGCTCGGGATATTTGAAGGTGATGATGCTGAGACTGTAGTAGTGACCACTGGATGAGACAGTCTTGGACTAGAAGCCGTTGCAGGTATGGCGGATGAAAGGGTCATCATGTTTCCTGGTAAGGACACAGACTGTGGAACACTTGCCTGCATGAGTTGCGATACTAAAGCTCGACTTGACTGAGAAACATTAGGCTGTACAGGGGGCTGATCTGGATTTCCAGGCCTTGGTGGTTGTGCAGCACCTGGTGGCAGCTGAGGTCGAGGGGTTGGTCCGGCTGCTGAAGTAGCTGTTAGAGGGGGCCTAGGGTGCATCATTGTATGACCTGACATGATAGCGGTAGCATAAGAAGGCGGAAGGCGCTGCGTCGGACCCGGTGCTTGGGGCGAAATATCCCCTTCACCAGCTGGCGGCTGATCAAGAGGTACATGTCCTGCTCTGATCATTTGATCCTGAAGTACTTGAGGATTAATTTCTGGCCGAAGGTGCCTCAGCATCTGATGCCCTTGTGGAAAAGGTTGCCGTGGTTGTCCTTGGCCCATCATGGAATTAGGGGGGGATGGATGCATTGTTGACTGTGCAGACACTAGAGCTGTGGGAGCAGGCTGTGGAGGAGCCGAGATACTGGACTGAATACTTGGAGTAGATGGAGCTATCTCATGGTGAAAGGATGCAGCTGATGTCTGCACTGATGAGGCATCATGTGTCTGAAGCCCACCAGATGATGGAGAAGCTGATTCCTCATTCGATCCTGAGACTGGCACTAAGTGAGATCCCTCTGTGGAAGAGGAAGGTTCTGACTGTTCAGGCTCACTAGGCTGCTGTTGACTAGAGGTGGATGGTGCAGTTGCCTGCAATGCTTCTGGCTTATTACAGTTGCCATCTTTGGTGTCACTTGTTTGCTTGGGTGTTTGAGCTTGAGGACTACTCTCACTCTTTTGTGTTACTTCTGCTGACTGTGTTTGTGTCTGAGATGGTCCTGGGGCGGCTGAAGAGCTTTTTTCAGTTGCTTTGCTTGTACTGGCCTCTCCCTCTGCCGGAGTTTCATCTTCGTCATCTGTTCCACAATGTATTCCATCATCACACACAAACTTTGCCTTAGGAGGCTCTTGTTCCTTTTCTTCCTCTTCTTCATCATCTGTTCCACAATGAATTCCATCATCACACACAAACTTTTTCTTAGGTTCTGATGACTCCCCTCCTTCAGTAACAGTTGCACCACCATCAGGCTCGTCATATGCATCATCTTCTGGTTTGTCAGTTGACACGCTTTTCCCCTCCGCTGCCCGTTGTTCCTCCACCTGGGGTGCAGGAGATTGTTCTGGGGCTGCAGATGTTGACTCTGCTGTCTGTGGAGAAGGTGGCGTCTTGGAGGTAGTGGAGAAATCTGATGACACATCAGTTTGTGGTTGCAGATGGGGAGGAGACTCATAGCTCGGTGCACTCTGCATAGCAGCACTAGACTGTGTCACTTGAGTTTCCAGATGAGGAATGGATGAACTTCCATCAAGTGCAGGTTTTTCAACCTCCTGATCTGGAGGGGAACCTGTTGTGGATGCAGGGGACTCCACTTTGGTGTTTCCAAATTCTGTAACTCTAACTTGATCTGACACTGGAGGTGTCGACCGGAGCAGCTGTTGGGCAGCCTGACCTAACTGAGAACCTTGCGACAACAGGGGAGGAGGGCCTGTGGACTGAGCTCCAGCAGGCTGTGCAGGACCCGTGCCCTGAGGCGACACGCCTGCCCCGGAAGGTGCTGGAGACACGGCTCCTTGCTGTACCAGCGGTGGTGGTGGCAGAGGTTGAGGAGCAGGAGCAGAAGCTGCAGCACTCTTGCCTCGAGGTGGCTTCCCACCAGGTAGCTGCTCATCCCCTTCCTTCTGTGCAAGAGCAGCTGTGTTACTAAGGATTTCTAAGATTCTTCTCTCCGTTTCTGATTGTGGTTTTATGGGAAACTCTGTGATCTTAGCTTGAGGAGCAGGAGGCAGTAGAGTTGTTGCTGTTGTGGTTGTTGCTGTTGTGGTGGTCACTGTTGCCGGAGCAGCTGGGGTGGATGGTGGATTTTGTCCTGCAAATATTGCATCAGTAAGTGAATTGAACAAACAGCTGAAAGACATGTCTAACTGAAATTGCAAGTACAGCATCGATGACATGTAACCAATAGCGGTGCCACGACAACAGTTACACAATGATGAGACGACATATAAGCCACATTTGGTTTCTTCAATAAGTAAGAATATGGTATGAACTTGACCGAAATCACATGTACCAACAGCTGTAACATTACAACAACTATGGTGCATGCTTCCGCGACAGTTGTAAGCTTGGTCAAAGCCTATCTTGACACCGCATATGGACACAAAGCTTGCTGCCATGATAAAAGCACAATACTTTACAGTAAGATTTAGTAATAATTCTTTCATCAGAAAAGAAAGTTCACAGAGTAGTCTGACAAGCAAGAATCACCCGTACCTCAACACTGACTTTCAGTTTAAAAAATGGAACCAATGCACATTGAGTAATCTTGCAGAGAACGTGTGAAGCTTCCTCATGCACACAAGTGTGTGTTGTGTGACAGACCTCACTCAGGCCATGCCAGAAGTACCCAGGCCAGATTGCATGCAGACACAAGTGTACAAGAGGCACTCCGTAACACTGACCGGCAGTATAGCCCACTGCTATCTCACTGACTGAAGGGGGCTGCTAGCTTCGGGTGCTGTATGCAGGGTTATATTACTTCAACATGTACTTCTTATAAGGATTGTTCTGTTCTTTTAGCACTAGCTCTGACATAAGTGACATACAACAGTTTTTTTTATGGCTGCTTCTTTAACCGAACCATACTATATTAATCTCAGCTTATGTATTGTAATGTGTATATGTTTATTTTGAGAAACAGAAAATAGAAAATGTAATTAATCATAATTCGAACAAATTACTAACACCCTTGAATGCTCATAATTCTCTAGCCTCTTCTAAAGTCAGGTGGTAAATGAACACATCAATATAAAATTGAAACAGGCATCAGTTGCTTCATTGTGAGATAATCAATGACAACCAGTGTACAAAGTGGAACATTAACAAATAAGGAAACAGAAATGAAGTTTCCACGAGTGAAAATAGACTGTCAACACATACAAGCACATCTTAACTAATCAATCTTCTGTTGCCATAGTGAAATCCCTGAACAGAGCACTGAAAATCTACTCCTCCCATTCAAGAGATCAGGGTAAGGCAAACACCTGCCAGCAGCCCCCTTCGGCTCCTTGTTCCTACAGAAACCTGATTGTACCTAAAATGGCTGGTTGAGTGGGAATTGAAGGTGGCAAGGGTTGGGACTGCACATTTTCAGTTTCTGCTGCCTTTTTTTTCTTCCGTCGCTTTTTCGGCTTTTCCTTTGCTCCTTGGGAGCCCATCTCAGGGGGTAGATTTGCAGTGGGAGGGATGCCAAAGCCTGTAACAGCCATGGGAGGGAAGTGAAAGAAGCGTCAGACAGGGACAACACAGCATGGACGTGGCGTGGCTTCCTCTTTCACACCAGCAGAGTCACCAGAAACCTTGCACTGAATTATGCATTAAATTTTCTTAATCCTTTTTTTATCCGTAAAATACTCATACCCTTTTGAATTTGAAAACAAGGAACACAGCATTACCAATGTTTGCTGCAGAAACCATGTATGTATAGTAAAAATAGTAAAATGTATTTGTACACCCTTGTACAGCCTAACGCCGATTAAAGCAAGAGGGGCAACTCTTATGTAAAGTCCAAAATTTCATATTTGACCAAAAAAAATCAGCCTTGGCTAGTCTGCTGGGTAGGGGTGCCGGAAGGTAAATGTACTTGACATCTCATTACTATCAGATGATTGCACGTGTCACGATGCAAACACTGTCCTTGTTAACCAGTTGGGTTGTTCCCAGCATCAGCAGAGAGTGAAAATACCACCTCTTGGTAGCAATTCATGACATTATCAATGTGTGCAATATAAGTCCAGGACACACGGAGTAGGTCGCTATGATACACTGAAGCACTACATACAGGCTAGAAGCAGGAACAGGGTCAGCTACAAAACAGCACTGTCACTAACACAGCCTACTGGTCACTCAGGTAATAATCATTCTGCTTATAAGTCAATAAATAAACATATATTCTAATGGGATAAACAATCCTTGAACTCAGATCAGAACCATTTCACCTTTTCATGTTAATAAACCAGCCAAATACATGGCCGATCATATTTCAGTGACTAATTCCATTTTAATATTATTGACATGTATGCCTTATAAACTGTTCAGTAAATTATCTAAAATTGACATAAACACATAGGCATTGGTAGTAGACAGACACTACATTCATACAAATAGAACAGCTTTTGTTTAACAAAATAATGCAAATTATTGATTTATCATATGATGGCAACATCTACCAAATACTACTCCACATCCTAACACATTCCCTGAGTTACAATAGGATCAAGCAGCACGGCGTGTAAGCATGTGAGGCCAGCAAGCAGTCAAAGCAAGCACAGAGGAAGCAGACAGAAGCAACTGAAATGAGCTCACAAATGTTTATCGGAGAGAACTAGAGGAGAAACTAAAGACATGCGGGTCCAACTGATGGCCACCTAGTACACAGCAGGAAGAACTTTAAACAACACCTCATATCTCTGGAAGAACAGACATTCTACCAGAACATAATTCTAGTAGCAAATAACTAAAGGAAATGGCAAATACAGGATGGTAAGGCATGGCATCTGTCTTGTATCGGGTACGGTCTCCTAATGTAATCCTGGCAGCTGCTTAAGTTTGTCCGTTTATTTTTTGCTACAAGGCATCATCTTCTTTCCCAGGACACTTTTTCCAAAAGGAGACTTGCATTTTCAACTCAGGTCGGCTAATAAAACCCAAACATTTTGCCAATGGGAACCTTGCCTTTGTTACCAAGAAATATTTTGAGATGCAGTGCACATGAGTGGGCACAGACAAAGGACCTTTTTTTTCAAAACCTAAGTGACAGTGCATCATTGAGTTAGATAGAGCCGAGCCATATCCAGTAGGGTTGCCAGGGGTTACCATGGACCAATGCCTGTTAGGTACTGTTGACACTCCTAAGTACCAGCACATCACTAACCTGGCTGGAAAGGCATGCCTTGTGGGAAAGGGAGGCGACTCTGGTCAGAACCAGGCATGGGGGGGTAATGTCCAGGGGGTCCAGGATAGGCAGGTGGGCGAGGTCCCTCAAATGGGCGTGGTGCCCCTTCTCCAGCAAACAGGCCTGGTGCTAGTTGTATAGCATATGACTTGTCATTATTACGTTGCAGAAAAGAAATAAGAGACTGCATCAGTGTGTTCAAAGATTCAAGAATACAACATCAACGTGACATGGCTCTAGATGCTCTTGAAGTTTGTGTAACAATAAATAAAAGCAGCAATATATTTCACAATCACAAATTTCTTGCACCAGAAATTCAGGAACAGGGGAAGGAAAATTCAGAAATCTTTTTTGGGGATAAAATGTATATTCCTGGGGGCTATTCAATAAATCTGTATCCATGTTTCAGATGCAAGTAATTTGAAAAGCTGATACTTGACCAGGAGTAGGAAGCATGTTATTCAATGTGTGCATTGGCTGATACACCACCTCAAGCCGTACAAGTCATAGAGCTAATTACATATCAACATTTTACAGAAAAGTACATTAGATCAGTCTCAAATTCATTCATGAACATTCACTATGTTGTGGAAGGTGGAAGCTGGAGGCTGGAGGCTGGAGACTGGTATCCCTATTCAGAATCATGCCTAACATACAATAATCTTAGGAGCCATAAAAAAAAAATTAGGATTTAAAACACAACAAAATTGCATCTATTCTCAAATTAAATTCTGGCATATAACAATCAAATCAAGATATAATGTACACATATCTGCAATGACAATAAAGCTGTTTCATAAAATTACTCAAAATACAAGAAGTCAAAGAATCCTGTAAAACAAAGTAGAAGTTGAATATATAAAGCAGGCCAGAGAGTAATGGTGCAGACATACCTCGTGTGAAGCGAGGGCCTTGTTCAAACGTCATTCCTCTTTCCCTGAAGAACTGCATCTGAGGGAGGGCTTGAGGAAGAGCTTGAGGAGGAGGAGGTGGTGGTGGTGGTGCTAGAGACTCAGCTGGTGCTACAACATCATTGTTGGATGTCCAAGTAAACCCATTATCATTACTCGCGATAACAATCTAGCCTCGGGATAAAATCTAATCAGCCAACTTTCCATGTGGCACTCATCACTTCATAACCAACTCTGCGTACATGAAATGTTGAGTTTCCACTAGCTTGCCACAAAGTAGATAGATATTGTTGTAGGAAATATATCCCCAAAATTAATCCTCATAACTCGTAATGATAAAATCGTTACATGTGTCAAAGTCAAAGAATATCTTTGTCTTTGACATGTGTCAATAGTGGGTTGACAGGGTAAGCTGAGAGATCCTACAACCCCACCAGTGACATGATACTAATTATACAAAGATTCCAACCACAGAGAAGTGCACTGGTGCAGAAGGACAACACAAATTAGAGAGAAATACATACGAGTGGCCTGACCAGGGAAACAAACAGCCTGTAACCCTGTCACCCGGCCATATCGCACCACAGCACTAGAATGTATGGACAACATATACTGTCAGCTCTCGTTAAGCAAGTGTCTGTGCTAAGTGTCTGAGCAAAAGTTGGTTTACCTGTTCCTTGCACTTCAGTGGTTGGAGGGGTGGCACCTTCGTGAATCTGTGCCCAGTTCTTCTCACGGAACCTTTCAAGCTGCTCTCTCTGCTGAAATCCCTCACTAAACGGGTTGTTGTCCTGTGATTATAAAATCAGTATCATATTGTGAGTGTGTATTTATTTCAGTCGCTTTTAGAAGGGGACTTGAAAAAACAGGTCCCAATACATGTGGAATATCTGTCTATGAAGTGACATTCATAAACTCTATCAGCCCCCAATTGTATACTCCCCAGGGAGATGAGAATGGCAATTGAGTGCACACTGATCCATTGACTGGGACATTAATATTGTAGAGCCGTGAACATTCACATGGTGATTTGAATTTGGACTTATTAATGCCTTTAAGAGTTCGACATTACAAGCGACCCTCAGAATAGGCTCTGAACATTGTACCCATGTGACCTGAATCTTTGATTTGACAGGCCAACGCTTTAACAAGTAGCTATGTAACCACTCCATCATAGTACCTGACAGCAGAGTAACCTCATGCATCAATCAAGTCACACTTTGATCAAAGAAGTACATACATTCATTTTTGAACACACAATGCATCACAATCAAGATGATAATTTTGTCCGACCACAGCAAAGCATACTGACCCCAAGGACAGTGGTGAGCCGTGCCTGTTGTGCTGCCGTCATCTGTCCAGGACCCATAGGACCTCCCGGACCCACTGGTGCCGGGGACTGTGCAGCACCAGGGGGACCTTGTCCCCCAGGGAGCTGTACAGGGGATATCTGTCCAGGGGGGAGCTGTCCCGGGGATATTTGTCCTTGGGGGAGCTGGCCTGGCGGTATTTGCCCTGGCGGAAGTTGCCCTGGTGGTAATTGGCCTGGCGGTATTTGGCCTGGCGGTATTTGGCCTGGTGGTATTTGGCCTGGCGGTATTTGGCCTGGTGGTATTTGGCCAGGCGGTATTTGGCCAGGCGGTATTTGGCCTGGCGGGAGTTGACCTGGTGGGAGTTGGCCTGCGGGGACAGGGAGTCTGGGGCCAGTCAAAGGTATGCCTGACACTCCTGCCTGTTGGCTCAACATTCGCAACCTATTCTGCATGTAAGCTTCATATTCCTGCCTGTCTGTGCGAGTCAACCGGACTGAGTTTGCACCTGGAGCCCGGACTGGTGGGGTCTGGGGTGGCGTGCCCACCGGTGTGGAGGCAGGGGAGGAAGACAAGGTGGCAGTTGGTGTTGATGCGGGAGAGAGCTGTGCCGCCTGGCTAGTCTGAGAGGGTACTGGGGATGGAAGCCAATTACGACCGAACTGTTCCTGAAGCAAAAGAAACATCAAAGATCACAGAAGATCAACTTTGTCATTCTGTCTAGTATACCATTTGCAGTTACAGAAAAAGACAAAGATAGTGTCCCAATTTCATTCATATCACAGAATATCAGCTTAATGTTGAGAGGAAAGCCCAAAATGCGCCTACTCCTAGATGGTCACCACTGTTGCTGACAGACTGGGTCATCAGGGTTCACCTTGAAGTAGCCTCTGGCACCGCTAAGGGAAGCAACTCTGCACGACCAGCATGGGTTACTGGGGACCTATTCTAACCCGGGATTCCCATGGGTTTAGTGCACTACAAAGTGCAGCTTCCTACCTTCTGTTTGTTTCGATAGTCCTGCACCATCATCTGGTGTTGTCGCTGCTGCTTCCTCAAAGCTTCCAGCTGCTTCTGCAACCCCGACTGCTCCGTGGTCACCCGCTCCAACTCCGCCACATCGTTCGGATTAAGCTCATTTCCATTTTTTCGTGCCTACGGGTTAAAAAGAAAGCAACCTCAAAGAAGATTCATTTTGACATGCATCCAGAACAATTCATGCCTATAACTCAACTCCAGATTACGGAGATGGTGACAGGGAAACAGTGAAAGTATATTTACCTGTCTCTGCCGAGCTTGAATGCTCTTCTTTGTTCTCTTCTGTTTGGCAATTTGCTGTTCCAGGAGCTTGATCTGCATGTCCAGGAACTGAGCCTGTTTGGTCAGCCAGTCCTCATACTGCAGCTGTTGCCGATCGTACTCTGGCCCCACCTCGCCTGCACACACAAACAAATCTGGTGTGAGAAACGTACATGGTCATTTACACTTCTATCGACATGTTCATGAGCGAGTGATAAGAGAATTTCACGGCATGAAAATAAGGGGTGGAGAGTAGGAGAGGCAGAGGGAATCAGGGGAGGGTCACCCCCAAAAATATATTAAACATCCAAAATAATGACCTATCCAATTATCCCCCTAATCATAAACACAGCCAACCAGATGAGATGTGTATGAATGTTTTGTAAAAAAATTTGTCAAACATAATTCTTCTGAATGAAAAATTATAACAAAAACCCCAAACTGCAAATTCTCTATAAGTTACCAGTTCCTTGTACTATCATGGATATCCACATTCACTTATGTACCAATTACATAATTCTGTCACATGCTACAATACTGGGATAGCTGACTACCTTGGGAAGGGTTTTCCCTTCTGCAACCAGGGCCATTTGCATAATAAAAGTGTTAATTACAAAAGACGAGAAAGTAGGTGAAAGGTGAGGTATGTTACAAACTTGATGGGCATCTCTCACCTCCTGGTGGCGGGATGGGTGGCTGAGGGGGTGGGGGTATCATAGTCAGGGGACTCATCCGTGGTGGCTGCATCCCTGGGGACGGCGTCTGGAAAGGGGAAGGGGTCCGTGGACTCAGCTGTCCCTGTGACCGGGGTCCAAATCCAGGGAACTGGGGACTAGATGCCATTTCACCCTGTTGCCCACTAGTCTGAGTAGCTGACCACGCCCCCTCAGGCCCTGGCATCCTGTAGACACATGCAACACGTTTCTTAACCACTATAAACTTAGACATAATAGATCTAAATTGTGATTGAAAACAGCTCAGCAACATGAAAACCCAAATCTTTAATAATATAATAAACCTTAATAAAATATTTCACTCATTTCAGGATATAAACTTGATACTATTCGTCAAATACTGACAACTATTTGATAAGTCAAAAAACGATTGAAGTCAATTCAAATAAACAAATAAATCAACAACAATAACTTCATAGACTGCTTATTTAATCATTAACACACAAAAATGTAGACAAAAATACTTTATCAGTGATCGTTCAATAAGGCAACCCATGTTATGCCCACCCTATTACCAACCAATCAGAAATTAATAGACCACTTGTGGTCTTGGCTAAATTGTGTCCAGGTATATGGGAACACATATGCCAAAAGTATTGCTCGGTTGGCCAGTCAAATGCCATGGAATCACTTTTATTAATTCCAAGGTCATACAGCCCTAAACCGTATGTACGAACTATCACAATAACTTACCGTGTGGGTTCCAGTCGAGGGCCCATCATATGCTGCCCCAGGACTATGGGAACAAAATGGATAATAATTAATAAACAATGATAAATACAACTGGAAACTCCTCCTGCAACAACATATTTTGTTATTAGGAAAAAAGTGTTTCAGAGACAAATACAAGTTGTAATATAAATGGAAACCTGGTCTGAGTCCTGGTGGCATCATGGTTTCTGGTTTTCCTCCGATTTCGCGCCGGTGGATTAGAGCTTGCTGCTCTGCCTGACGCTTCTGTTCCTGCTTTTCCTGCAAAAACAGCAACACCAGCATTACGGCAATATCAGCAGCACGAACACTTCATCAACATCCACCTCACAGCAACATCACCCATACAGCAACATTAACACTACAGCAACATCACCCTCATAGCAACATAGACCTCATAGCACAGCACCCAAACAGCAGCATTAACACTACAGCAACATTATCTTCGGAAAAGCACATAGAGTTTGTAATTGCAAATCAAGCAGTATCACAGCAGACTGTATCAATCCATTGACACATGATACATGTCTAAGCCAAGAGTTGTCTTCCCTGGTTCTTACTCATCCAAGGACTATCCATATTGAGCACTGCACACACAGTAACTGGCTGATCCTTGAACAACTTAAAGAAAACCCTACAATCCCCACAGGAGGTTAGATAAGGAAGAGAGAGGTTGCCTTCATATCTGGCCAATACAAAAAGATTCTCACCTGTTCCAGCAGTTCATCCAGGAGAGTAGACTGTTCCTTGGGTTGAGGGGGAGGCATCTGAGCCGGTCGAACCATTCCTGGTCCCCCTGATCCGGGGTATCCCGGCATCCTGGGCCCTAGGAGCCTCATGCCTGGTGGGTGTTGTAACCGTGCTTGTCCTTGGCCTACATAGCCGGGCGGCAACCCTCTCGGCCCCATTCCAGAATGGCCATGTGCTAGTTGCTGTTGCAGATTGGGATGAGATGTCTGCGGCATCCCTGGCCTCTCAGGCCTCATCCCTGCCATCCCTTGTGGTCCTGGCCCAGCCATTGAAACAGAGACCATGCTCCCCTGCTGGTGAAGAAGTTTGGCAATCTCAGCTGCTGCCTCTCCCTGCAGCTGCTGGGCAATGGAACTGGGTGGTTGTCCTGGCATGCCAGCCTGGCTCATTACAACCGACGGGGGCATCCCCTCCTGTCCTTGGCCCTCCTCTCCGCCTGGCTGACTCACTTGTGGAAACGGAAGTCTTGGTCCTTGGTTTCGTATCCCGTGTTGTGAAGCAATGGACTGTCCGTACAATATACTGCTGGGGGTCGGCGTCAGGGTGCTTCCTCTTGGAGGAACATGGTTGAGCTGCTGCCCATACGTCCCCTGTGTGTACTGATTGGTTGGAGTGATAGTAGCTCTGGGTGAGTGATGCATTGGAAAGGACTGGGTTTGAGGATGACCAACAGATTGAGGTGATGGGTTGAGCATTCCTTGTGGAGTATTGGGACCGAAACTGGTCTGACTGTGACTTAGCACTGGTCTGGGCTGTGCTCCTTGTGAGTATGGAGAGAGTGGAGCTGACACCAGACCAGAGCCAAAGGGTGAGTGGGCCGAAACTGGAGGACTGAACGGAGACTGAACGGATGTGGAGAATGGAGAGAGCTGCGAGGCCCCTGGAGTGACAGGCTGGCTGTGAGGTGAATGTACAGGCATCTGGCTGAAGGGGCTGTGCATGTTGGGTGTTCTGGGGGATGGCTGTCCACTTCTTGGTGAGGGAATAAACTTTGGTGATGGAAGTCCTGGCGTTCCTGGCACACCGATACTGCCCGACGGAGACATGTGGACTGGCGTCAGAGGGCCCTGGTGAGGACTGGGGCCATGATGGAGAGGGGACATACCCGGACCAAATCCTGGTCTCTGTCCCAGACCCAGACCAAGAGGATCTGTCTGGGGCTTTCCTGCCTCAGAGGCTCTGACCCCAGCCTGCAACCTCTTCTCTATTTCACTTCTTTCCAGTCTGGATCCAATAGGTTCTGTGCCTTGCAGCAGTGCCGCTATGTGACTCACACCCTTTGTTTCCTTAGCTCCACCAGCTTTCTTGTCCTTCTCATCCTTTTTCCCATCTTTAGCAAGTCTAGCTGCATCTAATGCATACTGTTCTTGCCTCTTCTGACTGAACTCGAGGAATTTGGCTTGGAAATCTTTGGCAGGATTTGCCTTCTGGTCCTGTGATTTTTCATCGTCTGTGTCTTTCCCTGCATCGTCTGCTGCAACAGCGGGGACTACTGGCTTCTCCTCTGGTCTCTCTTGTTCTGGTCTTACCGACGTGGATGCAACTTCATGCTTCGGTGGCTGGTCAGTTTTTGTTTCCTCGGGTTTGCTGGTTCCCTCCATAAGATCCAGCTGCTCATCAAGGAATTTGTCATCATCAGATCCCAGTTCTGGATCAGCAAACTTCAGGATGTCGAATGTTCCGTCAGCACCTGCAAGAAAGATTTTCAGAATTGAACTTTGTAGCCTCCCTTGTACATAAAAAAAGGCTCACTATACATATTTGCCCTTTCATGAAATTACTGTAAAACAGCGTAATATTTTCTTGACCACTGTTTTATATGCAGAGATTAAGATCATCCTGAGTATTTGGTCTCAGAAACAAAAGCAGAAATAGCAATAAGCTGCACATACATTTTCTTCCAGATGGACCAGTGATTTTGTTAAAAATACCCAATATTAATTTAAAGAACTTTGATGCAATGATGGGAAGAAATTCTAATTAACTAATACTCCTTTATGTTAACCTTATAGTCCCAACAGAATCTGTATCTACAAAATGATCTAAAATCAGCCCTCTGCTTGCGGATAACTTGGCACTGATTTAACAAGATGTCACTCCATGTTAATTATTCCAAGAAGTCAGCAACAATACTCACTCAACAAGTCATCATCTTCATGTTTCTCATCTTCGGACGACATCGGCTGCTTCGTGACCTTCAGATCAATGTCGGACAAGTGCAGCTGCTCACTCTGAGTGGCGAGTGCCGCTTCATCTAAACCCTCCCCCGCTGCCTGGGTCTTCAGGTTGTTCTCGGAGATCATTGGATCTCGGGTTGAAGTGAGAGGCGTTCCCTGAAACAAGTCCTCTTCAGACTGTGCTGGCGGGGGTTGTGAAGCTTGACGGGTGAAGGGTGGGAGCATATGGCGAGCACCTGGGGGTGTCAGCTTCGGATCTTGTCCCTGGAACTGAGGGGGTACAACGGGAGCATCTCCCCCGACCGCTGGAGGATGCTGCAGTGCGATGGAAGGCAGGCCCTCGGATGTTGGAGGTGGGAAGCCGGCTCCTTGTGTTGTGGCAGTGCTGACAGCTATAGGTGACATCATGGGATGGCTAGGGGAGTGGCTTCCCTGAGATGCGAGGTGGTCCTGGATGGCCTGCATGAACTGGGACAGGAAATACGGTTGATAATAAACAGTTTATACATAAACAATTTCCAGAGTACAGGTTTGGTGTTACAGTCAGCAATATTACAGCTGTATCACAGGTTAGTAAAAGTTCAGGTTGTGTGCACACGGAAGTATTCCTTTTTCTTAAAACTTTACATATACCATAAGACTCCTGGGTCACTCCTGGGTCCACAAAACCATAAGCTCATGTTAAAGTATGGAATTTACGATCATCTTAGTGCTACAACCGTCGAAAGCATATGTTAAAGTATGGGAGTTACAAACATATTAGTGCTACGATTGTGGTTAGCCAATTAATACATATGGGAGTTACGATCATCTTAGTGCTACGATTGTCGTAAGCCCATGTCAAATTATGGGAGTTATGATCATCTTTGTGCAACGATTGTGGTAAGCCACTCTTTAAATATGGGAGTTATGATCATCTTAGTGCTACGATTGTCGTAAGCCTATGTTAAATCATGGGAGTTACGATAGTCTTAGTGCTACAACTGTGTTAAGTGCTACGATCAATTTGTAGAACAGGGCCCTGGGATCTGTTGCAAATTACCCTTCTCTTCACACTGAGTTGAGGAATGTTACTTCGCATTAAGTAATGTTACCGCTTCATAACAGTGGCATGTTACTATCATAATCTTGGCAGGGCAAACCGAATCCTTTTTTGTATAGCGTACTAGGGACCCTTCCTGAAAGGAGTCTCTTTTGGATCATGCATGGCTCTGAAGAATGGCAGCACTAATTTCCAAGTGAATATTATGACCTTCCCATGACTTACTGGCTGTCCTGACATGGCGCCTGGGGGAAATGGGCCGTGGCCTGGAGATCCAATACGGGGCCCCTGGTTAGGCCCTGCCCCTGGTGGGAATGCTTGGCGGGGAGGCATCCCGGGTCCTGGTGGCCGGGGCTGCCTCATGGCCCCAGGGAAGCCTGGCCTGACCTCAAACTGACCTCTAGGGCCAAACCCTTCTCCTTCTGCAATGTTAACAATTGATCAATGCAGGTGTATGCCTTGTCCACAATATCTGATAATACATGAATTCAAAACACATGATATAAGGATCACCATCTAAGGTAGACATACCTGGCCCAAATTGACCTGGGTTGGGTGGTCTCACCATCCTGTGTCGGAGAGCAGCCCAGCGCTCGGGGTGAGCCACCCCTGGGACTTGTTCAGAGAACCCTGGGGGTGGTCGTGGACCTCCGTCCATATACCTGGGCGGCATACCTGTGAAGTACAAGATATTCCCTTTGGTGAAACGCTGAACTATGTGCACCAGGAGATAACATGATGATTGTTTGTGACGTATTTGAATGACTACAAACTCACAAACATATTCTGAACTACAAATGTTATCTATTCACCTCACTAATACACATACTGCTGAATGTTTCCCTGATATAGACAAATTTTAACAATGACCATGGAATAAAAATAATTCTACAATTTTTCAGAGCTACTTTCACTGTTGTAACCAGGGTCCATTCTATAAAACTATTTATTCCTTTTCACTTATAACACCAATATTGAGCTTAGATTTACAACTCATATAAAAACCTACACATAAAAAAGTACCAGGTCGAATCACCCTTTCCTACAAGCCAATCTTAAGGCTACAACTGATGTATTCTATAACTCTTAACATAGGCTTGTATGGATGTTGCTAAGACAGCAATAGGGTCCTGGAACAGTGCGTACCTGGTGGCGTGCCAGGCAGGCTCTGTGGAACTCCATCCTGGGGCGGCCACTGGGGGCCTTTAGCCTTCTCCGACTCTTCTTGCTGCTTCCTGATTTTCTGCGACCTGATGATCTGCTGTGCCAGGATCTCCCGCAGTTGCTGGTGCTGGTTGCCGCGGTCCGCTCCCTCCAGCCCCTCCCCTCCAGGGCCCTAGCAACACAGTCACATGTCTCACACACTGGATGCATGCTGTCAACATCAGTCACTTCAAACATTTGGGGGTGAGGGTAAAAGGTGTTTTACTCCTGTCTGCATACTGCAGCTGCATCAAGCTGGCCAGTGTAAAGGTGAGACTTCACCAGACAGACCAAAGGTCAACTGCAGCAATGGTTGAAGGCCAAGGATGCCACAGGTGTCTTGTGCATTTGCCAAAATCAGGCAAGAACTGTTTGTGAGTAGGGTTTAACGCCATTTTGAACAGTCTTCCACTTAAATCACAGTGTGTCAGCTAAATGTGGGAGGAAAGCCTGAAGTAATGCAGGTCTCAGATGTTTACATACCGTGTAGGTATCAGGGCGAACCAGCATTCAAACCCACATTTATAGGTTTCTATGAACAGGTAACTGCAATGTCCGAGGCAACTGGGTCACCTGTGCCCCCTTCAAGCAGATAGTTCTTACTTTTAACAAACAGAATGCTCAGAAAAATGAGCATTTCTGATTAAATGCAATGTTTTTATACTTAACTGACGCTACACCTATAGCACTGTGTAGCGTCAGGTAAGGTAAAACATGAGCATTTCTGATTAAATGCAATGTTTTTATACTTACCTGAAGCTACAGTATACTACACAGTGCTATAGGTGTAGCGTCAGGTAAGGTAAAACATAATTAATGCCTATCAAACAATTTGAAAAATAAGTTGTTTTTCCTGTACTACAACACACATTCAGAGAGGTTCCAGCTGAGAGTAGTTTCCTTGATGGTCACCCATACCACTCTCACTAATCAGCCTTCCAATCTCCATGTTCAACTGCTCGTACTACAAGCATGGGCTAGTCACAAGAATTTCTCATTAACTAAATTCAAACTTTAACTGTTTGTTTGTTTGTTGTTTTACACAGCACTCAGCAATATTCCAGCTATATGACAGCAATCAATAATCAATCTGGACAAGACAATCCAGTGATGGATATCATGACCATCGATCTATTAATTGGGATACGATGACATGCATCAACCAAGTCAGCGAGCCTGACTACCCGATCCTGCTAGTCACCTCTTACGACAAGCATAGTCGCCTTTTATGGCAAGCATGGGTTGCTAGTCTACCCCTGATCTTCAAGGGTGCCAAAGCTTAACCATAATGCAGGAGTTTGTACAGATATATAATAGGTGTAGAGGAGTAGATATATATCCAGGAGTCCGGTCATATTACACTGCAGGGATGTACGGGGATAGCGATGGTACACAGACAGTGATGGTACATGAAGGTGGAGTCCCTCTATAGTAGGACTTACAACTGGGAAACACATCACAATATTGGTAAGGTGGAAGGCTTGTAACGCACACTGGAAAAGATATCATCAAATCATTTCCTTCATTGTAGAATATTCATAAATATCTGCGTCGAAGTGTTCCACTTGCTTGCTGCATCAATACACTGCCATGATGTACAGCATCGACACAGGAGTAATCTGTAGGCACACACTCACCAACTGATGAGCAAGCAGAATCTACTAACTCTACTGCTTGCCTTCTACAGCCAAGCCATTTTAAACACAAAATGCACAATCAGCTGTAAATGACTGAACTAGACTAGTGAACACAACATGGAAGCAGTAACAGAAGCATAATGGCAGCTGGAGAGTCTGGCAGCACAATATCAGGGCTTGGTTCACTAGGCCATCTCAGGACTCCCATTATGTAAGTCTGTGTTAAAATATGGGAGTCATGAGAGTGGTAGAAGGAAGAACGTTTCATGACACAGTGCCCTGGCCAGAAAGGTAAAACTTTACATTTGATCATTGAATTTGGGAACAAGGGGATACATGACAACAAAACTTACAGTTTGGATCTTGGTTCTCTCTATATCATATTATCAGAGCTCCAGAAAAGTTTTTGAGCAATTGAGTTTTGACTCGGAGGTTTCTTTTTTAATTGGGTTATTACATTTTTCATTGGGTAAACAGTATTTTATAACTCATCTATTCATCACTCTATTAGGTTTTTCCCAAAATGAGCAAGCATTGTGAAATTTTAAAAAAATAATGAAATGATGTTTAAGCTGTATATAAGTGTTCTAAAAATAAGCTTGACTCGGAAAGTAAATTTGCTCGTAATTCTGTTTCTCAAATTAGCTCCGTTGTACCATGCTGAAAAGCTTCATTGGGTGTTTTCAAACAAAAGATTTTTTCATTTAATGCATGCGTTTCTGTACGCAAGTTAATTGAAAGTAATTGGGTTTTGAATAGTTTGGGGAGGTATTTTACACAAATATGCAGCTTATCTGTAGCTCTGATTATGATAAATTACCAAAGTTCAGACAACACTTGACCAATTGTTCCATTACATGTTTCAAATAAGGACAAGAAGTTGTCATTTACAAATATGTTTAAAGAGAGTAGTAAAGACGCATTAGCACTGCCAGTTATCGGGTCCATTATGCTTCTGTGAGTGTGAGGATGGGTTCAACATGGAAACATCAACAGCAACACTGCATGCACAACCAACTGACAGCTGGGCAAGGACAGTGCCACTTACCAAGAGAGTGTGCGAGATAGAACTAGGCCAAGATCCTGCAGCTAAGTGTGTGTGCCGTCGGCTGTATAGTTGTTGAAGCTAGAGACGTACAACATAGGACAGTCAGAGTTGATACTACTGTTGCACAACTTATCCTCACCTTGCGACCACATCAAACTAGCTCACTTAAAATTATCTCTGTACAGTAAATACAGAAACTAATAAAGCCTTCTCTGTCAAAACAGTCTTGGAAAATTGTTCCATGTCTCAGTTCAACTTTGGAAAAATCTACATCCGTAAATATACAAGATGACCCACTGGCTTTGATAAAGGTGAAAGTTTGTCCTGATAGTCACCTATTCTTAATACTGGTATTAGTTGAGATAAGTCTTCTGATAAGCACTGACTTTTGAAAAATATTCTACCCATGAAGTCTCCCTCAGGACCACCAATGGGTTCGATCAAACGCTGACAGCCCTACCTTGGAATGATCATGGGGCAGCTACACCAGTGGACACCTTAATCATTGCAAAGACATTCCGTTCTTGTAAAATGTACTGTTGTACTCATAATTTGCAAGCACAACCCTAGACACTTCTTTCACCAAAATTTACAGCTGTGATTCACGCAGTGACAGAAGCATTAAACTACGCTAGACCCTCCTGAAAGCCTGGCGTATCCCCCTATCTCCATCTTCCTCCAAGAAGCCAACTATTCTTCAGGAACCTCTACCTCTAGCTTCAGGTCATGAGGGACAAGCTCAATGCCTACACAACCTGGGTCACTTGAAAACCACAACCACAACAAATCTACTGATGAATATTTTGGGCAGATATATTTATGAAATTGTCTTTGCTATAAAATACAAAAGAAATATCCCCAAATATATTCCTGATCCTTAACTTATATTGTTTGGCATAGCTGTCTGGAACAATAAACTTTCATACATTTGTCAACTTATTTTGATGTGGTTGCAAACAAAGACAGAGTTGCTACAATGTTTTTGCTCTACAGTTAGTCCTGAGATAATCTGACTCAAACACAGGGCTCAACTGCCGTATTCTCATCCAAGTCTACACAAATCCAGTTAATTTGACTATGAATGTTACTCTGGCATTTGAGTCATGTTAACAGAAGTTTTAATAAAAACACAAATTAATACATACATTGTTGAGCATATATCACGTGCATTAACATTAATCACTCTGATGCTATAGATTGTATGCACAGCGTTATGTAAGGAACTCATTATCACATGAAGCCAGTCTTGGCAAAAGCTGTTTACAATTTTAATCTAGAACAATATAACTCAAAGTGCAGATGCATAAATGAAAATGCAACTAGACTTAGTGCCCTTCACCCAAGATGATGTAGATCTACTCATGCAGAATAAGAAAGCATAGTTAAATTGCCATACTCTTGTGTGGGAACAACTGCTCTGGAACAGCATCACCATCAGCAGTGTTGGTGTAACACCAAGTTTCGTTAATAAACAAATTCCATATGGATATTATAGTTGTTATATTGTTAGACAAACACACACAACACATTTAACTGGGAAAAGCTGATGAGTAGTTATTTCCAGGGTATTTATCCCCACAGAGAGTATGCATGTATGAACACACCACAGCCACAACACTCAGCCTACCATGACACTCTCCGGGTGCAGGGGCTTCTCCTGCATGAAGGGAGGTCTCGGACCTCGGATACCCATGTTGCCCCCGGGACTCAGCTGCGACAGCGTCCTTGCCATGCCCACGTCCCCTGGTTGTGGGGTGCCTTGCAACAACAAGATCAAGTTTGTTTGTTTGTTGTTTAACGCCATATTCAGTAATATTCCACCAATAACATGTGACAAATAAAAAGTGGACCAGACCAGGCAGTGATTGATATCCAGGCTGGTGGGTATGAGGACACAAGACCTGCCAAGCCTGACCACCTATCCATTTAGTCTACTCCTACAGCAAGCTGTTTGTGAAGCATAGGTTACAGGAGACTTATTGTTCTAACCTATAATCCCAATGGGGGCAATCATCAAGTCAACTATCTAACAGTATCATTCCTGCAGATGTGGAATGTCTTTTTTGGATGTCCCTGAAGTCAGAGTAATGGTTACTGAATTACCCATCGAGGTACAGAGACAAAGATGAAAGATGGCACCAATTTCAGTCAACCAACAAGCATCTACCCTATTAAGTATTGGTTCAGAATTTAAAACAAGTCTTCTGGGTACCCTGAATAATGTGTATTGAAGGATAAGTGAGTGAATTGGGATTTAACATTGCTTTTACCAGTATTCCAGTCATTTCACGGCATGTCACCTTAATGTGGGAGGAAAGACCGAAGTGATGCAGGTCTTAGACGGTTTCCTCTTTGGTGAAACCATAAGCATGGGAATGGTGCTGACAAACCTGGAAACACAATCAGGGTGAACTGGGATTCGAACCCATGATCATAAGTTTCTGGTGTGCACAAGGGACACCCCTCTTCACAGCGAATTGCGGTGCCTTCGATGACAAGGTCACCCATGCCCACTGATGGATAAGTGTGTTTGGAGGACAAGACTATTCACCTGGTGGCTGACTGTAGGGGTCTGGGAGACTCTGTGAGCGAGACAAGAGGGGTGGCCGGGTGGGGAACTGCTGATCTGGGTGCCGGAGTGGCCCAGGCGTTGAGTGAGGAGACTGGGGAGAATGTGGCAGACCTGCAAGCAAACATAAACACACTCTGTACAGGATCAGTCACTCCTAGCTACGAACAACATAATACTGGCAATCTGTGAGGAATGAGTGAATATGGTTTGACGCCGCTTTTTGCAATATTCCAGCAATATCACGGCGGGGGACATCTGAATATGGGCTTCGCACATTGTACCTATGTGGGTCATCGAACCCAGGCCAATGAGTAACCACTCGGCTAAGCCACGCCCCCCAATCTGTGAGGAAGACATGGTAATAACATATCTGGATACTAATCTCACTGAGTTCCACACACATTTGTCACACATCTCTTAACTCAAAAAACACTATCCTAATTAACTGCTTGTTACATTAATTTCTACGGTTCTCTGTATATATATACACCACTGAACTTTTGATAGAGATAATCAGATATGTCATTCTATGTGAGTGTGTAAGTGAGTATGGTTTTATGCCACTTTTAGCAATATTCCACTAATATCACGGTGGGGGACACCAGAAATGGGCTTCACACATTGTACCCATGTGGGGAATCGAACCCAGGTGTTCGGCGTGACGAGGGAATACTTTAACCACTAGGCTACCCTACCGCCCCTGTCATTCAATGTAAATATACACTTGACATATTATGAGAATCATTTTTATGTATCATGGAAAGATAAAAAATATCAAAAGTGCCATGGTCGACATCTAACCTGGATGTGGTGTCATCGGCTGTTGGCTGTAGGGATCAGGAGCTTGAGACGTGGGAGGCTGCGGAGCTGGCTGCTGCTGAAACTGTTCCGGAGACGGGCGTCTCATCCGTGGGGACAGCTGCTGCATCATCTGTTGCCGAAGTCCATGAGCCATACCCCCTGGCCCAGGTCGAGGATGGAAGAATGCTTCGTCCTGGCCCGAGGCCATCCTAGGTGTACCCGGGGAAAAGGCATAGGGATCCGGGGCTGGTTGTCGCATCCTCATCATGGGGTCCCCCGGACGTGGCCCACCTGCATGGCCTCCTGGAGACTGTGGAGGGGGAAGGCGTGGGCGCTGATGGTACGGATCCATCACGGCAGATCTCGGTGTTCCCGGGGACTGGGGATATGGTTCTACTGGCCCAGGCGGCCGTTGGGGAGGTGCTTTGAATGTATCTGCGACAGAAGTTGCAGGGTGTGGTGTCATTGGCTGTCTACTGTATGGATCATAGGGTCTTGACTGAGGAGTGCCTGGTGTTCCGGGCATCTTAGCATAAGGATCTTCTTCAAGGGTTTGTCTTGGAGTACTAGGAGGCTGATGATAAGGATCATATGGCTGAGAAACTGGTACTGTTCTGGGAGGATGAGATAAAGGTCTCTGCCCCTCCGAGAACTGATCCCCAGAAAGAGGTGTGGATGGTTGAAATGCGTAAGGGTCCGGATTAGGCTGTGGTTGTCTGACAGCCACCTCTGGGGGTCGGGGAGGACCAGCTCCGGGGGGGAAGCCCTCAACACCAGGCCGTGGGCCCATTTGTTCGATTGTACGTGGAGGAAAACCCTCCATCCCAGGGCCACCCGGGGACTTTTGGAAGGACTCATCACCTCCCCATGGAGGTCTTGGTATTGGTCCTGTCCCCAGAGGGCTCTGTAGGGGGCTGTGCCCTGGCGTCAACTGTTGTCCTGTTAGCAGTACAAATATTTAACCTTAGTAACCCTTGGTATCAGTATTTCAAAAATTCAGTTTGCTCACGTCACAAAATAACCCTTACAAATGAAAAACTGCTTGATACAATCAATGATCTCACCTTCCATGGGTCTGCCTGGACTCTGCATACCTGGGTGGCGTGGAGACATCATCCCAGGTAGAACACCCTCCAGACCAGGTCTTCGCACTGGAACAGTCATTAAGCATGACAACTGCAGGGCAACAGGCTCACTGACTTGTTAGAATTATCAAGTCTCCATATTTCAGATTGCATAAAGTGATCTTACGTTCATTGAATATCCATGTTTTTTATTTCTTTACAAAGAGTGAAACTAATTCTTGTATTCAAGGACTGACCTTGCAAGTCAATGTATGAAGCACATTTACACTAATGCGTTGGTCCAGGGACTTATCTAGAACTCCAAACAAAGTGGCCTCAGCAAGCAAAATGGGAAACAATCATCACTTTGTCCAAAGTTGGATTGACTTTCTTAACTTCCGAGGTATCTTAACATTTCTATAAACATTTCATTTGATGCAATAATGTAACATTAAAGCTTCTTCTTCATTGGCCCAGTTCTCAGTGAAACACAGGTATTGGAACTTCTTAATCTGGGAATGTGTAGTGACATTGGCTGCAGACTTGGTACCGAAAATGGCCTTGTGAGCAGTTCTAGACAAATCCCTTGTCTCCTGCTGTATGGAAACTCACCTTCCATTCCCTGGGGCGAGAGCTGCTGCGGGGGCATCATGAAGGGGTCCGGCATCCCTGGTCCCTGTGCCCCTGGAGAGGGGAGTGGGGGAGGGGCTGGGGGAGGCGGCATGGACAAACAATCACGGCGTTCACGTGCCTCCTGCTGCCGACGATTAAGCTCAAGGGTAACTTGCTGCATTAAACAACAGATGTTAGTAACAGAGATTAACTTACCGTAATCTTACAGCCAGAAGGAAAAGTCACATTCATTCCAGATCTTACCTGGAATGATGAGATCCTTCTTCTGCCTAAATTTTACTTGTGTTAGATCCTACCTAATATCAGAACTTAAGTTGTAAGCTATGTAAGCAGCTTGAATGTAACAGCGAACAGTAAAGTGTACAAACCTTCTGAGCTTTCTGGACTCGACTGCTGGTCCGGTTCTTTCGAGCTTTCGCCTGTCACCAAATATAACAAATATCACATCAGAATGAGCAATGGTATATAAATAATTGATTCCATTCCTTTGAAAATCTACACTTATGTCTCACGCAACCTTCAAAAACCTATTCGCAGCACAATAAACAATACCAGGACAGTCTGTTGTAACATATTTAAAAGAAACTCTTTCCACCAAAATAAAATAACCAACTACGATTCATAAATGGAAGAAAAGCATCTACCCCAAAATGTCTACATTTCCATATCTGACAAAATACCCCTATCCAGTTCTTTCAGCCATATGTCAAGTACTTTCAGCCATATATCAACTACTTTCAGCCATATATCAACTACTGCCATCTAGATTTCTAAGGAGGAGAATGATGTCCTACCAAGAAGGGGGCCTTCTCCTCTGGTGTGAGTTTCTTCCATAGTTTGGCGATCTGCTTTGACCTTTCCGCCCAGTCTGCAAACATATCAATGTGAATAAATCTTTCTTCACATAAAAAAAAATCATACAGGAAAAGGAAATATTGTTATCAAATCAGAAAAATAACAAGAAAAAAATACATAGTTTGTAATTCAATTAAAGCGCTGAAATAACAAATCCTTATAAGATACTGATATTCCTGGACCTTCAGAGACTTTCTAACTCTGATCATCCAAATTGTTAATATATACTACTCCAAAGAAGTTCTTTTAAACTACTATGGTTAATATGTCATGCTGATTCTTTCACATAACTACAGTTAGTCAGCCATGCCATAGAATCAGGTGTTCTTTAACTTCTTTGGAGACGCATACTTGAGTTACTTTTTCCATTTAGCAGTTTCTTATCCATACAACAAATCAGGCTAGAAGTCTTCATTTCTGGACCCTAAACTCACCAGGGTAGTCTGTTTTGAGGTTTTGATGGTTGGTGTTGACATAAAGCACTGCCGAGATGGTGGCATTGAGGCCGAGAGCCTCATCGTTCTCCCACTTGAGTATGTTTCTGCGGCTACTTGTTTCCGGCTGGTCTTCCTCCGTGTTGAGCGACCAGGCTGGGTTGGGGCCTGCCGAGAAGCTTGGACTCATCTGCTGAGGCCTGTCACAACAACATCTCTCAATTAGTGTGGGAATGTCATCTGACACTGGTTGGTTTGTTTGCTGTTTGTTTGTTTGCTTGTTGGATTTAACATTAGTGAACAGTATTCCAGTCATATCACGTTGTGTCAGTTTAATGAAGGAGGAAAGCCCAAAGTGATGAAGGTCTTAGATGTTTACAACTGTGGGGAAATCCACAAACATGGGTATGGTGCTGACAAAATGAGAAACATAATCAGGTCAAACTGGGATTTGAACCCACAATCATAGGTTTCTGTTGCACCCAGGGGATGCAACTCTGCACAGTGAAATGCAGTGCCTTAGGGGGAAGGGGTTCACATGCCCCACCAAGGGATTGTTACTTACAAATGATCTTAGGAGATTAACATGATTATACCAAAGTTTGATTTGTCGTACTTCTTTAATTATTTCCAATCTGTCTTGGTGCTTAACCATTGATCATTCTAATCCTACAGAATCTACCCTCCATGATGCTCACAATGCCTATGATACAAGTTCCTAGACTTACATTAAAGGGGAGAGACAGGAGAGCAAAAAGAAAACACTCATTATAAAGACAGCAATATTCCAGCTATATGACGGCGGTCTGTAAATAATTGAGTCTGGACCAATCAATGCAGCGATTGATATCATGAGCACTGATCTACGCAGTTGGGGAATGATGACAAGCATCAACCAAGCCAGTGAGCCTGACCACCTGGTCCCGTTAGTCGCTTGTTACGACAAGCAAAGGTTGCTAAAGACCTATTCTAACCCGGATCTTCATGGGTCGTATTGCATTTATAGAACAATTCTTCACAGTGAAGGTGTAAGAAAGCCGTTAAAAATACATACTGCCATAACATCCCCTTCTCCCAAAAAGAATCATAAGGCAAAATGTTTTTTAACTGCTGTGGCATGGAAGGATTAAAAAATTCTTACCCTGGCCCATACATTCCAAAAGGTGGCATGTTCCCAGCTGGCGGCAGCACTTGTTGCTGGTCAGAGGGGGACTGCATGGTGGGCGAGAGCAGCGCAGATGGCTGCATTGACGGCGAGTGCATTGGTGGTAGGACCAGCCCTTGTTCCGGCATCTGCAGTGGGGTGGGCATCTGTGTGGGGCCAGCCATCAGGTGGCTTGGGCCGGGGAGGGGTATATGGGCCTGCCCACGCACTGGGCCCATTCCGAGCCGTGACTGGGGCAGGTGTTGCAGTGGATGTCCTGGAATGGATGGCGACGGCAAGGGCAAGGGAAACTGACTTTCACCTGAAAATAACAAAGAAGTGGGTAAATATAACAAGATGTCTTAGCTGGGGGGAAAATACTTCATCGTAAACAAAGTCAAGATCCACTGGCAGAGTTGACATTTATGTTGAGTCAGCTGTACAGCACTGTTCAAGTTCAATTTTCATAAAAAATGTTTCCACAAGAAACAAGGATAGATGCCTCTTTTAACTTTACAAGGGATAAAAAGTCCAGGCAGCAGCATTCCAGTTCAATTATATACTACTCAAAATACAAATAACACCCGATTAACTATGAAAAAAATCTTCTCTAACTTCTTTTGAGCAGTATGCATGGATCAGGGATCACACTGCTGTTGTTTCAGGAGATTATGAAGGCGATAGAATGGAACCAAACATGCAGTACCGACAAGTCTGATTTACTTATTTGCTGTACTGCCAACTTGTGTTCATGACCTAGATCAACCATTAACCAGATCAGCATCTTAATCTAGATCAGCATTAACCATTTACAATTGTTTTTATTTTAACATATAATCAAATGTATTAGGCACATGTGACACATTTACGAGGCCTTCTCCTTGACTATTTACAATGGCTAGGCCTCATTAGGCAATGGGTGCGACACAACAGAGAATATAGTATCTTACTTGATGTTGAGGGTTGATCTGTCGACGTGTCAGAACCCTGTAACACACCCTTGAAAATGTCCTCCATTATCTTGGTGTCTATTGGTGCCAGACTGGGAAGCACATCTGAAATATTCACAGAGCCCATTTATAACATCATCATGGCATATGACATAATGTTTACCAACATCATTAAGACCAGGAAAATCTCAATAGCTGGAACCAATCTGCCTTTGGTTATAAACTCTCAACAATTCATGTAACTCACCATCAGAGAACATGCTGTCCACATCTAGATTCTTGTCATCGGTGTTCAACATATTGTCAAAGTTTTCGGGCAATTCTTTTCGAGATCCTTCAGCCTTCTCACTTGTTGAGTCCATAGACTCAGTTTCTATTGGTAAACCTGTCACAAAAGGGTTGAAATTAATGCATTACTAGTTAATGAGTGAGTTGAATGCTGCTTTTAACAGTACTCCAAGTATAATACAATGTATCAACTTAATTTGGGAGAAAAGTACATGGTGTCTAGCCTGTGAACCAAGGTCAGGTCTGCGACTGTTTGTCACAGCTTGAGTACCTACCATCTTCCGGTCCCAGCATGTTAAAGATCTCCTCATCGTGCGGCAGATCACTCAGATCATGAGGTAATATATCCTTCAGGTCCCCGTCATCTGCAACTGAAAAATCAATCATGAGGACCATACAATGTAACGATGGGGAGACACTTCCGTACTCGTAGATCACCAGATGCAGAGAGAGTGGATGCCATTACAGTTACATTACAGTTACATTACAGCTAAATAGTCAAGTCTGAACTCGTAGCTGATGGCCCCATGGTTAGAATTGGTCTTCAGCAAACCATTTTTGTCGAAAGAGATGATCAGACTCACTGACTTGGTTGATGCATGTTATCATATCCCAATTGCATAGATCAATTCTCATGACGTCAATCACTGGAATGTCTGGTCCAAACAGGATTATTTCCAGACCACTGTCATATAGCTGGAATACTGCAGAAGGCAGCATTGAACAACAAATAAACAAACTAGTAGCTGTTGGCAGGAGCAACGATGGACACTGCTTGTGGTACAATGCCACACAGTCCAAGTCAAAAAGCCTAACCATTAGATCCCCATGTTAGTCTGCTCTGACATCAAGTACGGGACCTATTCTGCTGCCACCCTACAGGACAAATGACAAAACGGTACACTTACACAAGTTAGGGATATCTTCATTGTGGTCATCTGTTCCCGACACAAGAGCCTCGCTGCCCAGTTCATCTTTCAAAGCCTTGCTGAAATCACTTCCATCCTTGACGTCGGCTGTGGGTGATGCAGGACCAGACTTCTCCTTCTCTGCATCAGCATCGTCCTGAAGGGTCTCCTTGGACTCCTTGGCTGTATCCAGCAGTGGCTTTCCGAAGAATGCTTCCTGTAGGTATGCGGGGAAGTTCTCCTCCAGTTGGCTCTTGGCCCGAGGCCTGCGTCTCCGCCTCACTCTCTCCTGGGGAGCAACTGGTGTTCCATCAGCGCCTAGTGCAGGCGCCTCCGCCCCTAAGTAATACATGCATTTTGTTAAAGGTGAAAATATGTTTCAGGTAACATCTATTATTTCATTTGTGACCCAGTGACTAGTTTTAACATCTGAAGTTGCAACGAATATGCAGTTATAGATCTGTAAAGGGTATGTTACTTAGCGGCTTTGAAACAGTTTCAACTCAACACCCAGGGAAAATTAAAAATAATCACGGAACTGATCTAGGCGGATACTCATTGATGAAACTACAGGAGGACTCCTGAGTGCTATTGAATGCAGGTTGTTTCCAATATTTTCAGAGTACAAAAGTATTGGCTGAGAGGGACCTTAACAGTGCTTTAATGTGTGCTGCTAGGCAACTAACAAACTGAAAACTTTGCCGACCAAAAGAAAGAGCCATCTTTCAGCACTGAAGTACATGTTCAATAACAGCCTAGATGGTCATACCCTTACCTTCCTTCTGTGTACTAGTTCCTTCTTCTGGTGTGATGTCTGATGCTGACGTCTGTCTCTTCCACGTCCGTGTACGCTGTCGTGCAATAAATCCTCCAACACCTATGAAAGCGACCAAATTATTAATGTCTCAAGCCTTTAACTTTAACCAGTATTTCAAAGTAACCAACAATCACACATTTTCAGATTGACCAGGTTATGAAACAAAACAAATGACTCTCCATCTCCCAGAACTATCTGCTGGCCCCATCATCTGGAACCTGGGCCATCATTTCCCATGATATTGGGTCAATTGGCCATACATGTTCTCATCAATCTGAGTGAGTGAGTGAGTGAGTGAGTGAGTGAGTGAGTTGGGTTTAACGCCGCTTTTAACAGTATTCCAGTTATATTGCAGCGTGTCAGCTTAATGTGGGAGGAAAGCCCGAAGTGATGCACGTCTCAGACGTTTATGACTTCGGTGAAACCCACGAGCACGGGTATGGTGCTGACATACCTAGAAACATAATCAGGGCGAACCAGGATTCGAACCCACAAGCGACGCAACTCTGCACAGCGAATCGTGGCGCCTTAGACGACTGGGCCAACCGTGCCCCCCTCATTAATCTGAAGTTTACATAGAACACTTTGCCAGCATCTCACTCATGAGTGTCAAGCGGAAAGTTCTTACAGGGGCACTGTTCCACAGTTTGTAGCCCATATCTGACACCAAAGTTTCCTCCAAAGACATTATCTCTGTGTGGCTGTTTAATTGATATGCATAAACTCTAGTCAGCAATAAACAAAACGTGTTGACAACATGCATATACTAGGACTGTGAATGTGCGTGAGTCTGGCGGCCCGTTAGACAGGTAGTACACAATGAAGCCATTACCTAATCCTGTTTGTTTCCTCTGCCGTCGCTTCTTGCCCTGCTCTTCCGTCTCTGCACCCTCCCCACCAGGGGGCGCCACAGACAAGGGTGGTTCCAGGCCTTCCATTGGTTCTGGTGTCTTCAGCTGCTCTTCAGTATCTAGGAAGGCATTGTCGTGTTAGTAAAGTGACTGTTTAGACTCGCTGACTTGCTTGAAGCATGTCATCGATCCCAATCGCGTGGATCAATGCTTATGATATCAATCACTGGATTGTCTGGTCCTATTTTTAGACCGCCGTCATATAGCTGGAATATTGCTGAGTGCGGCGTATAACAACAAACCAACCAACCAATCAAGATTGAAACAATGGTGTAAATGTTCACATAATTACAACGATCATCACCTTTTTCTGGATTCTCCTCCCCTTCTACAGAGGACATCGACCCCAGCAGAATGGCAATGTTGGGGTGTTTGCTGTGGGGGTCTAGAGGCTTATCCGACTTCTTCCCCATCCGTGGCTTCCGGGCTTTCTTGGGCATGGACACAGTGAGGCTCTGGATCTGCTGGATGCCGGTGGCCGAGAGGTACACCCCGTCCATCAGGAACTGCTTGGGGACTTCTGGAAACATAGGCAGTCCTGGTTTCATGAGACAAGCATTCAAGACACAAGGTACACTGTTCTTTCACATCGCTTGGAGCAATGTTCCAGGCATATGATAGATGATCAAGACTGGATGCTCCAAATCATGGGAGTAAACTGATGATGTACTGTCACACCAGGTCAGATATAGTAGCACCTCCAACTCATAAATCAGCTCTTAGTGGGCTATTCTGGAATCCCCACAGAGGTAGACAAGACACTTGCGTTCTAAAGCAGGAAAGCCACAATAGTTGGAGCTCCTATTGTGTCTTGTACGCTATCAGTTTGAACACTGTGCTTTGTACACCATAAATTGTAAACATGTTACGAAATGTATAGCACTTAATCTTGAATTTTCTCTCCATATTATCCAAAACGCAATACACATGGCAATTTGATGTGATGTGATACCTGGTTCTTTGGGCAATGGTGGAGGTGGTGGTGTTGGTGGTTTCACTTCCTTCTCTTCCGGAGGTGGTGGAGGGGGCGGGGCAGGTGGTACTGTAATAGAGGGACAAACATCAACATGTGTCAATAGTAAGTCAAGGTACATGTGTCAATAGTAGATCAGTATACATGTGTCAATAGCAAGTCAGTGTACATGTGTCAATAGCAAGTCAGTGTACAACATATGTCCATAGTAAGTCAGTGTGCATTTGTCAATAGAAAGTCAATGTACTAATTGTCAATAGTTTGTCAATGTATTTGGGAAAGGCAAAACAACTCTAACTGATGTTCTCGTTAATGTCGTTGACAATGACCATTAACATAGATCAGTAACTGGAGACTTACATGGTCCAGGATGATCGGTCTTAGGCCGACAGAAGAGACAATGATATCCATAGTCTGCAGCCTTCTCCGCGTCCTCCTCACACTTGAGTCCATCACACGACGAGTGGAGCCACCTACAACACACAACATGCACATCACACACGTGCAAATAACTTATATTTCACGGCATTCATTTCCACTCAAAGCATATTAAGTGTCTTGTACCACATCACTGAGTGAGTAGGGATTAACACTGCTTTGAACAGTAGTTAAGTCATATCACAGCATGTCAGATTAATGTGTTAAGTGATGGAGGTCATAGGTGCCTGCCAACTTGGTCACACCCAAGAGATGGTTATGGTGCTGAGAAACATGGAAATATAATCTCATTATTAGAAAGTCCTTCATTTGCAATAGGAAGATTCCAATATTATGTTGCTACTTATGAGACTAACATACATGAGTCTAAAAGTCCCCATCAATGTACCATGACAACCCTGAGTGTGTTACAACAGCTCTATTACTATTAGACATGAGCACAGACCTGTCACACTGCACACACTGTATAATCAGCTCCTCTTCACGGTAGCGGATTTTGCAGGCTGGACACACCAGCTTGCTAGCACATGGGCCACATTGAGTATAATTGTTCTGCCAACTGCAGGCAAATCCGGGCGACGTTATTCCGCAGTTCACACACCGCACACACCTGTATTGGGAAAACCACACAGCGTAAAGAACAGATTCACAGTCCGGCTCCATCAGACATTATACAGTATCAAACTCTAGTGACAGGCTACAACAACGTCCAACCTCAAGGGAAGAGGACAGTGTTCACAGCGATAGAAACTAACATCTTTGGTTCACTAGTCCTTGAAATGATAACAAAGCCCTTAAAAATAGCAAATTCTACTAGTCACTATGATACTTTTACTATTGGGCAGTTTGTCAAGGACTATAGGACTGGTGCCAACTTCTATCGCTGGTTCATTGTCACTATAAGAAATGGGCCTTTATTATCAACCTCATATCCTCGAAAGTCCAAAGCAGTAAGTAATAACAATAGCTTGAGACAATTGTAAGATAAAACACCTACAGGGCTAGAAGAAAAGCACATCTGGTTCACTTCAAATGACATTTTGTGCAAGCGAATAGCATTTGTGAGTAAGTGAGTGATTATGGTTCTACGCCGCTTTTAGCAATATTCCAGCAATATCATGGCGAGGGGACACCAGAAAAGGGCTTCACACATTGTACCCATGTCAGGAATCGAACCCGGGTCTTCGGCGTGATGGGCATAGCATTTGTCTTAAATAGAGTGAAACAGTGCAATACTCAGGGATCATGAATTCCATTCTTTGCCTGAAAGCAGGAAATAAAATGATTCAACTTAAAAAAGGTAAAACTGTAATTTGAACAATCCTTTTGCATGTTTAGAACCAAGGATATAACTTCTTCAGCCTTTAAACACAGACTTTAATCAATCGCTACAGAGTGACAAGTCATTATGTGGTTTCGACGTATTTGAATGAGGCTGAAAGACAAGTGAACAACTATCAGTGACAGTGTCCTTACCATTTACACTTCCAGGTCCCCTTGGGCACCGTTTCCAGGGGTGGGTCCAGGCAGTAGGTGTGGTAGCTGATATCACATTCGTCACACAGGAGTAGCCTCCCCTCATCCTTGGGACTGCCACATCCCTCACACACTGTACAATCAAGGCAGCGCCAGCCTTTCTGTAGAACTACTTTGGTCACCTACATCAACAGGAAACTGTTAGTGACAGGCATATATACACTTATCATGTAGGAACACACCATGGTACCATCCTGAAAACAGGCACTGGAAACACATTACCGACCCATCTCTTTTGAATTTACACCACAGTCCGCATATTCAAGCTACACTACTCAATACAAGCTAAACACCCACATTTGAGTGAGTGAGTATGGTTTTACGCCGCTTTTAGCAATATTCCAGCAATATCACGGTGGGGGACACCAGAAATGGGCTTTACACATTTACCCATGTCCGGAATCGAAACCGGGTCTTCGGCGTGACGAGCGAAAGCTTTAACCACGGACTACCCCAGCGCCCCAACCCCCACATTTGGAAGGCTGTGTTGCAATAGCCACCAGCCATGACTGATTAACCTAAGTATTAACTTATGAAAAAAATGGGAGTTCTTTAACTTCTTTTGAGTAGTTATATATCACAGTTTGCCGTAACGTTCCTAGTCTTAGGTATATAAGGCGAACCACAGAAACATATAAGAGAAGTATGTATGTTAAGTAGAGATGCTTCCCATGTGTGCCATAAATGACAAAACTAACAATCAGTGTTACCACAGAGTGTCTATTCTTATCAGGGTATGCTGCACATGATTTCCAAACTTTACACGCTAATCCTGTATGAGTCAAATGGTGTTATGGATCAATGACGTCACATGTGATGTGTTCATAAGCATCGGTTCAACAACGTACCAGTATGTTAGTTTGTGGATCAAACCAATCTGATACCTGTTGAATATGAGTTAGTCTTCATATATTAACCAAGATGTACGGTATTCGCGTTTCTTTTGGCGGTGAGTATATATAAAGCTTTACGCTGCACTCAGCAATATTCCAGCCAAATGACAGCAGGTCTGTAATTAATCAAGTCTGGTCAAGACAATCCAGACATTGACATCATGAGCATCGATATACGTAATTGGGATACCAAGTCACCGAGTCAGACCACCCAATCCCGTTAGTTGCCTCTTTCAACAAGCATGGGTTGCTTAAGACCAATTCTAACCAGGAATCATCACGGGATGGGTATATATTGAGCATGTTAATATGTATATGCATACATTCTTTTCTTACCTTTACATTAGCACAATAAGGATGATAGCACTGTCCGCACTGCGTACATACAATAAGTCTTCCTTCGTCCCCTTTCCCAAAGGAACCGCAGCTTTTACATATATCCTGAAGAAGGTAAGTTCAAATTACTTCAAATGTATTTGTCACAGAATGCTGTCATCTCACCCATGGGTAGAAGATGAACTACTTCATATTTAGTTACGTTACTGGGATGTATATCTGAAATACAGCTTTTAGTGACCCACACAACCATCACTCACCTGGTCTAGCACAAAGTTATCTTTGGAGGAGGTCAGGACAATCGTAGCTGGGTGGTCATCGCCACTATCGTCCTTCGAGGAATCCGTTTCAACACGGCTTGCAACCTGTCATACAAATATAATGATACACATCAGGTCACAGTACAGAGAGGGTTCATGACGACTGTACACACAAACATCATGATGAGCATACTAACATCTCAGATGGACACACAAACACCAAGATGGACACACAAACATCAAGATGGACACACAAACATCAAGATGGACACACAAACACCAAAATGGACATACAAACACCAAGATGGGCACACAAACACCAAGATGGACACACAAACATCAAGATGGACACACAAACACCAAGATGGGCACACAAACACCAAGATGGACACACAAACACCAAGATGGACACACAACCACTAAGATGGACACACAAACACCAAGATGGACACACAAACACCAAGATGGACACACAAACACCAAGATGGACACATAAACACCAAGATGGACACATAAACACCAAGATGGGCACACAAACACCAAGATGGGCACACAAACACCAAGATGGACACACAAACACCAAGATGGACACACAAACACCAAGATGGACACATAAACACCAAGATGGACATACAAACGTCAAGATGGGCACACAAACACCAAGATGGACACACAAACATCAAGATGGACACACAAACATCAAGATGGGCACACAAACACCAAGATGGACACACAAACATCAAGATGGACACACAAACATCAAGATGGACACATAAACACCAAGATGGACATACAAACGTCAAGATGGGCACACAAACACCAAGATGGACACACAAACATCAAGATGGACACACAAACATCAAGATGGGCACACAAACACCAAGATGGACACACAAACATCAAGATGGACACACAAACACCAAGATGGGCACACAAACACCAAGATGGACACACAAACACCAAGATGGACACACAAACACCAAGATGGACACATAAACACCAAGATGGACACATAAACACCAAGATGGGCACACAAACACCAAGATGGACACACAAACACCAAGATGGACACACAAACACCAAGATGGACACACAAACACCAAGATGGACACATAAACACCAAGATGGACATACAAACGTCAAGATGGGCACACAAACACCAAGATGGACACACAAACACCAAGATGGACACACAAACATCAAGATGGACACACAAACATCAAGATGGGCACACAAACACCAAGATGGACACACAAACATCAAGATGGACACACAAACATCAAGATGGACACACAAACATCAAGATGGACATACAAACGTCAAGATGGGCACACAAACACCAAGATGGACACATAAACACCAAGATGGACACATAAACACCAAGATGGACATACAAACATCAAGATGGACACACAGACATCAAGATGGACATACAAACACCAAGATGGGCACACAAACACCAAGATGGACACACAGACATCAAGATGGACATACAAACACCAAGATGGACACACAAACATCAAGATGGACACACAGACATCAAGATGGACACACAGACATCAAGATGGACACACAAACACCAAGATGGACACATAAACACCAAGATGGACACACAAACATCAAGATGGACACACAGACATCAAGATGGACACACAGACACCAAGATGGACACACAAACATCAAGATGGACACACAAACACCAAGATGGACATACAAACACCAAGATGGAAACACAAACATCAAGATGGACACACAAACACCAAGATGGACACACAAACACCAAGATGGACACACAAACATCAAGATGGACACACAAACACCAAGATGGACATACAAACGTCAAGATGGGCACACAAACACCAAGATGGACACACAAACACCAAGATGGACACACAAACACCATGCCTCCAGGACTCACCGGCCCAAGTGTTCCTAGTTGTCCAGGTTTTACTTTGACTTTCGGTCCTCGTCTCTTCTCTCCAATACCTAGGGGTCGCCGTCTACTTTTCTCCGGAACTAGAGGACGAGTCTGGTGACAGACAAGATAAACAATATTATTTTTTCTAAAAGCAATATAATAAGCACTCAAAAGAGTTCAACCACAGAAAGTACCGATCTTCTATGGCCAAACAAATGATCACATACCTGATATTCCTCCAACAATTGTTTCACAGAAAATTTATCAATTAGCCTCCATATCTGAATGAGAGCATTAACTTCGCAATACTATATTTACACCTCCAAGTAACAGGGAAACAGTAGTTTAGGTAAGTGACTGTGTACTAGTGCCTCCAACCAACCCAATGAGGTAAGTACACAAGTATGATTGGGAAACCAAGTGTAGGCAATAGCAAGTCAGGAGTGTCTAGACTCACCCTGGGTCTTCCAGCTCCTATTTTCTTCCTGCCCACTGGAAGTTTGCCCCGATGACTCTCCAGCATCTCAGCTTTAGCTGCCATGTAAGATGCTAGGCCTGAAGACGTTGTCAATGGAGGCATTTGCTGGAAACATAACATCTACATGAGAAACATATGCAAGCAAGAGTTGATTGAGTATCAGACATCAGCCCTAAGTTAGGTGTGATATAACTACGATAGTGTCCAGTTCAACAAAGAAACAAAATCTTGTGTGATGTACCATCTTCATTGTCAATACATATCAGTCAGTGAGGACGGTTAGAGTGAGTGAGTATGGTTTTACGCCGCTAGGCTACCCGACCGCCCCGAGGATGGTTGCAGTAACATCAGTGCAAGAAAGACCCACATGTTGACCATGTGTCAAAACATAACATAGTGCACAAGAAGCAGATACTGTAATCTTTTGAATGCATGACTGCTACTTTGTAACAAGATGACAGTAAAGACAATCAAGTTTGAGGAGACAATGTTCTACATTCTGCATATCTTCTGATAAAGGAATGCAGTGAATATAAGTCCTTCATGACATGCATAATTGAGAGGCTACCTTGTCCGGAATTCCCATATCCACGTCCATGCTGGAGCTTGAGTCTTCATAATACAGAGATTCTTGTGAGCTAGCTGCAGTCAGGGACGCTTCGTTAATGTAGGGGTCATCCTTCACGCCATAATCAGTGTCTACAACAGAAGGCACATGGATCAACACCAAACATGTCAAGTGTGCTGAGGAGAGGTGAAATGGGGTGTTCAAGAGATTAGCACTCGTCTGTCTGTCTGCCTGTACTAGTCCAGACTAACGTCAGATTTATAGTGCTAGCCCACTGAGAGAACATACCACAGTTTAACATGGATACCCCACTCAGACATTATGTACTGACTCAAAGCCTACCAGTCCTAAAGCTTAATGCCAGACAGGGAAACAACCAACAAGTACCATCTTTTAACAAATTTTGGTATGAAGCAGCCAGGGAAAGAACCACCAACTTTCTGCTCCCTGGGCAGACACTCTATCCACTAGACCACAGAAGTGACTGAGAGAGGACGTTGTTACATGCTGCAGTTAGCTGAATAACCAGCATAATCATTGCAGGATACACAGCTACATGTCATTGGTGCTTTTTGCACTGAATGCTGTTTTAATACTTACCTCTTGAAGGGAAGCCCTCGAGAGACTCTTCAGTTGGTAATGGTGGTTGGAGGGGAAAGGAGTCAATATCAGTCTGAAATAAACAAATGTTGTAAATCTTTATCAGGAACATGCATGAGTAATTACGAAAAGAACAGGAAACAGTTTAACACAATAACTAACAATTTGGCAAAGCTGTATGTCATGGTTGGCATTATTCCATCCCACACAAATTGAAACTTCAAGACACAAAGGTTAATGGAGAACTCTGCAGGAAACAACTTTATCCTCACGGGAAGACACATTTACGGATCTCACAGCCTTAAGCTTAAACACACGTCAGTAGTGAGTTGGAAGTCCAGCAAGTGTTACACCAACAGTGTTTCAGCCATATTTGGAAATGTAGGGCCACTTTCAAATCACACTGTCAGCATAATGTTGTTGTGGAAAACCCAATATGAGGCAGGTTGTATATATACACCACTTTGGTGAAACACAAAAGCACAAGCATGGTGCAAGCAGACCAAGGATCACATACGTGGGGAATATGAGATGTGGCCACAAAAACAGCTGCTCACGGCAACAAAGGGTCATAACTCTGCACAGCAAAGGGCATAGCTGTCTGTACCATGAACAACACATCCATACACATTATACCTTCCACCTTATGCTGAACCAGGTCATAACTCTGCACAGCAAAGGGCACAGCTGTCTGTACCATGAACAACACATCCATACACATTATACCTTCCACCTTATGCTGAACCAGGTCATAACTCTGCACAGCAAAGGGCATAGCTGTCTGTACCATGAACACATCCATACACATTATACCTTCCACCTTATGCTGAACCAGGTCATAACTCTGCACAGCAAAGGGCATAGCTGTCTGTACCATGAACAACACATCCATACACATTACACCTTCCACCTTATGCTGAACCAGGTCATAACTCTGCACAGCAAAGGGCATAGCTGTCTGTACCATGAACACATCCATACACATTATACCTTCCACCTTATGCTGAACCAGGTCATAACTCTGCACAGCAAAGGGCATAGCTGTCTGTACCATGAACAACACATCCATACACAGTATACCTTCCACCTTATGCTGAACCAGGTCATAACCCTGAACAGCACAGGGCATAGCTGTCTGTACCATGAACAACACATCCATACACATTATACCTTCCACCTTATGCTGAACCAGGTCATAACTCTGCACAGCAAAGGGCACAGCTGTCTGTACCATGAACAACACATCCATACACATTATACCTTCCACCTTATGCTGAACTTTCATTTAAGTGTGAGAGAAAGGACACTCACATCATCTTGAGCTCTGCATACTGTACAGATGTAATCTGTCTGCCCCGTGTCCTTTAACTTGGCCAACAGAGCATTGTCTATTGATGGATCACAGTCGCTATGGACGTATCTGGAACACCAAGCATCGTGTTAGAACAGGTAGAAAGAATACGTGGTAAACGAGTACAACAGGTTGTTATATGCAAGAACAAAAGAACTACTTACTGACATTTCCTATTAATACTTTAGAAATGAGAACTTTTTGTGATGGATGATATTTGAAGCAGGACATTATTTTAGTAGGACTATTAATAACCAAGGCTCGAACTATGGAACTTAGGATTTAACAGGCACCAGGTGCGTGTTGACATGAAAACTAGGTTGCATCAAACAAAACCAGGTTTCATGTTAGTCCAATATATCCATCAAAGTTGAAACAGGCCGATCTGACTCAGTGTCAGATATATTAAAGACACATTGCTGTAAAACGTAATGGAAGCATGTGCACAAAACACTGAAGTCCCCACAGATAGATGATGTCAAGCCTAAGAAAGCCCTGGTAACAACATTTACAATGGGCAAAAGCCTGTATTTAAGTCAATCTATAAATCAGTTCAGCAGAGTCCAGCACTCCAACATAAGCATGAACGTCAAGGGTTACTCAATTACATTACTGGTAAACAAACAATTTAAGCCATCCATAGATTCAAATTCAAAAGGACCCAAGGACAACCCTTAATTTCTAGCACTGAAGTTTTTTCAGTTAGCTAATATGTCAAGGTTTTAAAAGGTGAATATCTGGACTCCAATTCCAACAAATAGACCATGTGATACGGCACATGTAATAATATGGTGAGAAAGTAACACACAAAGACATTATATTTCCACATTCACTTACTTTTTACATGAATTGCACTGCACCATTTGTTTATTATCAAAATGCCGATAGGCCTTGCCACAGAGAGGACAGCATAGGCCCTTGTTCCTCTGCTGGTAGCAACTGTCGCACACTGAGTAGTTGAGATGCCACCGCGAGCTCGGACCATTTCCGGGGGTTCTTGCTCCACAGTCTGTACATATTCGACAGTTCTGGAATAACAGATAATCATTACAAATGTGACATCAGGAACAAACAACAAGACAATCTGAGTGACAGGATTCACATATACTTGGTCCGAATCGTCACAACAATACAAAGGGTATGGACGGCACAGTTGTCTAAGGCACCGCAATTCGCTGTGCAAGAGTTGCGTCCCTTCCGCACATCGGAAGCCTATGATTGTTGGTTCAAATTCCGGTTCACACTGCGTATGTTTCCTGGGGTATCAGCACTATACTCTTGCTCATGGGTTTCACCAAAGTGATAAAAGTCTGAGACATGCAGCACTTCAGGCTTTCCTCCATCATTAAGCTTACATGTCGTGATATAACTGGAATACTGTTCAAAGCGGCACTAAACCAAGCTCACAACAATACACTATGCATAAGACATATAAAAAAACTGTGTCTTTTTCCATGTGACATATCATCAGGAGCAAATTAAGAGACACTAAATCCAACCCACATGACACTAACAACACTGGAATTCACCAGATGCACAGTTTTCTCACACACCAGTTTTAAACCTACCTTGCACTTCCAACCATTTTTTGGAATGGTGGTCATGGCAGGTTTGAGACAGAATGTGTGGTAGCCTTTATCACAGAGATCACACACCAGCATCTTGCAGTCATCTCCTGGATGTCTGAAAACACAAGTATGTGCAATATATTAACATGCTAGAGTCACATTTTCAATCAGGTACATGAAGTGAGTAAATGCTGTGGGGATGCAGACCCATATATTCCAGTGGCTTACAATAAATAAAGTATGATTTGTTGGTTTGCTTATTGTTTAAGGCTGCACTCAGCAATATTCCAGCTGTATGCCTGCAATCTGTAAATAATCAAGTCTGGACCAGACAATCCAGTCATTGACATCATGAGCATCGTTCCACGCGATATGAACAATGCTACATGTCATTGGAGGATTATAACACACAGACAATCAGGTCACACATTGCTCAGAGAAATTCTAAGTTTAGTAATTTCTAACAAGCATGGGGTACTGGGAAATGCATTCTGGCATTGGTCTGTAAGGAAAGTCATAAGTGGGTTATTCACCCTGCTTATAAGTCGTTGGTTGGTTGGTTTGTCGTTTTACGCCACACTCAGCAATATTCCAGCTATATGATGGCGGTCTGTAAATCATCGAGTCTGGACCAGACAATCCAGTGATTGATATCATGAGCATCAATCCACGCAATTGGGATCGATGACATGCATCAACCAAGTCAGCGAGCCTGACCACCCGATCCCGTTAGTGACAACATATGGCAAGGAATAAAGGGACACTGGTACACAGAAATAGACAAATAATAAAGGCAATCTGCTGATATCAAATTGCATGCAAGTTATTTAAGTTTAATGGTTAGAAAGTTACGATGCTAGAGAATACACACAAGAAACCTATCAGACACTGTGTGTGTCGGTTTATTCCACTTTCAGTTTGGTGTTTAATGCCATATTCAGCAATATTCCAGCAATATGACAGCGGTCTGTAAATAACTGAGTCAGAGCCAGGCAATCCATTATTTCAGCAAAACAACTGTCAGTAATTACAAGAATAGGCTGTATACCATTACCAATGAACAAGAAGTTAACAACTGTTTGTTTGTAGTTTTGACTCCAAATACGAAATAGTAGTCTAATGCAGATTTATTGGGTTCATTTCATAAATGAGATTGTGGAAGTTTAATTAAATATTGATTCGTTCTTTAGCACTCAGCACTATTCCAGCTATATGACGGCAACCAGGAAATAATCAAGCCTTTGTCAGACAATATATGGATTGAATTGTGAGCAACAATCACACTGTCAGTGTACAATGACAAATGGGTCAAGGAAGTCAACCAGCCTGATCAGCTGATCCATTTGGGATCTCTTACGACATGCACAGGCTGCCAAGTATCTATTCTAACTGAGTGTCCCACAGGAGGGACACCCAGACATGCATGTTCTACACAGGAGGGACACCCAGACATACATGTTCTACACAGGAGGGACACCCAGACATGCATGTTCTACACTGGAGGGACACCCAGACATGCATGTTCTACACTGGAGGGACACCCAGACATGCATGTTCTACACTTGAGGAACACCCAGACATGCATGTTCTACACTGGAGGGACACCCAGACATGCATGTTCTACACAGGAGGGACACCCAGACATGCATGTTCTACACAGGAGGGACACCCAGACATGCATGTTCTACACTTGAGGAACACCCAGACATGCATGTTCTACACTGGAGGGACACCCAGACATGCATGTTGTACACTGTGATAGTCTCTATGGTGGCTTTACCTGCATGTCTGGCATATCTTACAGTTGGGGCACTGCCAGCCGGCCCGGACTGTCGGCTTCACTTCCACTGGTGGACAAAGACAGTTACCATGGTAATGGTGACCACAGGTTGTGCAGAAGAGTTGTTCAGCAACATTGCCTGTTGTGCCACATTGAACACACAATGACTCTGTGCCCCCTGAAACAGCAAAGAGGAAGTGATAGTCCCTGATTTAACAACCTCCCAGAGATCATTTCATACAGCTACAGTGTCATCTGGATCTCGGCTAATACCAGACAAATTCATGTTCCCAAATTTACTGTTGATTTATCATCCAGTAAACTAGTGACTTCCTTCAATAAAGAATCCAGACTGATATTGTAGAACAAAGGAAACATCGTGAAAACATCACAGATACAGGGAACTGACTCTTGTACAATTTGACACATATGTATTGTCTTTGATCATGTGTTCATATCGTCACAGCAAGGGACACAACTCCTGCTAAAACCTCACTAATCTGGACCACTGCCAAAACCGGACTTAACCGTTTCACCCACATGTCCCCTCTAGACAGACTACACTGTACATCTCAACAGCATTATTCACATCAACAATGACCATATGGTTGTCATATACAACTCACAACCTGTAGACATGGTAGAAGATTTCATTCAATATGTCTGGTTTTGTCATAATCATACTTCACTGGCTGAATATTTTCCTTCTGTACAAAATGATCTGGCCTTAAGAACTGCAATCTGCATGTCTTTTGAGGGTGCCTTGATGATTTCCTAATAACTGTTTCGCAATATGTACACAACCTTTAAACACATAACTACACAACTTACCTAAAGTTTCTGCTTGGTCAAGATGTTCCGTACAAAGCAAGGACCGTGTTTTCATTTCCTGGACAAAACAAACACATGCATTTAAACTACAATCATGATTCATTATCAAATATTTTTCATGAAAATCTGATTGGGAGAACTATGAAATTAACTAACACATCAAACCACTTAAAACATATCTGATCATCCACCACTCCCACAAACTGCCGACTCACCTGAAAACATCCCCCAGCAGACGCACATGGAAAGTGAAATCGTTTCGGGCATCTTGGGCTTCGACAACTTATGGTTGCCCCGTATCTCCTACAGTAAGCACATTTCTGTTGACAGGACGAAACATTTTATTACCAATGATTAACATGTGTGACAAGACAATGAAAACTATCTCATTTGTTAGCTACCTTTCAACAGATTGAGGTCAGTCTTCTTAATCTTATACAACATCACAAGCATAAATCATTTCAAAACTACAAGTTGAGTTTTGTTATCACTAAGACTTAATATCTTATAATAGAAACAGGCTGTCTAGTGACAGGAAGAGAACAGTCACCTGAGACAGTCCAGAGAACACAGCCCTATCAACAAACTGAAGCTGATCTTCCGATTGAGACACACCCTCAGCCCAAGCAGCGCAACAGTGATGAGCCCATACATGACCTGAAACAACAAGCACTCGTCATCATCATCGTCACCATCACCATCATGAGATTGTTTATGAAACTCAGTGAAAACAATTAATTATTGAGCATGATTTAATTCATAACACATTTGTGTAAAATATCAAAACACCCTATTACCCCTTTCCATGGGATTAAGCTGGAAAAAATTAGGCAGAAATTTGAAAGGTCTACTTTGGGTGCATTATTACAATAACAAAGAGAAGTAATTTTCCTCACCTGATGGTTCAAATACATGGCTAACTTCCACATCCTCGGAATGTCCCACCTGACTAAGCTCATCACATGTCTGACTTATTACACCATCCTCTTCGAGTGACGACTGCCGCGGAGAGCGGCTCCTCTCTCTGTGAAGACACATGGCGTCAGTAGGGCTAGTTCTAAAAGTGCACAGCACTCATTCACAATTGTGCTTGTTATATATACAAATAAGACACAAACCAATCACAGTTAGCAACAATCAAGGATATGATGACACAATAAAATAAATCAGAGCTGAAAGGTTGTTTGTTTAACATTGCACTCAGCAATATTCCAGCTGTATGATGGCAGCCTGTAAGTATTCGGACCAGACAGTCCAGTGATTGACATTGTGAACAAAGATCCACACCATTTGGGCACGATGACACGCAATCGACCATATTACTGATCTTGACCACCTGTATCCATTTGGTCGCCTCTGACGACAAGCATAAGTTTCCAGGGAGCTATCTGACCCAGAGAGCTGAAGTTCTCTCCTGGTTGTCACCTATCCATGTACTATTCCTACTTAGCTGCCTGATTCACATTTAGTTACAATATGCATGATACTTGGGAACAGTGTCCCATATAATCCCCATATGGCAATTAAGAGAAAGAGCAAAACATTGACAAAAGTTAACACCATATCAGTCAAAACTGGGCTTCTAGTCTAGTATCAATCCACTAAAATCTATTACAATCATTAGGGTGATAACAAAGACTAATTGATTTAATTCGTTATTTTAATAACAGCATAGACTTCTCGAAAGACTTATACAATTTCTCACTGCATCCTGTTTTATGATCAACTGTTCTGACTACAAGATAAAAGATGTACTAACCTTCCTTCTTTGGGAGGACCTCTCCGTCGCCTCCAGGTCAGGTGCCGTGGACTTTTCTCTCGTCCCTTCTCATCATATTCTGGACCCCCTCTTCTTACTTTCGTTAGCACTCTCTTAAAAGGGTTAAAACCTGGTGTTGGCTCATAACGGTGAAGTTCTCCCTGTCCCAGTAAACTTTTCTCACCACATCCACAGAATGCACACAGATGTACAGGGCTGCAAAACAATGTTCATTTGATCCATAAAATCACATAAGGAAGAGAATTTATGGATGTCAACTTCTTTATTATGAAGAACACAACGTTTAAGAGTATATACAAACTCCTTCATCAGGTGAATAAATGCTATGAGACAGAGGACATATAAAATCAAACTAAATACAAAGTTGTTGGTACACATTTTTCCAATTAGACATTTAGAGGTCAATCCCAATTCCCAGAAAGAATGCTCACAGATGCACAGGGATGCAAAACAATGTCAATTTAATCTATAAAATCATGTGAAATACAAAGTTGATTACACAAATGGAGTCAAAATCATTTGTTGGTACCCATTTTTGTCAACTGGACACTTAAAGGTCAATCCCAATTCCCAGAATGTACTGAAGGTAGGTCGTCAGAGGTACTCACCCTTGTTCCACAGGCTCGGCTGCTGCTGCGGTGGCGCTGGTACCGGCGCCTTCAGACAACCTCGCCTCAACGCCACCTGGAAGGATCATTCATGAAATACTCTCAATACCTCATAGCAGAGGATAGCTAAATCTGTTATAAGGGGCTTACATTTAGATTTCAATTTCTTTAGTCTCTAAAAGCAAAGTTTCTGTACAAGTGCAGGTGTCCTTATCAAGCAACTCTATCTTTGCACCTGTACCTAAACATCACATTGAAATATGTAAAGAAATTGAAATCAATACTTCAACCCGGTCTTCACAGATAATACAGCTATGACATAAATCTGTTAATATGTAATCATGTATACATACAAATATGTGACCAACCATGAGATACGACATTAATCTGTTAATATGTAATCATGTATACATACAAATATGTGACCAACCATGAGATAAGGGACCTTATGGGTGAAACTGCATCATTTGACTTCTCGTTATATCTTTAAAACAACAGTATCTTAGGAACACAAAAATGCAACTCACACGCTTCAATTCATACTTATTACAGCGACAGCTGACATCTAACATGTCCCATTTTCAGACTTGTAGCTGTCTATGTAATAATTGCAGTTTTTAGACATAATGTCAGATTATTTGAACATACAGCTGTATGCTGAAATGTTTTGAAATAATGTTCTTATTACATTATGAACTGACAGGAGTGAGTGAGTGTGTGAGTATGGTTTTACGCCGCTTTTAGCAATATTCCAGCGATATCATGGGCTTCACACATTGTACCCATGTCGGGAATCGAACCCGGGTCTTCGGCTTAGACCACTTAGACCACTAGGCTACCATACCGCCCCATGAACTGACAGGAGAAAAATACGATATCCTTGTACAGTCCACACACATGGCCATTCTTACAGAAGTAAGTAGACGTAAGACGTCCTTTACGACGTCACAGCACAACTGTATTCTAGCACCCATAAGGTCCAATTGTCCTGGTGGGTCACATATAAACAATGAATACTCTGGTCAAGCTGATAACACTGATACTCATCAAAGTTATAAGCAACATCATGGCACTATTCCCACTACATTCTAGTGTGATTATAATCAAAAACAACTTGAAGATGACCCTTGTGTAATTTGTTTTCACTTTCAGGTCATTTGAAGATGAACAAATCTATAAGAAAACAATGTATTTTTTAGGGTGAAATATTAATTATACTTATCCTGTCTCATACTTATCGCTTATCTCTACTTACATCCAAGGGTAGTGGAAACTTCCTGAACTGTGTTCCCAGAAAACAGAGAAAACATCTCACCTGAGCACACCCCTCGACTGCACATGCGCACCAGAAGCATGTGACCAAGCAAATCCATTCTGTTAGAGATTGTTTGGATGGCCTGTATAGAGCGCCTGCCTTGAAATTAAGCGCTCCTGGGATGTGTCTTGCTTTTATGCCTGTCTGTTAGTGTGAACAGTTGAAATGTTAATCTCAGAGGGGTCCCTGATCTTGTCATTCCTTGGAGATTGATGTATAAGCCACAGTTGAGTTGTCTGCTTTTACCATAAAGAACTTGTGTTTGAGTTGTGGGGACCAATGCGTTAACGCATTCTGAACTTGTCTGGATTCTGAAGATATTTCTTGTTGAAATCTTTCATGTTGTTTATTAAACAAAACTTTTCTGTTTTTGTTTTGGGGACCAGAAAAACTTGGTTACTTGGTTTGTCATGTGATTTACAACATGTACAAAATGAAGAAGATTTGCCTGTCTTTAGCCCTTTGGATGCTGGAGAATCTGCTTTTAAACTATGGTTTTTGAATAGATTGTTTGTTCATAAAATTCATAATCTGGACTGACTTAATCAGCATCTGGTCCTTAGAATCTTGGACTACTTCCTTGTTGGTGCTTCTAATGTGGCCATCACAGATGATTTGAGCATCCCATGACCGCCGGTGATGAAGAGGTCTGACCAATGGGAGTTCGTAATGAGGTCCTGTCGATGTAACAGTGCGAGGGCAGCAGATGTAGAGCAATGTGGTCCGAGATGAATTCTTGGTTTTTCTATTGTGCGATCACTGCAGAAAGAAACATCCTTTCTCTATCCATTTGTTCAGCATTGCCTCGTTGATCGAGTGCAACATAGTCAAGTCGAAAAAGGATCATCTAGTAGTGGTGTCAAGTTGTGCTAACTTCTTATCCTCCAACTGGTTAGATCTGCTCTTGGAATCAGACATAAGGGTATAATCTTTGTTGATCTCCGGCGCCCAGAAAAAGGGTGACATATTGTGTAGTGGGAATTTATGCTATATCCTGGAGTAGCCCTTGTGACTTAGTGGCCTTGGCAAAAGACGTATTAAGGTTCATGGTGACTTGAGAGATAGGCTTGAATGGTGGAATGGTCCATTTTAGGCCAAATTTGTAAAATTCAAGCCAAAAGCAAAGAATAATACACTATGTATGATAAAAGGTTAGGAACATGTAATCCAAGCAAAAATTCTAATTAAAAAGAGTTATTTTTGATAGGATGAGTCGGATTACAGAGCTCAGGAAATGTTTTTCCCAACCACCCAGTTGACACAAAAATGAGAGAGTGACGAGTAACTGGGCTTGTTTACGTGCTTCCGGTGCATATGTGCAGTCCAAGGGTGCATTTGGGTGAGATGTTTTCTCTGTTCTCCGGAAACACAGTTCAGGGAGTTTCCACTACCTTTCGGAAATGAGTGGAGATAAGCAATAAGTATGAGTCAGGATAAGATAAAAGAACAGGTTTGTATAAAAAGACATGTTCAATCCTATGTCTGACAATCACAAGAGAAGACTTGACCAACCTGGCAGAGAGGAGCCAACTGGTTGTGGTTCATCTCCCGCTTCTAATGTATCCATTCGCTGTGATGATAGATTTCTTATTAAAGTGGAAGAAGGACGTCCAATCCTCTCAGGAGAGTACTGAAGCTGTGATGCTTGAGACTGGAGAGCCCGACGATAGCTCAGGCTGTGAACAGAGGAAGGCCGACCACGGCGACCAGTCCCTCTAGCACGGCTGGAACAAAACATGATAAGCATCACAGTTGAATCAGTGCAGCAGAAGAAGGTGAGGTGAGGTGAAATTGGGTTTAACGTCGCGTCCAAGATCATTGCACTTGCATGCACGTGTGTGTGTGTGTGGCTGCTTGTACTAGTCCGGACTGATGCCAATTTATAGTGCTAGCCCACTGAGACACCATGCCGCAGTTTAACATGAATACCCCACTCAGACACAGTATACTGACTCCAAGCCGACCAGTCCTTGTTTTAGCCCCTTAATGCTGAGCGCCAGACAGGGTACCATCTTTTAACGTCTTTTGGTATGACATGGCCGGGGATCAAACCCCGGACCTTCCGCTCTCCTGCAGCAGAAGAAAGTATCTTGTTCATGTAACAAGACAGCGGTATTTGGAGGGGTTTGTTTTCAACCATATTATCGAGATGAGTGCAGTGTTTGAAATGATGGTAAAACCGAACAAGACAGTTGGGCAGGGGACCCATAAATATTGCCTACCCATCTTCCAAGTTACCTGCCAGCATTCAGACATCACAAATAACATCTTGATTCAGTGGAAATAATGCTAACAACTACGAGTAGTATTAATAAAACTGAAAACGAAAGTTGGCTTAAGATTATCTGCCAAACAGTTAAGCAGGTAGAGAAAAATTTCATGCAGCCCGACAGAAAAGGTACCAGTCACAGGCAGGCTGGCAGGCAGTTATTACGGACACTGAATGAGTTAATGTTGTATCAAGCTGTCTCCCACAATATCACAGGAACGAGGCTTTTATCAAGAGCTTAATTGGGCGTTTCAATCGCCTTGCGTGGTTCAATATCAAAATTCCAACTGCCCCTATTAAGAAAAGAATATAGTATCATGATCTTCCCCCTCCCCACCCACACCCTCGCTCCACTCCCCCCACCAAAACTGAGAGGAATGTGATAGAGCAAGAAAGTGAGTAGAAATTTAACGTTGGAAGGTTCTACTTATATAATAATAATTACAATAAGTAGGGGATAGGATTCAATCTCATTAATAAAAATTCAACATAAAACTCAGGATAAAAAACATGTCTCCTTGTCTATTTCACTTATACTACACTGATATTCAGGAGATGAGTGAGTGAGTTTGGTTTAACGCCGCTTTTAACAGTATTCCAGTTATATCGCGGCATGTCAGCTTAATGTGGGAGGAAAGCCCGAAGTGATGCAGGTCTCAGACGTTTACGACTTCGGTGAAACCCACGAGCACGGGTATGGTGCTGACAAACCTAGAAACATAATAAGGGCGAACCAGGATTCGAACCCACAATCATATTTTCTGGCATGCCCAAGGGACGCAACTCTGCACAGCGAATCGCGCCGCCTTAGACGACTTGGCCACCCATGCCCCACTTCAGGAGATGAAAGTCAGTTCTAAGGACATGCTGGCAATTGAGGATCAGCTGAATACTAAATTTTGGCTGAACTCACGAAGCTCTTTCAGCAGAAAATGACCGGGATCCTCTTCCTGCTCCAAAGACTCTTCCACGACCACTGGCATAGAAAATACTAACATTACCTGACAGTCAACAAGAACATAATCACAACTCAAAATGTGAAGAATTCATGGCACTTTCAAGACTTGTTAAGGATATCATTACAAGTTATGAAATCACTATCAAGAGGCATCATGCAATAGTTTCTAGAATTGAACAGGGATAACATATCCAAATGAATACTGTGAACTGTCATGATTGTAGGACTACACACAAGCATCATTAACACAAACCTTCGTTTTCTGGGTATTGGTGATTGACCATCTTTTCTCGGCCGACCAGGGCCTCTTTTAACTGGTTGTAGAACTGGAAAGGGGGGATAACCTCGTCCAGCGTGTTCAGGAGACAAAATAGCACTAGGGTCTACTGCAGGCAAGTTCTGTACAGGTGAACTGGAGTCTAATTGACGTGAGTAAAAGGATGGTGGTGGAGACGACTCATTAGCACTTATATTTTCCAAAGCTGATGAAGCTGTAGCGTGTTGAGATTCTTCAAAGAGGTCAGTCGGAGAACCATCTGTGTAAGATGATGCCAAAGACTCACCAAAATATGTTGGATCGGTTTCATAAAGTTCTGTTTCTTGCCCCAGGCTATGAGATTCACTAAGTTGTGACTGTCCAGGGAATAGAGTTACATCCCCTTGGCCAGTTATCTGCTCTTGGTTCACATCTTCAGCAGTGTCAAGGGGCGGTTCTACATCAGTTAAACCATCATCCCCTTGTAGATTTCCTGGGCTACCTGGGAAATTCAAACATTTCAAATTAAGTTTGACATGGTAAACCTCTCCCTCTGCTTGCACTATCTAGAAATCATTAAATAATCAAGAACAATGATGACTCTTAGCTTTATCTTCCAACTGAAACCTTGTGTTTTCATTGATGAACTACTTTGTGGCGGACTGCAAATCCTAGTGTTTGTCAATCATTGGTCATAATCTGTCTGATAACACCAATCAATTATTAACTTCATCACAAATATAGTATTTTCCAGCTATTTCAGTGCATGTTGTTACTTAACATAATTTTTACATTATTAAAATCTTAGATCTTAAATATTATTGGTTGCATAATTCTAATGGGGGCATTTTGAAGTATGAATGAATATAAATGGTTTAACATTTGAAATAGAGGTAATATCAAATAATATTTTTTCTCTTCTATCAACGATCCAACAAAGAATATATACTATTTACTGCATTTACCTTACGTAACCATAGTAACAGATCAATCTTCAACTACAATTTATGATTGGAACATGAAGGGCATGTATTATTTGTTTGCTTGTTGTTTAACGTCACAATCAGCAATATTCCAGTTATATGACAGCGGTCAGTAAATAATTGAGTCTGGACCAGAAAATCCAGTGATCATGAGCATCGATCCATGCAATTGGAATACAATGACATGCATCAACCAAGTCAGCGAGCCTGACCATCCGATCCTGTTAGTCGCCTTTTACGACAAGCACAGTCGCTTTTTATTGCAAGCATGGGTTGCTGAAGTCCTATTCTACCCCAGATGTATTAGGTGATGTTTTAGTCAGTTTTGAACTTGGCATTGTTTTTCTTCTTCACAGGATTCACTCCCTAGATATTTTACACTTAAAACATGTTTTCTTGTAAAATCTCATGCTTATTTTTGCGTCATGACATGGCTTACAATCCAATCAAAGGTGCATTCTTGGAGTAGCATGTGGCATACTGATCACCACAGGTAAAATATAATAACACAAAGCCTTACAGTAAACAATGTTTACTACAACAATTAAATATCATTTATCCGGAGGTCTCTGGCAATATGAGACCTGTGAAGATTCTGGGGTAGAATAGATCTTCAGCAACCCATTCTTGCCGTAAAAGGCGACTATGCTTGTCGTAAAAGGCTATTAACGGGATCGGGTGGTCAGGCTCGCTGACTTGGTTGATACATGTCATCGATCCCAATTGCGTGGATCGATGCTCATGATGTCAATCACTGGATTGTCTGGTCCAGACTCGATAATTTTACAGAACACTGTCATATAGCTGGAATACTGCTGAGTGCAAACAAACAAACAAACCCTGGCAATATGAAAACCTCAGACTAAAAGAGGCATTTATTGGAAACCTGTATTATATTGATACATAATTATACCATTTCACTAAAATCTTACACTAAAGTTGGAGTTTTTTAAGATTTCAAACATTTTTATCTGTTGTCATTCATGTTTACGTTACTCCTTTGCCTTATGCATTTAGAAAGACTACAATTACAACTGACAAAATACAAAACACTTCAATGAAAGCTAACAATAGGGATTTATCCAGGATTCTAAACAAAGTGTCTGTGGCAGGCAAATTTTGGAGAAAAACATTATTTTGTTTAAAATTGGGATATTATAAAAAGTTATTATTTTCTTTAATTTTGAGGTATTTAAACACTGCTTTCAGTGTGTTAATGTAAAACTAAGCATTAACGTCTCCTACGCTTTATTGGCCCTGTTGTCAGTGATATACAAGCTACCTCTACAAAGTTATAACTATATTAACAGGAATTGGGAAATTTTTACTTCCAATTTGGGAATTTTTACTGACATCAGCTGGAGACTTGTGGCCGAATATCAGCCTTTGAACATGTCTAGATAAATCCATGGTCTGACTTCAGCAAATGTTGGAGGTGATAACTGGGCATATTATAACTGTTATACCACTCCTGATACTGCAATATTTCAAAATACTATTGCAACACTAAAAAATAATCTGTATGAACCGAGCCTTTACCAGTTTACTATCCCACAATGTAGACTTCTCACATTGTTTGACATGTCATCTGAATTGATATCAGCAATTTGCATTAAGATAAGAAAGGAAACAAAATTAAATGATTCCAGTACATTTCATGTTATTACACCTACCCCGACCAGTGATGGGATGGTATCAATGTCATATGGTCAGGGTTAGATCTGGACCATGTTTCTGTGGCATTGATGCATTATGGTAATAATTAACGCATCAAAACTGGATATCATGGGCCCTTGGGCGCATTACGTATGTTTGATATATAACTCCTTTTACACAATCACTTTCCATTTAAAACTTATTCCAAGTTTGAAGTTAATTTCCGAATCACAAATATGTTTGATTTGTAATCTTATTTCTCTGATTGATAAATAGTCTTTCTAATGACCAAGGAAATGTTCTCATTAAGTTTCATGTCATTCTGAGAATGTTCAGTAACAAATGTCATTGTCCTGTTTTCGATCAGTGTTCTCAGCATCATGCCCTTATTATTGTTCATGACACGATGATATATCAGTACTCCCGTTAACCCGTAATAACCAGTCAACTTAGGCTTGGACTGGTAATTCATGTGACTGTCAGTCCCTGTGGACCGGCAAATAAATTACCTTATAAATCTTTGTTCTTGAACAAAACTTCTAAAATAATCAATACAGTATATTTTTCAAACCAAGTCAGCTTGTCTGTTGTTATCAGGGTTCCTGCAGTCTATTTTGTATGCATTGAACACGATGTTGAAAGAATTAAAACCAGGTAATTTGCATAGTTTTTTTTATTTGTTCAAAGTTGGAGGGACTGGTAATATGTAGAGTTGCTAGTCCACCGGGGTGGGATGGGGGTGGGGGTTTGAGATTAAAGGCAGTATTGTCCCCAGACCTGGCAGGTAGAAACCTATGCCCGATTTTTAAAAACTACTGAATTAACTTTGATTTTTGACTACAGTAACCAACACTGACGTATGCACAGAAGAAGCCTTAACTTCTAAACATTCGGTTTGAACAAATACATTTTTCAGCATTTTTATGTAGCCTTGCATGCTTCATGTGCTTGTTTACAGCCGTCACATTTACTGCATGTCCTTAATAATCATGGATAGGCCCACAATTTTCAAGGTCTATGGGCCCTAGGGACCACCTCAAATAAATCCTAGGTTTATCACAGTATGGTTCATACAAAACTTGAGCCACCAATCCAAAGCCTTTTTATGGCTTTTCAATGCAAAGTTAACACTTTCCCAGCTAAAAGCAAGATCCAAGTGTTCTATTAAACAGATATCTTAGGACATTCTTACTTATATATTTCAGTGTCAGATGATGCAATCAGTCACACATTTAAAATGTTCTTCAAAAATATTTATCAATTGAGTTACAGACATATGTTGTTTTCTACATGTCATCAAGCATTACTCTTTCTGCTGGGAATAAATAATTGTATGGAAATGGCCTTTCAAGGCAGACTCAAATTGATGGCCCTTTCAAGACTGGACAGCCTAATGTAAGGCCCTTTCAAGACTGGACTGCCTAAATTAAGGTCCTTTAAGCAGGGTTAGAAACTAACAGTTTTCGTCCACTAGGCCTTATAATGATAACATATAGCAAAACCCTTAAAAAGGGCAAATTTCTACTAGTCCGTATGATACCTTTACCACTGGGCAGTTTGGCAAGGACTATAGGACTAGTGCCAGTTTCTAACACTGCTTTAAGTCCATACTGCCTAAAGGACCTTTCAAGGCCAGACTGCCAAATTCAAGGTATTGTCAAGCCTGCATGAACCTTGTGTTAACTATTGACATTTTAATTTGTGATCCATGTATTGCAATCAGGCCATGGGCAATCGCAATCCATTAATAGTTTCATAAATTGTTCCATCCTTATCATGTTAATACCCTCTTTTAACTTTGTGTATTGATACTGACTAGGGAGACACATTGAATCGATACATCAACATTTAGACTTTCAATGACTGCCCTCTAGCTGTTTTTACAAAAACAAAATTCTTAGCACACAATATTTATCAGGTCACATTTGGCCTCTATAATTACAACATGCGCGTTATATAACAATTCATAACAGTGAATGTTTGGTTCCAATGAAAGCATTCTGTACGAAAGGGTATTCTCTATACTCGCATGGTAGGAGGTACAGTGTTCTTACATGTAGTACATATACTCTATTCCAGAAGCAGGATAAGTGGAAGTTTGGTCATATTTCATTGATATTTGTCAGGTGTTTCTTTAACCACAGCAGTCAAGTTTCAGAACCTATTTACTCCTCAATACAGATTTATTCAGCATTGAAATATGTTGCTTTAGTGAAAAAAAAAGGTGCCATGTCACTGTGGCTCACCTGGGTATGTAGTTTACAGTTTATAATGTCAACAAAGATAGCCACTTAATAAGCACACACCAAATTTCATTACATTTTTTACAAGCATGGCCAATTTACGTGAAATAAAAAGATTTTTTTAATATGGCTGCTGTGGTGGCCATATTGAAATCAGATTCGAACTAATTGATTGATTGGTTTGTTGTTTTACGCCACACTCAGCAATATTCCAGCTATACGACAGTGGTCTGTAAATAATCGAGTCTGGGCCTGACAATCCAGTGATTGATATGAGCATTGATCAACGCAATTGGGATCGATGACCTGCATCAACCAAGTCAGCAAGCCTGACCACCCGATCCCTATTGAAGAACTTCAGGTGACATCACTGGTGAAAATTATCATGTGATGTTTCATTTCTGAGGAGATGAATAATAAATAGGTACTGAAAATCTGATTCACACTTTTGGAACAAATTGGGATGCCATCACTGGTAGGAAGAAGTATGTGAAATTTCAGCTTCACTGGTTTCTAAGTGGAAAATGTCTACGATGAAGGGCAGACAACGCACGACAGACAAACAGGCTAATTGGAGTAACAATCAACTTGACTTATGGGAAAAGCATTAATTATATTTTGTCAGACTGTGATCAAAACTTTTGAGTAAACTGGAGCAATTTTGACTCTTAGCTACATTTTCAGTAGAATTGGTATCGTTATATACTTTCATTAGCTGAACTTAGCAGACCAAACAGAACTTTACTCGACTTCAAACTAAAGTCATACACAGCTGTCTTCCTTTCCAAACTGTCAAAACATACTTCATGTTTCAAACATATTAATTTAAAATCTTTATACAAATGGAGACCATAGCAAGTCTTGTTCAGTATATATACAAAAGTATTAATCAAGTGTATGTTATGATTTGAGGATCTGTTGGGACCAGCCACACGCGAAAATGGTCATTAGGGTCAATCATAAAACCCTGTTTCTTAAAACTTTGAACTGATGATTTTCATGTCATATAATATATAACCAAGTATCTCATGCCTATAGCGTTGGACTGGCATGTAACATAAATTAAAAAGGTCCTAGCACACAAATCATGTGGTACAGAATACTTCTTAGGTACAGGCTCCAAGTTTGGTAATAATTCTGCATCACTACCCCCTTGAATGATGCATCGTTGACTTTTCAATTTCATACGATTCTTCGGGCAAAACATTAGCATATGGCAATAGCTCACTTATGTTTTAATGAGTTAATTTAAAAAAGTGAGTTGTTCTGAAACAGCGTGGACAGTCTATCACATCAGGGTTTTTTATTGTGCGCCCTTTGAAAATCAAAAGTAAGAAGCCAAGGTATAATGGCTAATAACTGTCAACTCCAATTCATCATTTATCCATACATGTTTAATCTAAGCCAATATATCACTTCAAAATCAATTTGTCTGCACAATCACCCTCTTTCATCTCTTGATAGAATGACGTGTTTCTTTTAAAATTATTCAGAAAAAAAATAACAAATTGTTCTTTGTTTGTCTTAACATGAATTCATTTAGTGATAGCAATGTTGAAATGAACAATTATCTTTGCAAAACTAAGCTGGGGGCTGGGCTTTAAAAAGTTTATATAGGACACAAACTGGGCACAAACATTTTGAGTCTACTGCAAAATCATTACAGTTGATTGCAATCTGAACATATCTGATATGGGGTAAATTGAAATGTTTTACTAAATCCTGGCATCATACCTGTGGCTAAAATTGCCAATTGATGCAATACCACTAAAATCACTAGAACATATCAAAGGTGATGCATGAGTTTTTTGCAAGTTTCATTTTTCTGACATCTTTATCAATGTAAAACTAAATTATTTGATTCCTAATGAATTTCACTTAAGATAGAAACAGTTTTTTCCTAACAGTTGTGACAAGCATAGCTATTTATATGAATAGGAATATCTTCTAATGTTCTAATTTCAGAGTTGTCTCCCATTGTTGGACATCAATGTAGAACATATGGAAGAGAATTTATGGATGTCAACTTCATTATTAAGTTGATATCCATTAATTCTCTTCCTTATGTGTATCACTTCTAAATGCCTTTCAAAGACTTACTCTAATGAAGAACATCATCAATAATGTAATGTATTAATTACATGTATTCAAAAATTATTTCTTGTAAATATTGGCATAGACACCTCTAGTTAAATACAAGTAGTCCACAATTTATTTTGGACTACAAGTCTTAGAAAAAAACTTGTCCTTATAATTTAATCACTAGTCTCAAGACAAGAAGAATCATGACCGTGTGTGGTACCCTCATCATAACACAAATTGTATCATGAAACAAAATTAAAAACAATGGAATTTAAGACTACATATATGATAAAAAACACTTGTCATTGTCAAATAATACTACAATCAACATGGTGAAAATAAATATATGCATAAATACATAGACATACATCAGATATATTTCAATACATTCGTTTACAAACTTCTTACAAAATAACTACTAGATGAGTATAAGGTAAGTTTGTGTTAATCTAAAGCATCAGCAGAAAATGTTAGGTGCATACTGCACTGCTACAATCAGCTACTGACAACATAGAAGTGCACTGGTTAATGTTAAAATCTGACAATATAACTTGCAAAATGCAATGTACCAAAATGCATCACCTGCAGTACCATGACAAGAAGACATGTACAGTAGAGTTCACACTACTGGAAACAGTTCACATTACTGACCATGATGAAATATTACTTATATTTGACAACATCTGATAATGTGTATTTCCAGATACTCAACATTTAATGAACCTTATTGCTCATATTAACATACTACAATGAATTCCTTACTTACTTTATTTGTTCAAAGAAAAATAGAAATTACATGATAAGTTTTTCTCAACAGAATTGCTAAAAAAGATAAGTTTACTCTAAATGAATGAACATGGAAAACATGGATTGCCATTCTAAATTATTTATGTGGATCGCCTATTACTGATAAAACTTTAACATTGAATGTATTTATTCAAAAGCATGCAACATACATAAGAGTGTGTAATGTTTACACTTACTTCATACTTTGGTGTTTTCCAGAATAACGAAGGTAGAACATGAAATAGCATTTATGTGAAGTTGAAACTTACTTATTAGATCAAAGGATCTTAAGAAAATATATTGAGTACAAAAATACACTATTCACATTCAAGTGCAAGAAATGTGCATGGTCAAGAATGCGCTTTAAAAGATGAAATAGTGATGTGCAAACAATCAGAGACCCATCCAGACACGAATTACCTTCTCAAATCTGCATGTTTTTGGGGTGGGGGGCGGGACCTGCTTTTTCAATGTTTGGGGAAGGCACTGTCGCTGTATGAATCATTCAATGAAATTACTACCATTTTAGGTTAGAAAGTGATGGCCACACTCTACTTCAAACTCATTTCAGTGTTTATTCAACCTAATGGATCTATATCATGTTGATTGAGTACTGTCAACACAATCATAAGCCACTCACTCTTACCGTCCATTAAGATCCAAGATCGAAGGCCTAAAATCAGAAGATGCACAGATCTGCATTTTTGATGTCATGTGGATGGCTTTCCATCTGGAAATTCAAAGTTGTAGTCAGAGGACATGTAGCATAGTGTCGACACTTAGTCAATGGGCAACGTGAGTACAGAAGAGACTACCGCCAGCCCGGGACACTGCAAGTCTCTAGCCCGGCCGGTATAGAGGGTAAAAACACCTACGATAGAAAAACAAGCAAATAATGAAGATGAGAGACAGTGATAAACAAGCAAGAGCATTCATAATTGAACGAAACGGCAGACTGGAAGAAGATTGCTACGAAACAAAAATCTAGGCTAATTGGCCTTCGCAATCAGGCATCGGCCTCTTCATCATTGTCTGCGAAATTCACAACACAGTAGCAAATGTGAACAAGCTCGATGCATAAAATTAAGGGGTCCCACTTACCTTAAGCAAGTCCTTGCTTGTGAACACAATAATCCTTATATATGAGCAATAATGCAATTTCTAATGTAGGTAATATCTATCTGGAAAGAGAGTAAATTGTCTTATTAGACCTAACAGTGAGCGTGACCCATAGAATGAACTCTCCTTCCAGCATCAGCCATCTTGGATTGATGCTATCGGTATCCCAGCGCACAAGAAATAGTTCCTTAGTTTAGTGGATTGATATCATTCCAGTTATTATTTTTCCACATACATGTACGATCATATAGCTAAATTGATTGATATGGTCTCGCCGATGATTAAAATGTTTGCATAAACAAGGGCGCTTGGAATAGGGCAGTACATTGTTAGCGGAGGAATACCTCAAGGTGCTTGGAAAACGATGAGGGGGGATTCCGTCACAGTGATCAAAATGTACCGGCTTTATAACAACGTGTAGGTTAATTGGGTTGACGCTTTGCAAAAAAATAAATTGTTTTATTTGCGAAAATATGGTCCATACTTAGAACTGATTCGCATATGCTGAATATCTTTAACTGCAGCTAAATGCGAAATTACATGTGCAGGGGCTCGTGTACGGTCTTGTTCAAATGTGACCTACTTTCACAGTCTTCAGGGAGAAGTCATTTTCGGTATCAGTTCCTGCGGAAGTAAATCGTTATGTTCTGGATAAATACTGTACATGTACGTGTTTATTATGATTGCTCATTTATCAAGAATGAAATAAAAGTACTATGTTCATTATGACAGTAATTTGTTGGCGGTAAAGGTGACGTATCTTCGCGAAAAAGACATTTGAAATTACAGGGAGCATGAATCGAATGGACATCAAAGACCCTCGCCTTGACCAAACCAGCTATAAGATATATGTGCTGTTACTAAGTGTTACTATGCTTCTCCTTCAATGCATGTACTGCAGTTCATCTTTACCCTTCAGAGTTTTGCTTTTGATGTTAAACGTTGAATGTATCTAACGTCGGGAGAAGAGGACCATACAGACATTTATTATGACAAGTTGATGAGTGACACAAGTTGATGACAGAGGAAAGTTTAAATTTAACAAATACAATTTTTGGTCCGTAGTCCAGGATGGGGTGAAAGTGTAACTGTATATCAGTATGTCAGTGTACAAATATATAGTCATACTTAAACTGATGTAGGCTGTGGGTGAGTTGTTGAACCCCTACTTGTCCTGCCCTGAATTCAGTATGAGACAGTCTGCAACAAGGCGTCATGATGACTATAACTGTTCTTATTACAAAATCTACAGTTCTACAGGCTAAAAGGCTGACCCTGCATCCATAGCCATAATGCCAGTACTAAGTAGTTAAGATATGAATAGCATCAACAAAAATGTTTAATGCTTTCCTCAAAGACAATGTTGCAGTACAAGTGGGATAAGTGAAAGTTCAGGCGAAAGTAAATTATAGATTGTAACAAATGTAGACAACCAGTGGTATACATCTGAGAGAATGATGTATGTAGATTCCAACTGAGAATAATGAAGATTGTCATCAAATATAATCGGCTACACTCATCATGAAATTTAGATACATGTTCTAAAGTTCAAAGACATATTCATTGCTACAAAACCTGATTTGATTTAGCACTTATATGATGGTGACTAGTGAATTTTCTTTTATGAAAGTCTTCCTCGTTATTCAAAATATCACTGCTGATTCAATGTGTCTCCCTTTATTATATCTCTACGCAAAATGATAATACAAATATTATTATTATTCCTGGAAATATTTCCTTAGCAGATGTGCACTTTCTTTGATGTGTTCTGTATTCTGTCAAGAATGGTGCTCAGGTTTGACACATAATCTTGACCAAGAAGAAAAGTTTTCTCACAAAATAAATTAATGTTTATTTTTCAAAGCTTTTTTACATTAGTTTGTATAATCTTTAATGCTTGTAAAAACTATTCCTTTCTATTTTATCTGCTTGTACTCAAAGTTCAAACAAGTATCAGTATTTCAACATGATCCAATTGCTTCTTCGTCAACCAAGGTCTTTTGTGTGGAACGTGTCTGTATGCCGTCTATAACTTCTTTAATCTGCTGATACTTAAAATGGCCTTTGTAGTCTAGTGGTAGAGCATCCGCCTGGAGAGCGAAAGGTTTGGGTTTTGATCCCCGGTCCCATCATATCAAGAGAAGTTAAAATATTGTATTTGTTGTTACCCTGCCTGGCCTGCGGAGTCAGTATACTGTGTCTGAGTGGGATATTCATGTTAAACTGTGGCATTGCATCTCATAGGGCTAGCACTTCAAATGGCATTAGTCAAGACTAGTACCAGCAGATGCGTGCGCGCGCACACACACACACACACGTGCATCCACGTCGCTATATAAATGCAATAATCTTGAATGTGACGTTAATCCCCATTTCACCCCACCTCACCACCTCTACTTAAAATGAATTCTTTCTACCCAAAAAAACCATCTCTAAGAATAGCAGCAAAGTGGCACCCAGTCACTATTTAATAAAACTGCTGTTGTAAACTCGGGTATAAATTGTACCAAATGATTCTGTATAAGACTATGAAAAGAACCTTGGGACTTGCAGGAACTGACTGTGTTGTTATAAAACAATTCTCAGTGAACCCAGTAGCCCAGTTTAAACCAACTGTTTCCATGTAAACTTCCTCTGGAGTGGAATCAACTATGTGGTCTAGTGGATAGAGCCTCTGCTCAGAGTGGAAGGTCAGTGGTTCAATCCTGGTCGCATCCTACCAAAAGACAAAAGATGGTACTTGTTTCCCTGCCTGGCACTCAGCACGAGGGGGATATAACAAGTACTGGTCGGCTCCGTGTCAGTTTACTAGCCTCAATGGGGTATCCATGTTAAAGTGTGACATGGTATCTCTGTGGGCTAGCACTATAAAACCTATATAACACACAAAAACCACACACAACCTCACCTCACCTCAGAGTTAGTGACCAACAGGATCGGGTGGTCAGGCTCGCCGACTTGGTTCATGCATGTCAGCGTATCCCATTGCGTGGGTCAATGCTCATGATATCAATCACTGGATTGTCTGGTCAAGACTCGATTATTTTCAAACCGCCATCATGTAGCGGTAGTATTGCTGAGTGCAGCGTTAAACAACAAACAAACATTGATCCATCACTGATGCTTGATGATTAAGTGACTATTGGTGAGCCTGTATTATTATTTCTTATGGGGCAGAGGTGGAACAGTTCTGCAATGCATCACAATTTGCTGTGCAGCTCTTTGCAGAGTGGTGGCCCTTAGTTGTGCCAGAATCTGGGGTGGATTGGAAATTCACCCTGATTATGATTCTTTGTTTGCAAGCATGAACCCAATGAAGCACCGTATCACCAGTGGTAAATGTAACTTGCATCACTTTGGCCCTTCCTCCCACATTATATTGTGTCAATATATTCAGGGGATTTCATCTGGGTTTAAAAAGTAAGTTCAAGGCAGGCAAATTAGGAAACATTGTTATTTTGTTAAAATTGGGGTTGTGTTCATATTTTAAAAAATTCAGAGGTATTTTAACATAGCATAGTTAGTTTTGTAATACAATTGTTGATTGTATTATATTTGTTGTTTGTTGGTTTCACACTTAATTGTTTTACATACAGATTTCTGGGTTAACATGTTTCAATTTGGGAATCGACACATAACAGAAATTGGGGTCATGTCCGAGATCGAAATTTAATATATCACTTATTGGATAAACATGTCATTGTCTAATATTGAGAGAAGCCAACAATCACTATGGTGTTTAGTGTGAAGGAGTTCGTTAGCCAACCTTCTATGGAACAAGTCTCTGCTGAAAATAGGATTATTATCAGATAGCCTAGTGGTTAAACCGTTCGCTTGTCACGCCGAAGACCCGGGTTCGATTCCTGACATGGGTACAATGGGCGAAGCCCATTTCTGGTGTCCCCCTCCATGATATTGCTGGAATATTGTTAAAAGCGGCATGACATCAAACTCACTCACTCACTCTGCTGAAAAAAGTCTGAACTGGTCCACATGGCCAAATATTACAAACTTGACGTCAAATCGGGTATAATTATAGCCGATGTCAAGAAAACTTTGATTACACACTTGGTTGGGGAAGAAATTTTGGATAATGATGATGTTTTGGCCTTGACTGAACAAATTAGAACTTGAAGGAGAAAAATTGGCTTCAGATATTCTGCTTGAAAAGAAAGAAAAAAGAAGCTGAGAAAGAAAAGTTGAGATTGAAAGCTGCTGCCTTGTCTGATGAGTATTCTCTAACTCACAAGATTAGTTTTAAGCAGCCAAGGTTTACTGGCAAGAGTTTGCAGGGTTACAAATCAGGAAAGGATAGTTCATCCCTGCCTAGATCTAGTTCTAACAAGTCTGGTTCTGAGTTTGTTGACAAAAAGTCAAGTTCCACTCCAGTTGGTTCTGAAGATACCTCTGGATTTTCGTCAGAGCCTATTTGTAGATATTGCCGCAAGCCAGGGCATATAATTTCTGAGTGTAGAAAGCTCTTCCCAAATGCTTCTGTGAATGTCGAGTCACAGCCTACTTGTATACTTACCTTCAGTTAGTAAAGGGGTTGTGTCAGTTAAAGGTGACAGTTCCAATGTTATGCCTATTACCGTTTTGAGGGATACTTGTGCTCTTCAAACTCTGATTTTGGATGGTATTTTGATTCTTTCTGAGGAGCCATCAGTGAACTCTGAGGTTTTGTTAGATTCTTTATGTGGTTTTACCAGTGCACCTCTCCATTTTGTGAATTTGAAGACAGATTTGGTGTCTGGGTTGGTGGAGGTGGGGGCTATAGAAGCTCGACTTGTTAAAGGTCTAGACTTGCTCATTGGAAAAGGTTTGGCAGAGGGAAGATGTTTGACTGATCCTGTTGATTGTCTTGAGACCAGCACTTCGGAAAGTACTGAAGAAAAAGAAATTTCAGGTATTTTTTGTTCGTGTAGTGTTACTCGTGCTAAGGCTAAGCCAAATTCTTCTGAGAATGGTTCCAGTTATGATTTGACTGGCACCTTTATGGATCATTCATTTGACCTTTCTAAACATTCTGACAGTGGCTGTTGAGGAACCAGTTCAGGGTTGGGGGCAGTTAAGTTACAGGGGAAGACCGAGAACTCGGTGTTCTTGCCAACAGGGCACCCTCTTTAGGAGAAGCAGACAAGGTTACAGTTTGCTAT